TAAATTACTTTAGTCGGATTTGTTCTTATTTGAAGAAATTCATAAAAGGAATATTTTAACACTTTTTTCATTCGTTTTTTATTTCACTAAAACTTTAAAAGTCGAAATGAACAAAAATTTCTTTTTTCTTTAAATTTACTTTTCAAAATTACTGTACTATATTTAAAACTAATTTAAATTTATCATTTACTTTGTTAACAACTAATTTTTTTAATGTACTAAATAAAAGTTGCCACATATTAAGAAAATTAGGGAAGTCAGGAAAAAATCATGAAAAGTAAAATTGGTCAGGGAAATCAGGAAAAAGTCATGGAAGTTTATCAAAAGTGCTAGAAAATATTATTAATTTTTAGAATTCATAAAAAATTTTTAGATTTTTAGATTTTTGTGTCCAGTAATCTTTGAGAAAATTAACAAGATTTAATTCTTCCTGAATTTTTTTTCTTTTTGTTTACCTTATAAACTTTAAAATCGCCACGAATTTTAATACAAAACATTAAATTTTTCTATTTCTGATAATAATGAAACTTGAATGTGAAATTGAATTTATTTTAAATAATTTAATTATCTTTAATAAGAACGATAATTATTACTTATAAATTATTTAGAGAATGATATTTTACTTAAAAATTCCAAAATTAATTGGATTTTATGAGAGTTGAGCTTACAATTTTGATAAATAATTCAATTTCAAAAGATTTTAATTTGAAATTTGAAATAATCTTGATTAAAAATTCTGAAAATGTTAGTCGTTGAAAAATTTGTATTCAAATGTTTTTGAAATCAGTCAAATTTTTAAATGTATTTCGAAAAATTTTCAAATAATCGAAATTTTTTATTATTGAATAATTGACTTGTAAATCAGTAGATTTTAGAATTATTTTAGATGAACTTTCTTTTTTTCTTTGAATAATTGAATTGTCAAAGAAGTTTTTCATAAAAATTAGTAAAAATAATAATTCAATTCAAAATGTTTCAATTTAGAATATTAGAAAATTTAAATTTCAAATCATTTTAATTGGAAATTCCGAAAAAGTTACTCTTTGAAAACTTTTTATTCAAATATTTTTATTAATTTTTTGAATATTTATATTTAATTGAAAAATTTTCGAATAATCGAAATTTCGTGAAATTGCATTGTAAGCAAATGGATTTCAGAATTATTTTAACTTTCTACTTTCGTTCGAATAAAACAATTTTTTTTAATCATAAAAATTTGTTTAAAATACTTGCTTTAGAAAAGAATATTAGTTAAAAATTTCGAAAATAATTAAATTTCGTAAGAGTTGCGTCTACAAATTTTATAAATAATTTAATTTCAAAAGGTTTCAAATTAAAATTTTAGAAAATTTGGATTTTAAATAATTTTAATTTAAAATTTTGAAGAAGTTAGTCTTTCAAAAACTTTTTATTCAGATTTTTTTGTTAGTTTTTTGAATATTTATATATTTAATTGAAAAATTTTCGAATAATCGAAATTTCGTGAAATTGAATTGCAAACAAATGGATTTCAGAATTATTTTAACTTTCTACTTTCGTTGGAATAAAACAATTTTTTTTAATCTTAAAAAATTATTAAAAATACTTGATTTGGAAAAGAAGTTTAGTTAAAAATTTAAATGGAATAATTTAATAATAACTTTAATTTAAAAATAATTTAAATAATTGAATTTTATAAGAGTTGCGTCTACAAATTTTATAAATAATTTAATTTCAAAATGTTTCAAATTGAAATTTTAGAAAATTTGAATTTTAAATTGTGAAGAAGTTAGTCTTTTGAAAATTTTTTATTCAAATTGTTTTGAAATTTCGTAAAGCTGAATTGTAAACAATTTCAGAATTATTTTAAATAATCTTTCTTTTTTTTTCTTTGAATAATTTCACTCTCAAGGAACTTTTTAAAAAATTATTAAAAATAATTGATCCGGAGAAGAAATTCAGTTGGAAATTCCACAAAATAATTAAATTCGAAATCTTGGAAATAATTTTGCTAAAGTTACAGTACGTAGTGTGAATCAGAATATTCTTTTGGATCAAGGAAAAATTCAAAATTCTGTCTGGAAATAAGGGAGAAACAAAATCATTTTTGTGGCAACTCGGAAAATAATAGTTTTTACTAAAATACAAATTAAAATTAATAATAAAAATATTGGCGTTCATTTCAACGTTCAAAACTTTAAGGACATCGTTTTTTTTATTGTTTTTTAAAGAAATGTCATTTTATTATTTTGTTTGTTGTTCTCTTTTGTTGAAATTCGAGAGGGGCTGGCTTATGGGAAATTAGAATTGGAAAATTAGTGACCTAGATTAAATTGTTAATTTGACCCATATGCTGAACCCTAGGGAAAGTTATATTTCACGTTGATTGGTGGAAAAGAATTTTTTTTTTGATGTTTTTGATAAGGGAATAATTGTGATGTTGACTCGTTTTATTATTCCGTTGCGCTCTGCATTTTTAACATCCATTGCGTAATGTCCCATCATATATTTTGGAGTAGACATTCCGTTCATAGTTATATAGAGATGAAAGGTCTTCCCTTCTGTCTAGGAAATTTTTACGTAACATTTCGTAACAAATCCAAATTATAAAATTGTTTTTTTTTCTCTCTATTTCGGGAGTAGACTAAAATTCTCTCTCATGAGAGATTTGGAGTATTTTCTTTTTGTCAAGTGATAAAAACATTCGAATGTCGAACAATAGAAATCAACTTCATTATCTCTATTGTCATGGAATGTTAATCCCTGTGGTAGAATATAAAATAAAAAAGAGCAGTACCGTTCTTCCTTTGCAAATTTTCTTTGGCCGTTGTTTTGAGGCAATTTCTAGTCGATAAAAATTATTCTCAAGTATACAGAACATTTATTTATCAGTATGTATTTTGTATTTATATTTTGTCACTCGGGTGTTAAAATTGGAAGTGATTTTTTTTTCTTTTCAATAGAAAGTGGTGTGTTATATATATCCTGTTTTGGCTTTTGTAATACCGAAATTTTACTAAGTTGCACCGGTACTTCACGTTCGCTTTCGTGTGCCTGTGTATAGAATGTGCAAGGTATTTAGTACGGTACTTGGTAACGGCATTCACGGTTTAAAGATCAGGATCCGGGAATTCTCCGGACCCCTTTTCTCGCTGTTACGAAATGTCTTTCCCTTTTCTCATTATTGATTTTAATCGCATAACTTTTAATGAAAAAAAACCAGATTCTCCCGATCGTTAATTCGTTACTAAACTAATATTTACTTTTTTGATCGAAACAAATTGTTTTCATTCAATAATTAAATTTTTTCGATGCCTATTCAATTCTTATGTTAAATATTGAAAACCAACTTTTTAAAATGTAAAAATATAATGAAAATGAAAAAGATGAAAATCTATTTTAAAGAAAGATAATTATTCTCAATTTTTTTGCTTTTGAAAATGACAAAGATATCGTGGACATAATGTTATCGCTCGAAATAAAATTCTTACGTGCGCAAAAGCAGCTAAAATAGGAATTGAATTCTATTTTATTTATTTTCGAATCGAATGTAAATTTCTTTGGTAAATATTTTGTTCTCTTTGAAAATGACAATTAAATTATAGTTCATATGTTGAAGTCTAGACCCGTAATAGCAAAAGACTCGATAATTCTTTTTAAGCTTATTGGCTTGTGACCTACATGACTGGTAAAAAGGATTACATTTAATTTTACAACATAAGGAGAAAATATCGAAACTATTAAAAAATTTGATGTTAAATTAAATTTTGTACTTATTTAGATTAAATAGATATAGAAATTTATCTATTTTACAGCGAGATAAAAATGTATCGATATAAAAAAAAGTTTTCAACTATATATTTGATTTAATATGCGTGGTATTTTAAAAAACCTGTTTTTTGAATTATCGTTTTTATCGAGGTTGTTTTTAGCTATTTAAATAAAAATAAATGACTGAAAGTATTTTTAGGCTTTCAGCTTTTGAAATTTTCTAAAAGTATTTAGAATAATTACAAAGTTGAGTGGTTTATTTGATAAAAATGTCTTTTTTGTTCTAATTTCTTTTGTTCGAGATGTTTGTGACTTTTGTACCGTGTTGCAAAAAAAAAAAAAAAAATTGCAGTGGACTTTGAGATTGAAATTTCTCAATTTACAAATGAGGAATTACCTTCTCCGGATTCTTTCACCTACTTTTTAAATTTAAAAGGAGGATGTTGGGGTCCTTTTAAAGGAGGATAATTCTTGTTGTTATTTTTTTTTTTTTTGTTGATTCTCTTTTTAAAGGTTTGGATTTAAGTTGAATAAAAATGCACAGAAGCTGAGTCAGGTAACCGAAAGAAAGTCGGTCCCGTTACGAAATAGTGAGTGAATGCTGACAATCTGGGTCATGCAATTGCAGCACGTGAGAGTTGGTGGATTTTGAGCTCTCGCCATGGGGCCAAGCAGACATTTCTGGCGACCACAATTTCGCACTGGTTTTAAAACAACTTTACCAAATCAATTTACCAATGAGACACATTCTTTTTAGTTTTATATGACGGAAAAGTATAATAACTAGGTCAGACGACACACAAGATACAAACCTCCATTTCTATACTTAAACGAATACATATCGTCAGGCATGATCATGGCCGCTTCTATAGTACCTTGACACGGATTCTGACTGTCGGTCAGGGCCGGGGACACGTGCACAGAAGAGCCCTTCAATTCAAGGTGCAACATTTTTTTGGATTTCGACAAAATCCTTATTCTTCTGGATTTCCTCATATTTTTCTTCTTTACACTCTTTATTTACGATAAAAAGAAAAAGAGGAAAGCCTCTTGCTGTCAGAGATTTCGAATCTTTAATCCTTTTTTAAAAAATTTGAACACAAGAAACAAATTAAAAAACTTGTTTTAAATTAAACTAGAATAATAATTTTTACTTTACAAAAAAATAAAGTTTTTGTAATTAGAGATAAAAGATAAAAAAAATTGCAAATAATTCTTTCATTAACGAAAAAATTTTCTTTCTGTTACAGTCAACTTGGCAGATAGTGGGAAAAGAGTCGACATGACGCATTTTGATCTGCTTAAAGTTCTAGGAACGGGAGGTGAGGAAACATTCTGCCTTGGAATTTTTAAACGAACGAATTTTTAAAACAGTTTCTTGATTAAAATGTTGGCTTAAACTAGTTTATATTGACTTGGTCATTATCAGTCTCAGTGGAGATGACTGTCAGTAGTAAATATTTCAAGTCACATGTGTGATGCATATTTTGGAGTTCAAAGTTCGTTATTCGGATTCATTATCGCTCAAAAGGATATGGGCGATAAAAATACTTTTAAGGACAAATTTTGATATTCCAAATATTTCAAATTCTGATATTTCAAATCCTGAAAGACTTTTTCCTGTAAATAATGCTGTTGTTCTGGTAAAATTTCTTTATAAATTTAAAAAATGAAAAATTGAAAAGAGAGTTGGTAAACGACTTTGAACTATTTTTTGTGCTTATCTGCGCCGATAAGTTTTGTAGATCTTTTCAAAAAGTATATGTTTTTAGAAAACTGCGTTCGAGTTAACAAGTGGGTAAAATGGGAGGTAAAATTAAAGAAAGTTTTTTTACGTTTGTTTTCCCTGCGAAAAAAAATCTTATTTCCTTGTTATGTTTAAATTGAAGTCAATTTAAGTAAAAAGAATTTAGTGTGAAGCAGAACAAACTTACAAAAGAAATAGAAACGTCCAGTATGCTTCTACTTTCACTTGCTCTTACATTGCAAGACTTCTTTCTCCAGACACGCGTGATAGACCAAGTTTACGAAATTGGGACTTGAAATAATAAATATAAAGTTTAATTAAATTGAAACATTTGTATTAAACTGAAAATTTAGAAAGTTTATAGATAATTGAATAAATTCAGAAACTGTTTTAAATTCGATTTTTTTTAAACTTAATTTCCATGAATAATTCTTAATTTTCTTGTTTTAGCCTATGGAAAAGTATTTCTTGTTAGAAAACGAATTGGTACAGACGCTGGACGTTTGTATGCAATGAAAGTTTTGAAAAAAGCATCCATCGTCCAGAAAAAGAAGACGACGGAACATACAAAGACTGAGAGACAAGTTTTGGAAGCTGTTCGAGATAGTCCCTTTTTAGTTACTCTTCACTATGCCTTTCAAACAGACGCAAAACTTCACCTTATTTTAGGTAATTTTCAAAAAAAATGAAGCAATCTCTTTGGAATTTATTTTATTTGTTAAAAATTCAGTTTTAAAAATGTGTTTTCTTTTTTATAGATTATGTGAGTGGTGGTGAATTATTCACGCATCTTTATCAGAGGGAACATTTTGCCGAAGATGAAGTTCGAATTTATATAGGAGAAATTATATTAGCACTGGAACATTTGCACAAGGTATGCGAATTTATCCTCAAGTTTCTTTTTTCTTGTATAAGGATTTCTCTCTTTTTAACAAGCATTTTAACAAACTCGTTTTATTTATATAGAAAATAGATTTCTAACGAATTTATTTTTCCGCACTTGCAGTTGGGAATCATATACAGGGATATCAAATTAGAAAATATTCTTCTGGACCACGAGGGTCATATTGTACTGACCGATTTTGGGCTTAGTAAAGAATTTTTACCTCACGAAAGAGATAGTAATGCAAGAGCTTATTCGTTTTGCGGAACAATCGAATATATGGCGCCCGAGGTTGTGAGAGGAGGTTCTGCAGGCCACGATATTGTAAGTTTAGAATATATTCACTTGTGTAAATAAAAAATCTCAAATTGATAAAAAAATCAAATTTGCATTCCTAATTATTATCTAATTGTAATTTTATTTTGATTATTTAATATTGTAACTTTATGGTAATTATTACCTAATCTAATTTTAATTTCAAATTTTAATTTCAAATTTTAAAGAAAAAGGTTTCTTGAATGACAAAATTTTGTTTCTTTGTTAAATAGGCCGTTGATTGGTGGAGCGTCGGCGTTCTTACTTATGAATTACTAACTGGTGCCTCTCCATTTACGGTCGAAGGTGAAAAGAATACTCAACAAGAAATATCGAGGCGGATATTAAAAACTGAACCTCCAATTCCAAGTCATTTGAATCCAACGGTGAGGAATTTTATTACAAGACTCCTGGTGAAGGATCCACGACAGAGATTGGGTGGAGGGCCAAGAGACGCGAAGGAACTTAAGGAACATGCCTTCTTTAAGAAAGCACCGCCACCATTTAGTTGGGAAGCTCTTGAAAATAGAACGATCACTCCACCTTTCGTGCCTCGAATTACTCATGAACTGGATACAAGTAATTTTTCCGATGAATTTACAAAAATGGTCGCTGCTGATAGTCCCGCTGTTGTACCACCTAATTACGATAAAGTTTTTCGAGTGAGTTCAATTTTTTACTTGATATCTAAATATTAAATTACTAAAGATTTTCTAATTATCAAAATTACGAATGAAAAAAGAGTCTTTGATTCGAAATGAAATTATAATAGGCAATTTTTGTTTCAGGGTTACTCTTACGTTGCGCCTTCGATACTTTTTAGTGACAATGTAATGAGTGATGAGATTTTTAAGGAAGCATCTAGGGAGAGTTTAGATAATCAACGACCAACGCCGTCTGATATTTTAGCAGCGTGTTTCGAGGAATCTAGTTTTTTCAAAACCTACGAATTGGATCCACGTGAGGGTGCACTTGGCGATGGGAGTTTTTCCATTTGCCGAAAATGTCGACATCGTCAGACAAAGCAGGAGTACGCTGTTAAAATTGTCAGTCGACGTGTCTATACGGAAAAGGAGGCATCTTTATTGAGAACGTGTCAAGGTCATCCGAATATTGTGAAATTGATTGAAGTTCATCAAGATAGAGCGCACACGTACCTAGTCATGGAATTGTTGTCGGGTGGTGAACTTTTTAAACGAAAGCGACCATTCACCGAGCAGCAAGCCTGTAAAATTGCTCGACAACTCGCCTCGGCTGTGAAATTTATACACTCACGAGGTGTTGTTCATCGTGATTTGAAACCAGAGAACTTAATTTTCTCCCATTCTGGTGATGATGCGTCGATTAAGATTGTTGACTTTGGTTTGGCACAATTGAAACGAGGTTGTGAACCATTACACACGCCTTGTTTTACACTTCCTTATGCTGCTCCTGAGGTTCTCGCGAGGCAGGGCTACGATGAAAGCTGTGATCTTTGGAGTTTAGGTGCTGTTTTGTATTCAATTTTGTCCGGTAAGCCGCCATTTCCGCTGGCGTCCTCAGATCTTGCTTCGAGAATTAAATCAGGTGAAATTAACTTCGATGGGGATGATCTCAATCACGTGTCTGAAACTGGTAAATATTCTTTAGTTATTGTTCTTATGTTGTCACAGGTCAGGGAGAATTCAGGGAAAAGTCAGAGAAAGTAAAATTAGTCAGCCAAAATTCAGGGAATTTTATTAAAAGTTCTGGAAAAATATTCAATTTCTAGAATTCATAAGAAACATCTAAATTTTATTGTTCAGCAGTCTTAAAAAATATATCGAAAAGATTTAATTTAATTTTAAATTCTTTTTACTTCTAACAATATTTTAACTTTACAGATTTGAAATTGAATTTATTTTAAATAAATTAATTCTTGAAAATTTTTTAATACATAGCAGATTCAACTTTAATTAAAAATAAATTTTCTCGAAAGAATTCAATTATTTTCAATACGTTTTGAATTAAATTCGTCGAAAAAACTTGCAAGAATTCAATAATTCCCATACATTACAAATAAAATCCTTCGCAGTAATTCAATTATTTTCAACATAATTTTATTAAAATTTCTTGAAAGAATTCAATTATTTTAAAGAATTTAATTGAATTCTTCAAAAGAATTTAATTATTTTCAGAAAATTTTAATAAAATTCTTCAAAACAATTAAATTATTTTCAACAGTTAAATTAAATTATTTAAATTCAAAATTAAATGATTCCAATTTCAAATAAAATTCTATGCAAATATTATATTACTTCAAATTCAAAATTATAAAAGGTTATAAAAATTATAAAAAGTAATATAAAAATTTATGAAAAATTCCATCTTTTAAAATAGAAAAAAATTTCACATATTATCGCAAAATTGTGGAGAATAAATTAATTTCTAAAATTTTTTTCCAAAAGAATTGTTGCAAAGAATTTTATCAAAAAATTTGATAATACATAATAGAATTCCCTCGAAGAATTTTATTATTTAGGAAAATAATTGAATTCTTGCAAAGAATTTTATTAAAATTTTTGAAAATTGAAATTAACTTCATTTTGAGGAATTTCTTTGAATTTTTTTTAAATATTGGAGTTTCTTTAATAATTTTAATTAAAAATTTTAAAAATAATTGACTTTTATAAACAATTTCTTTCAAGTTTTTAAAATAATCGTGTTTGTTAATAATTGAAATTGAACATTAATTAATTGTTGAATTTTATTCAAACTTTAGAAAATAATTGAATTCTTTTAAAAAATTTTATAACGAATTAAGAAAAAAATAGAATTCTTTCGTGACATTTTTTTGGAAAATAAATAATTGAATTTACTACTTATAAATATGATTGAATTGTTTCGAAGAATTTATTAAATTTTTTAAAAATAATTGAATTTTTTCGAAAAATATTATTAAAATTTTTTTAAAAATTGGATTCTTTCATGAAAAAAAATTGTATTAAAAATAATTGAATTTTTGCAAAGAATTTTACTATTTATAAATATAAATTAATTTTTTGAAGAATTTATTATAATTTTAGAAAATAATTGAATTTTTTCGAAATATTTTATAACCAATTAAGAAAAAAATTGAATTCTTTCGTGACATTTTTTTGAAAATAATTGAATTTTTGCAAAGATTTTACTATTTATAAAAAAATAATTGAATTCTTACGAAGAATGTTATTATTTATGAAACTAATTGAATTCTTGCCAAGAATTTTATTAAAATTTGTGAAATTAAGAAACAAGAATAATTAATTAGTAAAATAGTTAATAATTGAATTTTTTTAAAGTTTGAATCTAAAATTATTTAAAAATTCATATTTGAAAATAAAAAATTTTATAATTTGCATAATAATAATAAATTAAATATCACGTCCCGCGCGCATAACATTTGTAGTTAAAAATTAATGAATTAGAGAAGAATTTTAGTTAAAAATTCTAGAAAGTAATTAAATTGAAAAATCTTGAAAATAATTTTGAATAAATTACAGTAGCAATTCCTTTAAATTATTGAATTTCAATAGGTTTGAATTTGAATGTTTTTAATATCTTAATTCCTAGTGGAAAAGTAATAATAATAATAATGAAATATTTATTTAAAAAAAACTGTTGATATTCCGAATGATTTTAAAAGTTTAAAGATATTAAAAAAATAAATGTATTACAAACATTTTTTTGTGTATATAATTATTTTTAGCGTATTTAAATATTCTTTAGGGTCAGGGAAAAATTCAAAGTTCTGTCTATGGAGGTCAGGGAAATATATAATCAAATTTTTGTGGCAAAGATGTTATGTATTGATATTTTATATTTTTTACTAAAACAATATTATTTTTTGTAGGCAAACAAGTGATGAAAGGCCTGTTAACAACAGAACCGAGTCAACGATTATCAGCGTCGGCTCTCGTTTTTCATCCATGGCTGGCAGGTCAAAATTCCAGTTTCGATGCATCCAGTTTGGAGCCAACGTCGAATAGTAGCTCAATTGATAAGCCAGAGGGTGGTTTCCGTTTACGTGAGGTCGACGGCGCTAAACTCGCTCAACGTCGAAAATTACATAAACGCTCGACTTCCAGCTCCGTGTCTTCGACTGCATCAACAACATCAAGGTCTTCCACCATCTCCTATCAGCATCTTCAACCTCCAAGTGCCACAACAACAGTCACGACAAAATCCTCATCGCCCGCTCAACCAAATGCATTTGATTTTCGTGACGAAAAAGTCAGTGAATATCTCAGTTCACTTTCCTCCTCGTCCGATTCAAATTCACCTGGAAATTATCGACACGAAATGAGAGACGAGCCAAAAGTAAAGAGACGTAAACGCGACATGGATGTGATTTGTGATGATATTAAAGAATCAACCGGTCCTGTTACAAGAGCAAGAAAACGTAAATTAGAACAAAGTGAATCAGACAGTTCGGCTGAATCATCGCCCGAGGTAGTGCGACATTGTAAAAAGGACGTGAATATTCATCGTAAACAAAAATCGGGAAAACGGCCCAAACGCCTTGCCACTATAATAGTCGAATAAATTTTTTCACACTGCCTCTCTCGCAGCAATATTTCATCTAGTTTGCTATGCATTTTTTCAGTGACGTAAATTAACTGTTGCCTTTGGAGTTCGTGCGAGTCACGGATATTGCATCATTCCTATCTCAATAATTATATTTGTATATTATTATTAAATTATTATAGAAAATAAGAATAAAATATTACATTGTACAGATTCTATGTATATTATCAATTAATCTTTATATAAGAAAATGTTCGAAATCTTATGATAAAAATTTATTCGTTATACTAATACTGTATTACTCCAGCTTACCATTTTTTATTGTGATAAAAATCAGTGAATGAAATCTAGCCAATTTTTTACTATCAACGTTAATGAGATGATATTTTTAATGTTTCAAATGAGTAATACATTTTTAATTGTGCACAAAAAAAAACAACAACATAATGCCTACAATGCTTTGTAAGGGAGAGGGAAAAATAGTAGTCTATTAAACTACCAGACAATATATATTTTTTTTCTTCTTTTTTTCTTAGTTTGGTGAAAGTATTCTATTTGAAAGAACAATTTTTTTCTTTCAAAATAATTAACTAAAATAATTTTTTTTTTCTTGAAAGACTATGTATTTATTGTGTTATCTAGGAAATTTATTGTCACACAATTGTACATACTTTGTGGGGGGGAAAAAAAAATTGTGATCTTGTTTTTCATCGTTGAATTATATACATAAATATATTTGGGCATGAAAAATGTAGTATTGAAGAGAATGCCTTTTGTTAAAAAAATTTTTTGAAACTCGATTTCGGCGTGTTTAGTGCTAATTTAAAAGCAAAAGAAAACACAAGGTAAAGACTGAAAAGGTTGTTTATCAACTCAGGGAACAGTCATGCTTACATGAATGGTCTTGCGTTGTCAATATTTGAGATAAAGGTGTTGTTGCCCGTACATCTCCTACCAAAGATGACTAAAAGCAGCACTGCGTTGTGAGACCAAAAAAAAGCAACAAAATAAAAAAAAAAGTGAATCCTATAAATAGACCAGAAACGAAAACTATGTACATTAATAATTTTTTTAAATGTAATTTCAATCCATAATCGTTAATACATATAGATATTTAAAGAGGAAAAAAAGAGGTACATATATATTATATTTAAATAAATAGAAGAAGCAAAGATTATTCTTGTGATAAGTTATCATCAAATTGAAGATTATTCTTGAATGAAAATATCTTTCACGAATGGTATATGAATAACATAAAAATATAGAGCTATATTTTTATTTAGAAAAAAATATTAATTGAAATAATGTTAATAAAATTCATGTATTGGTTACCCGTCTGAGTGGATAACAATTTCTCTAGTGATACATCATTGTTAAAATTATCATTTTAAAATATATATTACATATTATATATATATATATTCATATATGTGCAGAAATCAACTGGCGTATATAGAAAGTTAATTAAGTTTCTTTTTTGTTACTATTTGTAGGTACAAAAAAAATATAAATGATTGTTGAATATATCATTATGATGTATAATTGTTATCACTTTCTTTTCTTCCTCATTTTTTAAAAAATACAAATTTGTATATCTTGTCGTCAGTTTGGAAAATACTATAATGTATGTAAGAAATAAAATTATTTTTCCTTCTCAACAAATGGATTTTTTTATATTCAGACATTTACTGTTTGGTAATTTTATTATTTATTATTATATATTTTTAGTACTGTTATTTTTATTTATCTAATTTAATTTACTTAATGTTTGTTCTTCTCACTGTCTAAATTTGAATTAGTAAAAATGTTTAATAATTTGAATTAGTGAATGACTTTTTGCTTTAGAATTTTTAGTAAATTTTACTTAATATATTAAATAAACAGGGTTGCGTTGCTACAAATTAAGATTTTCAAAATTTCAAATTCAAACATTTTGAAATTCAATCATTATTTTAAATTACAAAAATATTGTTACAGTAATTTCTTCAAAATTATTTTCATCATTTCAATTCAATTATTATTTTCTACAATTTTTAAATAAAATTCTTCTTTAAGTCAATTATTTATAATAATTTTTGATAAAGTTCTGTTGAGAATTTTCAAATTCATTTATTTACTATTCAATTTTACGAAATTTTGATTATTTGGAAACTCTTCAATTAAATATACATATTAGAAAATAAAAACTTGAAATAATTATAAAAAATTTCGATTAAGCTTTTTGAAAAAAAATTAGTTTCATACAATTTCTTAATTAAAAGTATGAAAAATTCAGATTTTCAAAGATTTTAATTTGAAATCTTTACAAAATTCAATTACAAAAAATTGCAATTATTAGTATTATAAAGAATTTTTGTAGAAAAGTTTCAAACAATTGTCTTTTTTCGAAAAAATTTATGCAAATTCTATTTTTAATAATTGAATTCCTGTGAAATTTTTATTATTTTTAAAAAATAATTCAATATTCTGGTAGAAATTTGACAAAATTGTTTTTAAATAATTGAATTCTTTTGAGAAATTTTATTTAAATAGTAGAATATTGAAAATCATTGAATTAAGAAAAATTTTTGAAAATTCATTTTGCAATTTATTTTGCAATGAATTTTATTAAAATTTTTAAACATAATTGAATTCTTGTGATGAATATTTTTATTTATGAAAATAATTGACTTCCTCCGCGAATGATTTTATTTACATCATTAAATTCCTGTGAAATTTTTATTTTTAGAAAATAATTGAATGTTTGTGTAGAATTTTATTAAAATTTTTGTTTGATAATTGAATTCTTTTAGGAAATTTAATTAAAATAGTAGAATATTGAAAATTATTGAATAAAGAAAAAATTTTGAAAATAATTGAAATTTTGACATGAATTTTATTAAATTTTTTGAAAATAATTGAATTTTATTTTACAAATTAGTAAATTTTACTAATAAATAGTAATTTCTACTAATTTATTAGTAAAATTTATTAATTCGAAATCAATAATTCGCAGTCACTAATTAAAATTAGTAAATATTTTTACTAATTCAAATTTAGAGAGTACATTTTTTATTTAAAAAAATATATAAATTATCAAATATTAAATTGTTTGAAATTTTTTTAGGATTTTATCTTTTTTTAATTAATTAATTAATTAATTAATTAATTTCTTAATCATTACATTGAAATGAATTAGCTATAATTAAATAAATATTAAATAGTAAATTATTTGAATTTTTTGAGGTTTTTGCTTTTTTAAATTTATTTATTTATTTTTTAAGTAAAATTATAACAATATTGTTTGTTACAATTTGTTTCTAAAAAAATTCTAAAAATAGTTTTTCATCTTTGTAGCAAATAATCTAAATGATTTTTTTGGTACTAGCAACAATAATATTTTATTAACATTTAATAACAAAAATATATCTAAATCGTAGGTAATTTTTTAAAATTACTTTTGAATTTCCCTCCTCGAAGACATGGAAATTTTGGAAATTATTTCCATGAAAATTTCAAATTTTTAGGCCAATGGCAATCGAGTTTACACGCATGCAAACTTTCTGAGAAGCTTATTGGTTGGTCACAGCCCGGTTTTTTCAAAATTGTCACAATAATTGTTTAATAATTGATATTAAAACGACTATTATGATTGTCTACTGCTTAATATTTTACTTAATTATAGCTATAGTAATTATTTCTCTATGTATTCTTGTATATTTTATTAATTTTATGTTTTTAGGTTTATCATTTTAGAAAATTTTCTCCAAATTGGAAATTTTCTCTTATCGATTTTAACAGACGTGACAACGTTGCTTAAAGAAAATTTGTACATTTGGCAACGTAGTAAAATCGAGCAGAATTTAGTGGCGCCGGGGGCGTATCAAGTTGCTGTCAATTTTCTGTCATTTTTTCCATCTTACTCCAATTGTACAGCAACAAGGTGACTTTTCTCACGTACTATAATATTTTAAATTATTAACTTAACACTGTGGTTTATTTTTTATTTCCCTTTTGAGGAAATAAACTTTTTTCAAGTTTTCACCTGTCATTTTTTTATTATTAGTCCTGCGTGTCACATATCGGCTCCAAAAGTCTATTTCATCATTTTATTTTATTTTACAAATTATAAACTTGATTTCTTAGCAAAAACGTTTATTTATTCTAATTTTGTGAAATTTTTTAGCTGCGAATTTTACGTGTGTGTGAGAAACTTGGATCGATTACATTACAATATAGCTTAAGCATCCCAGCATTGATCAGTGGTAGACACATATATATCTATACTCTTATTAAATTTGGTGCCTGACAAATAACCTCCAATTATTGTCGATTCGAATAACTAATTTAAAAACAATTCACTTTTTATTTGATTTTTAAATAGCCACAATGACGGATTCCAAATATTTCACTACCACCAAAAAGGGTGAAATATTTGAGCTTAAATCTGAACTCAACAATGACAAGAAAGAGAAAAAGAAAGAAGCTGTCAAGAAGGTAATTGTTGCTCTTTTTTTTTAATGACCTGATCTAAGTTTTGTATAAAAATTATTATTTACTAATTTTATTTATATGGTGATAAGAAATTTTTGTCTAATTGTGTAAAATTTGTTTTTTAGGTCATTGCTTCAATGACTGTTGGAAAGGACGTCTCGGCCTTGTTCCCTGATGTTGTGAACTGCATGCAGACTGACAACTTGGAATTGAAGAAACTTGTCTACTTGTATCTAATGAATTATGCCAAAAGTCAGCCAGACATGGCTATCTTGGCAGTCAACACATTTGTAAAGGTAACGTTTCTTAGAAGTCCTGTCTTTTTTTTTCATTATCCTTGTGTTTAAAGCACACTCACCTTTTTTTCTATTACATATTTTTCAATAAGTGCGATTTGATTTAATTATTAAATATACATATGTAAATAAGTTGGACGATGTTGAGAGTCTCTGTCTGTATTGAGGTGAATTGTAAAATGATTTTTTAAATTTTATCCCTTTTGATATTTCTCTTATATCGAACGTTTTTTTTTACAATCTGCCTCAAATTAAAGAACAGGCTGCGCTTTGCAAATCAACAATTTGCACAGAGCCGTCTGCATTGTAGAATAGGATGGAATGCTTTGACGAGTTAGGTTTGAATTGCTTATTTTTAAAGGGCACGAGACTGGAATTTGGTTGATAGCAATTTATTAAATAAAAGAAAAAGAAAAAAAATCGCTTCTTGTACAGAGAATAAATCGTTATTGAACATTTCATTATTTAAAAGTTCATTCATCTTTTTGTCATTGCCGCTTGTGATTGTCTGCACTATTGTCATAATTTTTTCACAATTTCCAAATTCCAGCACCTTATACTCTTCGTATTTTTTTTTTCTATCGGTACTGATTCGTATTTTTGTTGAGAATAATCTGTTTTCTTCTTTGCTTTTTTAAAAATAAAGTTTAACGTGTTCTTTGATATATTTTCTTTTTTAAATTTCTTTAAAAAAATGTCTTTAAAGTTTCGCATGAACTCTAAAATATATCTCTGTCTATATTTTTGTCTCAAAGCACGATTTTATTGGTCAATTTTTGCTTTTATTTTTTTTAAAGTGCTTTCTAATTCAGATAAATATGTTTTTTTTCTTTAATAATTTGTTGCAGTAAATACAATGAAGTAATTTTTTTGGAAGTACAGAAACTCTGAGCACGCGTTCCCAACTATTTTTTTTTTATTAGGGTTAAATACTATTAAACGATCAATTTTTATTTATAATTTATAATTTAATCAAATTACAAAGAGATCTTTATGCATTAATACAATCAAGATCGATTTTTTTTCCAAAGGTGCTGCGAACTGTTTTAATAATTATCTTCACTAATTATTTTTTCTAATTTTATTATTTATAGATTTTTTATATTTAATTTAAAATATATTTCTTTTGTAATTTTTTGTTTCTAAATTTTAATTTGAAACTTTATTGAGTTATTTGCATTCTTAATCGGATTATTTCTAAAATTTATATTTAATCTTCACAATATTACTGAATATTATTTAAAACTTATATTAAAAATTAAAAGATACTATTTCTATATTTAAAAAATTGCTCCAAAGCAATTAGAATAAAATTTAATTTTTAAGGAACAGTATTTTTGAAGAATTATTTATTATTTGGAATTTAATACAATTTTCTATACACACGTCTCTCCCCAACCTACACAAAATTATTAGCACCTTTTGCTGACTTAAAACTTCTTTTCAAATCTCAATAATCATTGAATCTCTGATCACCGAACACTTATTCACGAAAATTTCATTTTATTTCTCTCGCACCGGAAATATTTTCATACATTATTAATTTTGCACAAATCGATTTAGAATTTGGAAATAAAGATTCAGAAGTTTTGAAATAAAAAAAAATGTAAATTTCTTCTTGTAAATTATGCACAGTGTCTGTTGTGAGATTGATTCGAGTGAAAAAGTATTTTCTAGTCAATGATTTTGCGTAAGTTGGCTCGTGCTCTTTGAAGAAAAAATAACTAATTCAAAACACTTGTGTATGAAGTGATTAATATTTTAATATCTCTAATAATTGATAACAATGGTGACGGTGACCAATATTTGAAATTTTTCGTTCTGACACGCAAAAGGAGCTAACGACATCTCCGATGACAAAGGTACCATTCTATTTTTCTATTTTGTTAAAAAAAAAAAAAAAAAACCTCTTGATTGAATTAGATAGATCCTTATTGTGACTAGACTTGAATCCCTGGCGTGACCAATTTTTGCGTAGGATTGCGAGGATCCAAATCCATTAATTCGAGCGTTGGCTGTTCGCACAATGGGATGTATTCGTGTCGAGAAGATCACGGAGTACCTTTGTGAACCACTGAGAAAATGCCTCAAGGATGAAGATCCATACGTGCGAAAAACAGCAGCTGTTTGTGTCGCGAAACTTTATGATATCAAAGCATCGCTTGTCGAGGATCAAGGATTTCTTGATCAACTGAAGGATCTTCTCTCCGACAGTAATCCAATGGTATGTGATAAAAATTAAATTGAAAACTATTCGAAAAAGTAAATTTAAATTTGCTTTTTGACTAATTGATTGTTTCATTTTTAAGGTCGTAGCAAACGCAGTTGCAGCCCTGTCGGAAATTAATGAAGCAAGTCCCAGTGGTCAGCCACTTGTGGAAATGAACGCACAAACGATAAATAAACTACTGACAGCTTTGAACGAATGCACAGAATGGGGCCAGGTCTTTATACTCGATTCGCTAGCAAATTATTCACCGAAGGACGATCGTGAGGCACAAAGTATTTGCGAGAGAATTACACCACGTTTGGCGCACGCGAACGCTGCGGTTGTGCTTTCCGCTGTTAAGGTCACGTATCAAATAATTTGAATTTCTTTCAATTAATTCAGGCCTCGGGTATTATGACTTTTTCGACTATTTTTAAATAGTACGACTTTTATTACCAAATTTGATTTTTTTTGGCTATTTTCTAATTGGATATAATTGTAAAACTATTGTCTTTCAAAAATTATTTTTTAATATTTAAAAAAAATTAATATCATATAAATAATTCAATTTCAGAAGTTGAAATTTTTTAAAATTTATTTCCCATGAAAAGAGAAATAAGAAGTATTTATAAATATTTATTTAGAGAAATTATTCAAGTTTTAATTAATTGAATTTAGAAATCAGTGAAGAATCAGGAAAATACAAAATCAGGGTTGCCACAGGTCAGGGAAATCAGGGAAAAGTCAGGGATTTTTATTGAAAGTACTGGAAAAAATTAAATTTTTGGAATTTATAAGAAAATTCTGAATTTTTGGTGTCTTTTTTGTTTGCCTCATAAACTGTGAAACTACCACTAATTCTAATACAAAACCTTCAAAAATTTTTTCTATTTCTGACAAGAATGAATTTTTTAACATTATTTAATTATTTCAAAAAATTTAACGCAATTATCTTGATAAATAACAAAATTCTTCAAAGAAATTCAATTATTTTTAGGAATTTTAATAAAATTCGAGTAAATTCAATTATTAAAAAAAATTTTAACGAATTTCTCGTCAAGAATTCAATTATCTTTACAAACAGCAAAATTTTTCGGCGAAAATTCAATTAGTATTTTCAGAAATTCAAATAAAAATCTTTGCAAAAGTTCAATTACTTTCAAAAGTTTTTTTTTTTAATTTTATTCAAACTTAAGGAAAGAATACTATTTTAAGAAACATTCAATTATTCTATAAAATAATAAAATTCGTTGCAATAATTTAATTATTTTCATAAATAAAATTTAATTCGTCGCATAAAATCAATTATTTTCAAAAATTTTTAAGTAATTCTGCAAAAGAATTCAATTAGCTTGAAAAACAACAAAATCGCATAAATTCTTCTTATAAAATCAATTATTCTAAGGAATTTTAATAAAATTCTTTTCCAACATTTAATTATTTCGATAAATATCAAAATTCATCACAAATAATAAAATACTTTGCTGAAATTAAATTATTTTCAAAATTTTTTAAAAATACTCGTCAAGAATTAAATTATCTTTATAAGTAGATAGCGAAATTGTTCTCAAGAATTAAATTATTGTTAAAAATTTTAATAAAATTCTTTCCACAATTTCAATTATTTAAACAAAATTTTAAAAAATTCTTCTTATGAATTCAATTGTTTTTAAAAATTATTATTTAAATTCTTCTCAGGAATTGGATTATTTTAAAAAAATTTAATAAAATTTTTCAAAAAGTTTTTAATTATTTTCAAAAATTGTTATAAAATTCTTTAATATAACAAATTTTATTAAAATTTTAATTCTTTAGGAAAAAAGTCAAAGTTCTGTCTGGAAATCAGGGAAAAATAAAGTTAAATTTTTGTGGCAACCCTGAAAATAAAATTTTTGTGACAAAACTGAATTAAATAAACGACTTTTTTTCTATTTTTAATCGACTTTTTTTTGCTCGTTAAAGTTAAACTCAGGCCTGTTAATTTGAATTCATGAATTTTAATGAATTATCTTTCAATTAATTTGAAAAAGAATTTTTTGTTCCAAATGTTCCATTTTTGGACCCAATTTCCAAATAAAATGTTTTTTCAAATTTTAGGTTTTGATGAAACTAATGGAAATGTTGCAATCCGAATCAGACTTTGTGGGAACGCTTACGAAGAAATTGGCACCGCCTCTAGTAACTCTTCTCAGTTCGGAACCGGAAGTTCAATATGTCGCTCTGAGAAATATCAATCTGATTGTTCAGAAGAGACCGGATATTCTGAAGCACGAGATGAAAGTGTTTTTCGTCAAATATAATGATCCAATTTATGTGAAACTGGAGAAATTAGACATCATGATTCGTCTGGCGTCACAGGCCAATATTGCGCAGGTTCTCTCTGAATTGAAGGAATATGCAACCGAGGTCGATGTTGATTTCGTGAGAAAAGCCGTCCGAGCAATTGGACGTTGCGCAATTAAAGTTGAACCATCAGCCGAGAGATGTGTCTCCACTTTATTAGATCTGATCCAAACGAAGGTTCGTTTATTTACCTAAATTTACTCACTAAGGGAATTTATTTACTTACTTTCATAATTATTTATTTTATCATCACAGGTGAATTACGTGGTACAGGAGGCGATTGTCGTGATAAAGGATATTTTCAGAAAATATCCAAACAAATACGAGAGTATAATTTCGACTCTCTGTGAAAATCTCGATACACTTGATGAGCCAGAAGCGCGAGCATCTATGATTTGGATTATTGGCGAGTACGCTGAACGAATTGATAATGCTGATGAATTGCTCGAGAGTTTCTTGGAAGGCTTCCACGATGAGAATACTCAAGTTCAATTGCAATTACTTACGGCTATTGTTAAATTATTCCTGAAACGGCCCACCGATACACAAGAATTGGTGCAACAAGTTCTCAGTTTGGCAACACAAGACTCTGATAATCCTGATTTACGTGATCGTGGATTTATTTACTGGAGGTTACTCAGCACTGATCCCGCGGCAGCTAAAGAAGTTGTACTCGCTGAAAAGCCATTAATTTCGGAGGAAACGGATCTTCTTGAACCAACATTATTGGATGAGTTAATTTGTCACATATCGAGTTTGGCTTCGGTTTATCATAAACCACCAACTGCTTTCGTTGAGGGTAGAACTGCTGGTGCTAGAAAATCACTTCCGGCAAGGAGCAATTCTAACGAGGACGCGGTGCAAAGAACTCACAGTCAGGCTCAAGTTATTCCATCGCAGGATTCGTTGATTGGCGATTTACTCAGTATGGATATTAGTAAGTCTCGGAATTATTAATTTATGTAAATTTGAAAAAAGGTGAATATTTGCAAATTTATATTTCAATTAATTTTTTTAAAGGTGGACCAACAGTTACGCCAGCTGCACCGGCATCCCAAACTGGATTGGGTTTGGATCTCCTGGGCGGTGGTTTGGATGGAATTTTGGGAGGAACAGAAAGTGCGCCGGCTCCTGTTGTTTCCCAGACGACAACCGGACTCTTGGGAGATATATTCGGTTATACACCAGCACCGACATCGTACGTGGCGCCTAAAGTAAATTGGCTACCAGCCGAGAAGGGAAAGGGCTTTGATATCTGGGGTACTTTTTCGAGAAAGTAAGAAATCAATTTATGACAGAATTATATTTGGACTTTTGAAGAAAAAAGAGAAATCTGATTATTAATTTTAACTTTTAGGAATGGACAGATAAGCATGGATATGACATTTACGAACAAAGCAATGCAACCAATGGGTGGCTTTGCTATTCAATTGAATAAGAACAGTTTTGGCTTATCTCCAGCGTCGCCTCTGCAAGTAGCAAGTCCTTTGGCACCAGGCTCCAGTATAGAAGTCAGCGTTTCCCTGTCAACTGCTGGTCCCATACAGCGTATGGAGCCACTTAATAACCTTCAAGTTGCCATCAAAAATAATATCGATGTATTTTATTTCGCTTGTCTCGTTCCAATGAACGTCTATTTCACTGAAGATGGTCAACTCGATAAACGTGTTTTCCTATCGACGTGGAAAGATATCCCCGCACAAAATGAGGTATTTTTCTATGTTCAGAGTTGCCACAGGTCAGGAAATTGAGGGAAAAGTCAGGGAAAGTAGAATTGGTCAGGGGAATCGGGAAAAAATCAGGGATTTTTATTAAAGTACTGGAAAAAATTGATAAATCTATTCATAAATCTATTCAGGGTTCCTACAGAAATCCGAATTTAAAATTCCATACCTTTTCCATGATTTCCAGGTCAAATTTTTACGAAATTCCAGTGGAATTTTAAATCTTATTTCATTATTTTTGTGCTCTTGGAAAATACTTTACTTATCTAATAGTCTCCACCCTTTGGTAAAAAATCTAAAATTATCAAAAATTCAAAAAACCGAATTTCTTAAAATTCAACATTTTTTTCTCTCTTTTACGGGATTTAGCTTTATTATTTTTGTGCTCTTGGAAAATACTTTACTTATCTAATAGTCTCCACCCTTTGGTAAAAAATCTAAAATTATCAAAAATTCAAAAAACCGAATTTCTTAAAATTCAACATTTTTTTCTCTCTTTTACGGGATTTAGCTTTATTATTTTTGTGCTCTTGGAAAATACTTTACTTATTAAATAGTCTCAACTCTTTGGTAAAAAATCTAAAATTATCGAAAATTATCAAAAATTCAAAAATCCGAATTTCTTAAAATTCAACATTTTTTTCTCTCTTTTACGGGATTTAGCTTTATTATTTTTGTGCTCTTGGAAAATACTTTACTTATTAAGTAGTCTCAACTCTTTGGTAAAAAATCTAAAATTATCGAAAATTATCAAAAATTATGAAAAATTCAAAAAACCGAATTTCTTAAAATTCAACATTTTTTCTTCTATTTTATGACATTTAGCTTTTTTATTATTTGAATTTCTATTCAAGAGAAAAAATGGAAAACAGGAAAAATTTAGAAACTTTTAAATATTCCAGTTCTTTTCTATGATTTCCAGAACCCTTTTAAAAATTCCATACTATTTCCATGATTTCCAGATTCTGTAGGAACCCTGTCTATGTAAAAAATATTCGAATACTTTTTTTTTCCAGGTTCAGGATACTTTAACCGGTGTGATGCTCACTGCAGATCAAGTTGTCCAAAAAATGCAGCAAAGTAACGTTTTTACAATTGCAAAAAGAAACGTGGAAGGTCAAGATATGCTCTATCAATCACTCAAATTAACAAATAACGTTTGGGTTCTAAACGAATTGAAAATTCAACCTGGAAATCCAGACGTCACAGTACGTATTATTTTTATTTTAAAGAAACAAATTTTCAAAGTATATATTTTTAACTTAATTTTCATTTTGCAGTTGTCTCTAAAAACAAGATCTGTTGAAGTTGGTGCTGGTGTATTCCAGGCATACAATGCAATCTTACACTCTTAAGTTGCAAAAAAGCATTCCTCGAGTTGTTATATTTTCAACTTGTATAAATTTAAGAAAAAAAAATGTATGAAAAAAATATAGTATTGGTGCTTGTACCAATATAGAATGCTGCGTTCGTCTCTTTCTTAATTAAAGACGGAACAAATACGATTAAAAGTGAGATTCATTTGTTGAAAATTTTTACTAATTTCTAGAAGGTCCAAAGTATTATATAATTCATATAAAAAAAATCGCGTTGGAATATTTATCATCAATTAAGATCTGTGGACAGTGAATATGTACAAAATGGAAATAAAATTTTAATTATTAAATAAAATGTGTATCCACACGATTTGTTGCTTTAAGAAAATAAAATTTTTTCTTTTTATTAAAAAAAAACGATCAAGCACTAGATTTTATATTACACAATTATAGATTTAAATCTTTTTCTTTGTTCTATTTTAGAAAGAGACCTTTTTTGAATAGATCGTAAAAAGTTTATGAACGGATAAAGGTAAATAGCGTAAGAAAAAAAACGTGTAGAGATTAAAAATCTTTACATTATGTAAAATTAATTCTACATATTTTTAAAATTAATGTTAAATACAAGGATCGCTTTAAAGGAAACTGGAGCGTCTTGATAAATGCGATAACAGAAGTATTTTTACAATTTTTATTTACCGAATATATAGAGCGATGTTGAATATATCAAGTATTAACATTGAACCTTCTTCCTAAAAGAACATCCTTCTGTTAGGCGAGCTTTGCCACCGGTCGGTGTGCAAAGTATCGTGCGGCATCCGTCACATTCTACCGGTCGTTGAGCGTGCGAGAAGATTGTTTTGATCGCATAACATCCTGGACATTTGACATCCATAAAATAACTGTTGGGCTTTTGAACCAGCCTCTTCAATTTGTGTTTCCTTTTTTCTTCGGCTGGAGAAGGATGCAATAAGTCTCGTGCTAAAGGCATCTGCAAAACAAATAGAACATTTTAAATCTCCAGTTACTTTAAAATTATAGTCAAATTCATTTATTATCAAAACAATAATAGTGCATTATTTAAAAAGTAAACAGTGAAAGTTTCTTTTTGTTTCCAAAATAAGATAATATGCAACTGTCAAGAGTAGACAAACTATTTCCATTTTAAAAAATTAACCACTTTTTAGTATTTACAAAATATTATTATTAATATTCTCGGGGAAACGAAAGGAAAAAATATCCTTTTTTATTCCATTAATTCGTATTGCACTCTATTACGCCAATTAAGGTAATATGAGATTTTTAGGTTATGTCAAACATTCAATTTGACAGTAATTGCTTTCAATGAAAACATCTCCTTATTGTAAATAAACACTTGCAATCATTAAATGAAGCACATAACAATTGATAGTTGAGAAAATAATACTTTTCAACACAAATATAAATAGAAAAATAATTAACAATATTCGTAAAGCTCCATTGATTTCACGGCATTGCACGACACTTTGCAAAAACGTTTAAGTAAAGCACATTCGAGTAAATTTTCAAATTTTGGTATATTTATGGAAACCACAAATAAAGCCGATTGTTTAATTGCATTTACTTACGTTTTTAGATCAGTATTTATCCTTTAAATTTGCAAAATATTTTCAAGCCACGTGTTTCTATCACGACGCGAAGGTCTGGAAAGGAGCGAGATTTTTTATAGTGATTTCCTAGTTTATTTTGCCGCAGTATGACAAACTGTGTAAAATGAAAAGTTACTTTTATCACTGTTGCCAATATTATAAATATTGCACCGAAGCGCGGGAAGTTTGAGATTTTTCTTAAAAATATAAGAGTAAAATAGTTAATATTTATTTATAAATATTATAAAATTGTAAAAATGGTAGAAAGTAATTGTTTTGAAATAGAAAAAAACTCTGGATATTTTTCGAGTTGTATTTTTTGTAATTTTTTGGGAAAAATAGAGAAAAAAATTTGAATTACGCGCTGCACATGCGCACGTGGGTTGATGAAGAAATGGCAACAGTGCTTTTTTAGGTTAGAAAAACATGACAACCTCGCAGAATTGCTGCCGGTTTGACAGAAGCTCGTCTAATCCGCTCGAATTCGCTTGATCATGAATCGTCTTGTCTTTTTTATTCGTAAGTGAAACGGGTAATTTTTTCCCCTTGAGTTGTGATAATATTCACAAGTGAAGCCGGTTTTTGCTCGTCTTTGCGAGCAATTCGAGAGGAAGATATTTAACGGGCAGTGTGTGGTGCTGTGGTGAAAGGGATGAGGAGCGGGCGCGAAGGAATTATTATTCGGATGGTGATTTGAAAACAGAAATGTTGAAGTTTGGCAGCAAGAGCGATGTCACAGTGGTGCATCGCGCCACTATTCGCCTTTTAGATGATGCAGAAATTCTTCATTGTGATTTTCAGGTGAGCATTCTGTGAAATTTCAATTTTTACATGTCAGGAAAGAATTGACAGGGACCGCAGGTACCACAGGTACCACATCTAACTGAGAGTATTAAAACTACTTGTAATTTTTTTCTTGTTTTTTTTTTTTTTGGTTTCTCAAAAGTTCTAATGATAGGGTTAGATTTTTGCAAAGTGAAGAAATTGGTGGGTTTTTGAATCTGATAGGAATAAAGTTTCTGTCAGAAGAACGGGAAGGACCCTTGAATTTTCGAGTATTAATTTGTTTACCTAACCTCCAGTTTTATGCTTTAATTCTAAGGGTTGGGGTGTTGAATCTTAATGTATGAAAAAAACATGTCACTGCTTTTTGTATTTTAACAATTCAAGGTAAATGTGTTGATAGATTTTTATAAGTTGATATGACAGCTGAGCAGAGACTACTTAAAACTATAGTTCTTTCGATTTTCCCTTTAAAATATATATTTATACAACAAATGATGAGCTTTAACACAGTAATTTTAGTTCTCTCTACAATTAGTTATAACTAATTACTATTTATGTATTTAGAAGAGAAATTTTTAAAAAGTTTTCTTTTCGATTTTTTCGCTAAATATCATTTAATATTCTTTTGAAATATAAATTTAAAGGGTAGAGCTTATTACTGTGAACATATCAGGGTCATTTACAATTTATGAGCAACGTTAGGTATTATTGACCTTATTAAGCATAAGGTTTGTAATTTAAAAATAACTTTTATTTCATCAATCATTCTTTTTTCTATAATAATATGTAAATAATTACTATTCATACTTGTATTTATTGTGGAAAAATAATTACGTTTCTCATAAAATTATTCAATAATATCATTTTTTATTTGAAAAAAAAGTATATAAGTTTATTATAGTCTTTGCTCTATCAACTTAAAGAAAATTGGAGAATAATTCTTCCTAATGAGATTAGAACTGAAGAATAGGGTCGACAATCTTGAAACACATACCCTTCTATGCGAAACTGTGCTAAGAAACAGAATATAGCGAAATTAAAATCTTTATACACAAGAAAATTAACTTTAACCTTTGAAACTTTTAATTCAATTATTAAACTAATCGTTTCACCACAAAATTTCGAGAAATATTCTAAAGAAATTTTAAATATAAATTTTGAAAAATTTTACAAACTTTACAATAATTATTTTTACAGTTTTACAATTATTTCTAATTTGTTTTCTCTAACTTGATTTTAATTTTCTTCAACATTGCTCTACTTTTGTCTATAAAAATTGAACAAGAAGTGAAAGATAGTAATTTTCAAACACTCGCTTAAAAAAACATGCAGAAATGCAAAAAAGAATATGCAGTTCAGAATTCTTGAAGTAATCTGTAATTTAATCTTAGAAAACATTTCCTTACGATTTTTGCCTCTTGTTTGTTTATTTTTCTTGTTATTAAAAATAGATCGTTTTATATTTTTCAGCCGCAAGATAAAGGAAGACACATTCTCGAATATGTTTGTAAACAACTCAATATTTTGGAAACCGATTACTTTGGACTTCGATATGTCGATCATTGTAGACAAAGGGTGAGTTTTTAATTACATAGTTCGAAATTAACCAATTAGTTCGAAAGAAATTTAAATTGTAATTATAATTTGGAAAAAAATATTAATTTAGAAAATTAGAATTTTTATTCTAGGCAAAAATTTGAATTTGAAAATAATTTTCCTGGATGTATGTGTACGACACGGTAAAGAGAGAAAACTGTCTATTACTTAAATCTTTAAATCAGAAAATTTAAAGAAGCGGAAGGAAAGTTATTCTTTGAAATTATAGTTTATATAGAAAAATGTACTGTAAACCATATAAAGAACAGCAGTTATTAAATTGGAATTTTAATACTTTTACAAATTCACACGAGCGTTGCACTCAAAATTCCATGGAAAGTGGTTTTACTTTCGTTTTAATTTGAATAAAATCTCTGGTGTATTATCCCTACAAACACGATATTGATTTTATGCACTTGGAAAAGTCATATGAAACAGCCTGTGAAATGAGTTCGTTCTTCCAGAAATGCGTCACTTTGATGTTTACTTTCTAAGTAAATTATACTTGATATAGTTTTTGAAAAAAAAAAATTAAATTTTCAAATATCTACAATGAAAAGACGAAGACGCTTTAATTTGAACAAAAACTATTTTTATCTTTTGTCTTATAAACACGCGATCCAAACCAAAGAAGGAAAAAAAATATTCATTAGAGTTGAAAATTAAAATTTAACTTCCTTGACAATTTCTTGAAACTGAAATAATCGAAAAATTGCTTTTTGAACATAGTTTCTCGCACATATTATGCGATTTTACGTAATCGTCTTCATAGCCTCTTAATTATTTCTGGCCTTTTCTCCTCTCAAAATATTCAGTTTTTTTTCCTTACCTACTCGTTTTGCAAGGAATTCATTTCCTGTTGCCTTTTTTCCCTACCTAATTGTACATACATTCTGTAATTGCAGAATTAACAAAAAATTGCAACTCTAAATTAAAAGGATTACAAATTTAATATAATTTAATTTTATTCACGGAAATTAATTTGCCTATTAATTTTTAATTACTCTTTTGTTACAGCATTGGCTCGATTTAGCGAAAACGGTTGTAAAACAAATTAAGGGTAAGTGTGGATTAAAAATTTATTACATTGAAAAAAGGAAGGGTAGAAATTTGAATTTTTTATTTATGGAAATAAAATTTGATTGGAAGGGAAAAATAAATTTTTCCAATATGAAAAATCGTTAAATTTATTGGTATTTAATATTTTCGTTTATAATGTAAATTGAATATTAAATTTAAATTCTCAATGAAAGTATATCGCCAGTTGTTATCAAGGTTTTAACGTCGTTGAAGTCTAGCAATTCTTTTCTTTCCCTAATTACACGCGGGTCGAAGTTGTAAGAAAGTTTCAGGGTGAAGAGCGGGGAGCGACCCTATAATTTTTTCCCCCTCTGTTTCTACACTTTATACTATATAGTTATCTAGAATGCCAATACATTGTCAAAAGATTATAGACTTATATTCTACAGTCGCTGTAAAAATATCTTTTAAAACAGTGAAATAGTTTATTTATAATGGCGAGCACGAAATTTTTATTTATAAATTATGCACGTGGACGTAAAGAAAATTGCAACTCCTTTACTTAAATTATATGTGCAAAATTTATCTAAAATAATATTTTAAATTTAAGTGCAGTAGTTAATTTTTATTTTTTCTTTAAAATTTTCAGTATTGCATTTTTTCAACAAGCTATTTTATCAATATAAAAAACTGCAATTAATTTAAAATTCCTTTTGTTGATTTTCAATTTTAATAATTAAAAATCATTTATTAATTAGAAATTATTTTTAATCAATTGCTAAAAATCTAACATTATTTTGAATTAATTTTAAAAAAATTTTAATTTACTTTAATTATTTGTTAATAATTTAAAAGAACTGTAAATTAATTTTTGATAATTTAGATGATCCATAAGTTTTCAATGTTAAAATAAACGAAATATTTTCATAAATTACTGATTGCAATAAAAATTTAAGTTTTACATTTGGAACTTTAAAAATTAATTTTTTTGATAGTGACACAAAATTATTACAATAAAGCTTTAATTTAAAGAAGAAAAAAATTATTTTCTTTCATTTGTACGTTTTTTAGTTGTATAAAATTATCTTTAATTTATTTTTAATAATTTAAAATTACTTTGAATTAATTTTTAATAATTTATCATTATTTTTAATTAATTGTTCATCATGTAAAAGAACTTTAAATTAATTTTTAATTTTTTAAATGATGCAAAAGTTTTCAATGTTCAAATTAAGAAAATATTTCTGATTAAAAATATTTTTATAAATTACTGATTGCAATAAAAATTTAAAATTTTAATTCTACATTGAGTAACTTTAAAAATTAATTTTATTGATAGTGACGCAAGATTATTGTAATAAAAATTTAATTTGAAGAAGAAATAAATGAATTTCGTTCATTTGAGCGTTCAGAACTTTAGGATTATTTTTGAATAGTATAAAATTACTTTTAATTCATTTTGAACTATTTAAAATTATTTGTAATTAATTGTTAACAATTTAAAATTATTTTTAATTAATTGTTAACAATTTAAAATTATTTTTAATTATTTGTTAGTATTTTAAAAGAACTTTAAATTAATTTTTAATTTTTAAAATGATCCACAAGTTTTTAATGCTCAAATAAACGAAATATTTCTAATTAAAACTATTTTCATAAATTACTGATTGCAATAAAAATTAAAAATTGAAAGTCTACATTTAGAAACTTTAAAAATTAATTTTTTTGACAGTAACGAAAAATTATTGTAATTAAAATTTAATTTGAAGGAGAAATAAATAAATTTCTATCATTTGAACGTTTAGAATTTCAGAATCACTTTTTTATTAATTTAAAATTACTTTTCATTTTTAATAATTTAAGTTTACTTTCAATTAATTTTTACTAATTTAAAATTAAAAAATTTAGTAAAAAAAAACTCTATTTCTTATTTTATCTATAAAAAGATTTATCGTTATTCGAAAGGATCCGTTTAATATGACTTTTATTTACTCGTTTATTTAGTTTATTGAGTAAATAATTTGGTACATATTACTTTTCTGAATATGTCGCAGAAGAGTTTTAAGAAATCTTTGCCAAATTGTCTATTTGTCCTCGACTTCATTTCACACTTAAGTATTATCTCTTTTGTTTTTTTTTTCGTTTTTATTTTTAAGTTCGAAAAGGAGAATTAACGATTAAGGAGTAGAAAAAAAATTATAAACTTTTTTTTATTATTGAAAAGTTCTTGAAAATATTTAATCATACAGATTTTCTTTTTAATAAATTTTTTGTGTATTGTATTAAAGTATTTTTTTGTTCGCAATTTTTTGTTATTAAATTAAACTCGTATTTCTTGTCTTAAAGTTCTTGGGACACATATATTTTTAAAGTATGGGGTGAATTTAGGAGAGGCACGTCTCAGAAAATGAAAAATTTAAGACCTCTGAACTCTCAAGATGCTTTCAAGATTGATTTAAAGATAAACGTTGTGTTACAAGAGAAAAAATGTTTCTAATTAATTTATTTCGTTTGGTGTAAAAATGAAAAATTTGAATATAATTACAAGTATCTACCTATAAAATAAAATTATAATTTATAAATTTTTTATTAATAAATTATTTATTACAAATTTGTTTTTTTTTACAAATTTGTGAAATAATAAATGATTTACTTTCTGTCTCATTAATTTTACTAACGAATAAATTTTCTTGAATTTTCTTGCAGATATGGACCCAATATTATTCAGTTTCCGCGTGAAATTTTATCCACCGGATCCACTGCGATTGAAAGAGGAGATCACGCGGTATCAAATTTACCAGCAATTAAAAAGGGACCTTCTACATGGACGACTTTACTGTAGTCCAGGTGAAGCTTCTTTACTCGCTGCCTGTATCGTACAAAGTAAGTTTCACTGATAGTAAATCTTTACTTGAACGCAACATGCAAATTTATGTGCATAAATTCACAAAATCATTAACTAAATCACCATAGTCCCTAACAAAAGGCACGAAATTAATGAATTGCCATTTACAGAACGATAAATTCAACGAAAATATGAAAATGTCTCTTCATTTATTTTATAATAATAAAGACAAAAAAAAATTGAATGTAATTTTTTTTTGGAAAATATTTAAAATAGGGGAAATTTAAAAGTACATTGCTCGCTATTTTTTTTCTCTTATTTTTGCTCATGAAAGTCCAGTGAATATACCCTTTATATACATACAGCTTGTCTTTTACGTGACCAAAAAGCAGATGAGATGTTGATATTCTATTCAAAGTTTAAAGTGTCTCGGTATCTAAATTCTAACTTCTAAACTAGTCACTGAAAACTCTTGAAACTTTGAATTTCTAACAATCTTCTTCAATTTGATTTTGAAATCTTACTCTTTAATTAACTTGAAATATCCATTTCCGCGAGGGAAATTCGGTATTATTTTCTAGAGAAGTGTTCTTGCAGTTTCTTTAATTTCTATTTAAAAATCGGGATTTATTTTTTTGTATAGAAGAATAATGAGAATTAAAAGAGTTGATTATAATGGAAAAAGAAAAAAATGAAAACTAGAAAAAAGAGAAAAAAATAGAAAATACAGGGCTTGAACTAGCTATTTTGTTTGAAAAAGTACGAAAAGTTCGTTAATTAAAGTTATAATTTGGAGAATTTTGGAGTAGTTAAAAATGATTGCAAAATTTCAATTATTTTCAAAAATGTTTCTTAACTCAATGATTTTTAATATCTACTATTTTAATAAAAATTTCCAAAAGAATTCAATTATTTTTAAAAACTTTAATAAAATTGCAAAAATTCAATTATTATTTTTATAACTAATAAAACTCATCGCAGGATTCCAATTATTTTGTATACAATTTTAAATGAATTCCTCAAAAAATGCAGTTATTCTGAAAAAATGTTATTACACTTCTTCAAAAGAATTAAATTAGGTATTCAAAAAAAAATTTTATAAAATTCTTTGCAAACCTTCAATTATTTTCATAAATAATAAAATGTTTAATGGAATTTAACTACTTTAAAGCACAATTATCTTAAAAATTTTCGTAAAAAATCAATTACTTAAAAAGATTTTAATAAAATTCTTTGCAAGAGTGCAAAAGAAAAAGCTTTAATAAAATTCGTTGCAAAAATTTAATTATTTTCATAAATAATAAATGCAATTTCTTCAAAAGAATTCAATTATGTTCAAAAATTTTTAAAAATTCTTGTCAAAATCTCTTATTTGACTCGGACTGGTTATATTTTGTTAGTAATCGGTCCGTAATTTTTCATTTTTGGTCCGTAAAGTCCGTATTTTTAAAACTTTCGGTGGTTCGAGCCCTGAAAATAAGAAATAGAAAATAATAAATAGAAAATAGAAAAAATTGAATTGAACAAAGTAAGAAATAAAATAAAGGATACAGAAAAGAATAAATGAAATAAAATTTTAAATCAATAAAATAAATTGTGAATTTATGTAATTTTGATATTGGAGACGAATTTTGATATTTGAAGTGATTTTTGTATCTCTCTTTCTTGCTGTGATTCTTGATACTATTGATTTTGTTTAACATTGATTCAGGCGAACTGGGGGACTATGATCCAGAGATTCATGAGAGTAACTATATCTCGGAACATAAATTACTACTAAAGCAAACCGAGACAATCGAGGAAAAAGCCATGGATTTGCATCAAACGCAACTTAAAGGTTTTACACCGGAACAAGCGGAAACGCATTTTCTCAGGCTAGCTTCCCAATTGGACACGTATGCCGTCGATCCACATCCTGTTAAGGTAAATAAAAAATTCCGATTTGTATTACATAAAATTCGCTTTCTCTCGTGCGATAAAAAATCCATTACTCTAACAAGTTGCTCATTCACATTTTTTATTTTTTATTTTGTCCGAAATAAAATGTTTTTTTTTTTTTTTTTAATTTTTAGCTATGTATATTAATGCATTTTATTTGAAAATGAATTCAATACTATCGTTGTTCACCACTCGTTTAATGTGAGGGTGAAAAGTTTTTCCCGTTTTTCCGATTATGTCATGAATCCAATTCTAGAGAGTGTGCACCTTGTCGATCGATCCGTTCCAGTCCCAGAAGACATTCAATGTACGATCGTCAATTTTTGGAATAGTTTTTTCGTGGCTTGAATTTTTCCTCCTCATCATCATTCACAAAATATGAATTATATCTTTTCTTTTTACTGCAAACGTAGTATTTTACTTTTATTATTTTAACTTTTTACCATTTTACTAATTTACTTTTTACTGTCTTACTATTTTAATATTTTCCTTTTTATTATTTTTATTATCACAAGAAAAATTGTTCTATTTTGGAAAAGAAAAATAAATTTTTTTTACTATTGAAGGAAAAAAATTCCATTTTGGGGGAGAATAAAAATAATTTTCTTTTTTTTAGGATCATAAGGGTACACAACTGTACCTTGGAATAAATCACAGTGGAATTCTGACGTTTCAAGGCTCGAGAAAAACTAATCACTTTCGCTGGTCCGAAGTACAAAAGATCAATTACGAAGGGAAAATGTTTATCGTTCACTTAACAATCAATGAGGTAAGAAAGGCCAATTTTTCATTTTTAGTTGAAACATTATTGAGTCTAAAGCTCGGGGCTTTTATATAAAAAGCTTTCTAAGCTAGATCGTAGCATCTTTTATTATAAATAAGTCTTTTAAGCCAAGCAAATTCAAGTAGATTGGGGGGAAAATTTTTTTCCCCTAATTAAATTCGAAATATTAAATTCAAAAAAAAAATATAATTTTTATACAAAAGAAATTTATTTGGTTTTTTGGAAAAATTTTCCATTATCAGAAAGATAATGTTGATAATGTTCTGTTGTCAAAATCGATTAAGAGGTGTTTAAAAGTTTTCTCGCCTATTTTGGAAGACCTTCAAAATGAAAAAAAAGAAGTTGTCATTTTCTCGGGGGGGTTTTTTTTTCCGATAATGTTCTACAAATCGATAGGATGACCTCGGCCCTCTACTTGAAAGTGGTTTATAGGATTACAAATTCCAAAGCCATCAGTTGTGTTAATACGTCTCGCATCTTGTGCAACATGTAAAGCTTCGTACTTTTGCGAAGCGCCAATTTACATTGGTGCATGTGCACCTAACTTTTAATCATCCAGGTGGATATATACATATATCACTTTCTGAATGAAAACTTTAAGTCCTGAACTTTTCGTACTATCGATTCATTTTTCAAAATGTTCCATCTAATTTTAGTCTCTATCCAAACTCAATCTTAATTCAGTTTTTATTCTAAAAAATACTAAAAATACTAAAAAATATTTATAAATATTAATAAATGTTTATAAAATTATAAATATTAATAAATGTCTATAAAATTATAAATATTAAACAAATGTTTATAATTATTTGTTTATATTTATTAATAAGTAGGAAAAAGTTAATATACATTAAATCCAAATAAGTACTTTCTAAATATCCTTCTAATTCTAGCTAAAAATGTAGAAATTATTTTTAATAATACCATTTGAGGGAAAACTCGATTAAACGATAATTAGAGAAATTGTTTGATGATGGATTTGTAAATAAAATAATTATTTTTGATTATATATCTTTGGTTTCTAAATTGACTTTTTTTTTCCTGCGATGGTATGAGCATTAAGTGATCAGTTCTCTATTTGATCAAAGTCTAAAACCACTTTAAATGAATTGATCGCGTGAAATACTTTCTTGGGAATGTATTTCCGACATGAACAGATTCGAGTTTGATGAATCTATTTTTCACGATCAAATATGTATCACATTGTTGGAAATCCGGTTATGAAGTCACGGAACAGGAAAGGGAGTTTTTGCTATCGAAAGATTGCATTATATTGAATGCCATTGAACATTGACCGCAAGTCAATAAATTTCGAAATTTACTTTTACTTTTGGGGATGAATCATTTAGTTCCTTGTTCTAATAGTAAAGCAATAATTAATTAAAATTAATGTATTAATAAATAATTCAAATTAATAAATGAATTATTAATTAAAATAATAAATTAATCATTCATGTATTAATAATCGTTGTGTTTCGATAATCTGTTCGCGGTTTGAAGTTAAATGTTGTTTGATTTTTGTTTTGTAATTTTTTTAAAAAATTTTTCTTTTTAAATATTTTCAATTTTTAAATTAATGTAATTCTTCTCGTGAAGAAGTTTATTAAAATTTTTGAAAATTCTAATTAAATTCTTTTGAAGAATATCTTTTATTTTTTTTTTTTAATAATGGAGTTACTTTAATAATTTTAATGAAAATTTTTAGAAATAATTGAATTTTATGAACAATTTCTTTCAAGTTTTTAAAATAATCGTGTTTGTTAATAATTCAAATTAAACATTTAATTCTTAAATTTTATTAAAATTTTAGAAAATAATTGAATTCTTTTGAAAAATTTTATAACGAATTGTTAAGACAAAAATTTAATTCTTTCCTGACATTTTTTTGAAAATAATTGAATTTTTCCAAAGAATTTTACCATTTATAAATAAAATTGAATTGTTTCGTCGTGAATTTTTTTTGAAAATAATTGAAGTTTTGCAAAGAACTTTATAAATATTATGAAAAAAATTGAATTCTTTCGTGAAATTTTTTTGAAAATAATTGGATTTTTGCAAAGATTTTACTATTTAAAAAAATAATTATTGTTTTGAAGAATTTATTAAAATTTTAGAAAATAATTGAATTTTATTGAAAATAATTGAATTTTTTCAAAGAATTTTACTATTTATAATTAAAATTGAATTGTTTCGTGAATTTTTTTTTGAAAATAATTAAATTTTTGCAAAGATTTTACAACGAATTAAGAAAAAAATTGAATTCTTTCGTGAAATTTTTTTGAAAATAATTGGATTTTTGCAAAGATTTTACTATTTAAAAAAATAATTGAATTGTTTCGAAAAATTTATTAAACTTTTAGAAAATAATTGAATTTTATTGAAATTGTTTATAACGAATTAAGAAAAAAATTGAAGTCTCTCGTGAAATTGTTTAAGATATAATTGAATTTTTGTAAATAATTTTGCTATTTATAGATATAATCGAATTGTTTCGAAGGATTTATTAAAATTGTAGAAAATAATTGATTTTTTTCAAAAATTTTTTTAAAATTCATATTTGAAAATAAAAAATTTTGCAATTTGCATATAATAATAATAATAAATTGAATATTACGTTCCGTGCGTTAGCGCTCGTAACATTTGCTAGTTCAAATTAATAAATTATAATTTATTAAAGTTAATAAATTAATAATTAATTAATTCTATTATTAGTAGAATTAATATTTATTTATTACTTTATCATCGTATTACTATATTACAATCAGGGTTTATTATTGGAATATTAGTTGAAAACTTTTAGAGAAACTTTTTAGAGAATATGGAGAAAACCAAAACCCAAATAAATTTGTTTCTTTTCTTGTTTTTTGATTAAAGGGTTAAAATTATCAGACTTTTCGCTTGATTTTTTGTCTCTATTGACTTGTTTTTTTTCTGGCTTGAAAAATCTTTTATCATCGGATTTGAAATATGTATATATAGTATAGAAATAGACTAAGTAATCTCATTACTTCTCGCTGCGCATTGCCCAGGACACGAGGACGAAGGTGAGTCGTTTCATTTTGTTGCAGTTGCACGTTGGAGCTTAGACAGAAACACACAATATACAGAAAAAAATAGTTCTTTACGACCTCGACGACGTTACCTACTTTTTTTTTTCTCTCTTTCTCTGTGTGTAAAAGTGATGAATATTGTGAAGCGAAAGAAATTTAACAGCCGAGGATTTTCTTTTTCAGTGCCAATTTCTTATTATTATTATGATCTTTTCTTTTATTATTTATTTCATAATCAATAATGAGCTCTCATTTCAATTTCTCGAGACGTGTAAAATAGTAGAATTTTACAGTTTTGAAAAAATTAATATAATAGTTGGAGAAAATTTTGAAAGTTGGAGAAAAGTTTTATATTTTGTTTAAGGAGGGCAGAGGACGAATTTCAAAAAGTAGATCAGTTATTTAACGAAATAGGATTACTTGTGACTTATTTCAGAATTTGAAATTTAAATTTTAAAATTTTATTCATTTGATATGTGAGTCAAAATGTGGATATTGTATATATATGTTAGTCGTTTGAGCTTGGGAAAACAGAAACGTTTTCTACAATATCGTTTGAAATGACAAAACTTTTTCGTTGGGGGATTTTATTGTTTATAGAAACGCTCTATTTTTATTTCTCTCATCAAGAAGACGTCTATGATGCTATAAATTCTATTCTTATTCAAATTTTTTTTCTTTCGCAGATTTTTTAATTGGGAGTTTATTTTTCTTCCTTTCATTTTAAAAGCATAAAAGCTTTTAGAGCGGTTTCAGTAGTTTTCATTTTTGTTATTTAAAATAATATATTTTTATTTTATGCAACTTTGTAAATATAAAAATATTTATTTGGAAAAAACGTTTCTTAATTGTTGTAATAATAATAGCGAAATATTAATTAATCTTTTGTATTTTATTTTAGTTTATTAATTAATTAAAAATTAATAGTTTAATTATTTAAAATAATAATTAAATCGCTTACTGTCTGCTAAATAATTTAATGATTATATAAATAATTCAATTTGAAAATTTAATTCGAGATTTAATTTTCTATTCATTTTGATCATTTTGATTTAAGTCGGAATTCCAGTTATTTGTAATAATTATTTTTTTTTGCTTTCGAAGAGTAATTGTTGAGAGTTGTTGGTTTTTGTTTAACGCGAACTTGACCTTTATCGTCTTTTTATATATTCAGAATTTTTATCAGTTATTTTATGCATGTCATTTCCTCATTCGGTGCTGTCTTTCTTTTGCTTCACGCAAAAATTAATAAGTTAATAAGAAAATTGAAAAAATGACGGACTGTTTATTATTGAACATCTAGACATAATCTTCACGTTCGCACATTTTTTTTTTATTTGTACTTTATCATTTTTTTCTCAGGGGAAATAAAAATAACATTAAATATTTCTAAAAATTATCAATTAAATTAATTATTTTTATTATAAGTAATAAATTAATAAATTAATTAAACAATATTTAAAAAAAATATTTTTGATAGACTTCTTAGGAAGACGAATTATAGTAATTTTAGTAGCAATTCGAATTCGTAAATAATAATTTAATTGATAAATAATCGGAATGTATTTTCTATTTTATAAAAAATGAGAAACGTGAAGATAAATGGCTAATATTTATGATTATTATTATTAGTAAATTGTACCCTTAGTTATCACTTAATTATATAGATTAGATCAGTCTGGAAGTGTTCTATCCCGCATTTTCAGAAAAAACATACCGTCGGATTTAAGTGTCCAACGGGGTCAAATTGTCGACATGTTTGGAGATGCGCCATCGAGCAAATGCTATTTTTTACGTGAGTATCTAATTGAAGATTAATTCTTTTTTACTAGTGTTTTTTTATTAATAAACGCAAAATTGTATTATTAAGCCCCGCTAGATAAATAGTAACTAAAACAGAAATTTTGTTGCATTTTTGTTTTTTTCTTAATAAAATATTCATAGAAGCCAATTTGTAGATTTATTGATTATTTAGAAGATAAACTACTAGATTCAATATTTAACTAAAAAAAATATTGAACGTAAATAAAAAATATTTAACGCAAATGAAAAATATTTAACGAAATTGAAAAATATTTAATGTACATAAAAAATATTTAACGAAAAAAAATGTTGAACGTAAATGAAAAATATTTAACGTAAAAAAAAATATTTAACGAAAAATAAAATCCGGAATAAATATTTGTCGAAGACTTAGAATTTAATTCTTATTATTATTAGAAAAAAATTCCTTCGTATTACGTATCGATTTTTTTTAAATAACTTGACTCGGAGATTGAACGAAAATTGGTTTTAAATTGAATCAATATGTACCATCTGTTGTAACTAGCATATAAAACTTTCCATTGAAGAACTTTTATAGTTAACTTAACACATGGGTGTAAATGATATAACTTCTGCTACATATACACGTCTATTTACAACCAAGTTAAAATCTATCATTACATCATTTGAATTTCTAAGCAAGATTTTAATTTTCTTCCGTATTTCACTTTTCAAAAAGAACAATCCAATAATTTTTATTTCAATCTTTTTAAAAGGGAAAATTAATTTTTTGATTCTAATTCTTTTTGTCTTTCAATTGTCTTTAATTCTGTCAATTCATATTTTTTTCATTATTATCAAATTAATTTTCATTATTTTTCAATATTTGAAAGGAAAAAAAGAATGTAAAAATTGTATTATTAATTTTTTATAAATAATATTGTTAATTTTATTAATTTTTTAAAAGTTTGTTTTGAATGCACTTGAAAGGATTTATGATTTGGTGTCTTTTTTTTCTTCGTATAGCTTGCCGAGAGCTTCAGATGCACCGGTATTGAGTGGCGGTTCCATATTTTCCTGGGGTACAAAATTTAAATACACTGGAAGAACGGAAAGGGAAGTACTGGAAGAAGCAGGACCACTTCGAAACGAAGAACCTCCCATTCAACGCTGCCATTCTACGGGTCTTAGAAGAAAAGCTAGTAGTGTACCTGCGACCCCGAGTACTCCGAGTCAAGATCTCGTTGAGATTCGTCAGTATTTTTTTTCCATTAAGTCAATTTCTTTCATTTCATATTTTTTTCAGATATTTTTTCTCCTTTTTTTTGTTTGCTATTTGTAATTGAAATCCGCAATGCGAGCAGTTTCGATTTTTCTAAAGACTGAAAGAACTGGTTTTTAAATCGCTAATTGGTTTAATTTTTCAGGGTTGCCACAGATCGGGGAAAAGTCAGGGAAAGTATAATTGGTCAGGGAAAAGTCAGGGATTTTTAGTAAAAGTACTGGAAAAAATTGAATTTTTAAAATTCATAAGAAAACTCTGAATTTTGTTGTTTTTTTTGTTTGCCTCATTTTCTATGAAATTACCAAGAATTTTTATACAAAACCTTCAATTTCTTGTATTTTTGACAATAATTTCTTTTCAAATAAATTCATTCTTGGAAAACTATCATAAAATTATTACTTATGAATTATTTAATGAATAATTTTACTTAAATATTTCAAATTTAATTGAATTTTAAAAGAGTTGCGTTTACAATTTCCATAAACAGATGGACAACAAAAGGTTTTAATTTGAAATTTTAGAAAATTCCAATCTTGAATGAATTTAATTAGAAATTTTAATGAACTTAGATTTTTCAAAAATTTCAATAATTCAAATTCTTCTGAAATTAGTTACATTTTTAAATATATATTTAATTAATTATTAAAGATAATAGATTTATAGAAGAATTTTAGTTAAAAATACTAAAAAGAATTGAATTTTAGAAAAGTTACAAATGATTATTTTCAAAAGTGATAAAATTTTATTTTTTAAAGTCAAAAATTTTAAAAGAATTCTCGTCAAAATTTCAAGTATCTTCATAAATAATAAAATTCTTCTCCAAAATTCAATTATTTTCGAAAATTTTCCTCAATTCAATAATTTTCAATATCTATTTTAATAGAATTTTTCAAAAGAATTCAATTATGTATTTATAAAAAAATTTTGATAAAATTCAACGCAAACATTTAATTATTTTCATAAACAATCAAAATATCACAAGAATTTAATTTTTATTTACAAATTTTTTATAAATTTCTGCTGAATAATTCAATTATTTTCATAAATATAATTATTTACATGGATTCAATTTTTTCATGAATAATAAAACTCATTTTTAATACAATTTTAATTTCAATTTTGTTGAAATTAGTTGAATTTTTTAATATGTATTTAATATTTTTTCCAAAATTTTAAAGCAATTTTTAGAAAAAAAATCAATTATCTTGATAAATATCAAAATTCTTCGCTGAAATTCAATTACCTATTTAAAAAAATTATAATAAAATTCTACGCAAACATTTAATTATTTTCATGCACAATAAAAATTGTCCAGGATTTCAATTATTTACAAATTTTTTATAAATTTTTTCGCAATAATTCAATTATTTTTATAAATAAGAAAACTATTCTCAGGAATTTAATTATTTTCATATAAATAATAAAACTCATCGCAAGATTTTAATTATTTTTTGATAGAATTTTAATCAAATTCCTCGAAAAATGTAATTATTCTTAAAAATTTTATTAAAATTCGCCAAAAGAATTCAATAATTAAAAAATTTAATGATAAAATTCTTTATGAGAATTCAATTTTAATGAACATTCAATTATTCAATAAATTATTTACTTTTGAATTTAAATAATTGAATTTTCGCAGAATTTCCTTATAAAAATTGATTTAAAAATTAATTTCCGAATTTTACTACTTGTAAAAATAATTGAATTCTTGCGAAGGATTTTATTAAGATTTATTTGTAAATAATTAAAGTTTTTTTGAAAAATTTTATGGTTATTTAAATTATTATAAAACATGAAGAAATCGATCACTCCGAGTCTTCGACTCGTAATTTTACTACATTTTTTTTTAAATAATTGAAATCCTGTGATGAATTTTATTATTAATGAAAATAATTAGTTGAATTCTTGCAACGAACTTTATTACATTTTTTTCAAATAATTCAATTCTTTTGAGAGATTTTATTAAAATAGTAGGTATTTTGAAAATATTTGAATTTCAACGAAGAATTTTATAACAATTTTAAAAAATAAATTGAATTCTTACATAAATTTTTTACTTCTTGAAAATAATTACATTTTTCGAGAAATTCATTTAAGATTGTATAAAAAATAATTTAAATCATTTGAAAAATTTTATTATTAATGAAAATAATTAATTGAATTCTTGCAACAAACTTTATTACATTTTTTTCAAATAATTCAATTTATGTGAAACATTTTATTAATTATACAAATAATTGAATTCTTGCGAAGGATTTTATTTGAATTTTTGTAAATAATTTAATTTTTTTTAAATTGAATGGAAATTTAAATTATTATAAAACATGAAGATATCGATCACTTCGACTCGGAGTGATCGATATCTTCATGTTTTATAATAAATAATTTCATAGGTTGTTAATTTCAAAAGGTATGAATTTAAAATTATTGATAATCTTCAAGATGGGAAAATAATAATGATTAAATATTTATTTAAAGAAGTAGTTATTGATGTTTTCGAATAATTTTACGATTAAAGAAATTTGTAAATAAGTGGAATAGAAAATATTTTTGAGTATCTAATAATTTTTAGAGTGAATCAGAATATTCTTTAGGGTCAGGGAAAAAGTCAAAATTTTGTCTGGAAATCAGGGAAAAACAAAATTAAATATTTGTGCCAACTCTGTTTTTATTTGAATTATTACGGGAATTTTTGGAAAATATTATTTTAACTGTTACGGTAGTTTTTAAAAATTAAAAATTTTTATTCGCATTTGTTTCCTTTCCTTTAATTAATGAATATTATTGTTTTCAGGATATTCCAGTTTACCGAGGAGCTGTCATAGCGCAGGTCTTGATGGTGCCGGGATGGCTGACATAGCAAGTGGAGTTCCTTTAAGTTCTCCTTACTGCCCTGACAATACCTTACCACTTTTAGAAACTGTATCTGAAGATCAAGAAATACACACTAGAAGAAATAATGGTTAGTATAAAGAAGGAGTTTTCGAATTAAAAAAAATTTCCTTTTAGTAGAAATTCCTTACGAACCGAAAACGCTTTCTAGAAAAGAAGCTTCTCAAAAATTTTTGATTTGATTAAGCGATTAAAAAATTGTTCATCTATTTTTTGTAAGAACAAAATACATTTTTTTTTTTCTTTAAGAGCACTGCATGAAAATTTTCCGCGTATTTAATGCTGCATGGAAATTATTTTCTCGCTATTTTTCTATTTTTTTTTTGTTTAGTTAATTTCCATTAAATAAGATTTGATTTGAAAAAAATTCTCGTTCAACAGAATCTTAACTTTTAGTTACTTTCTCGCAATTTTGTTTGGCTTTTTTTAATTCTTGATTTGGTTTTTCTTTTTTTCTGTTCTTTTAGCCCTAAACGAGAATGAATCGCATGCGAGTGACACCCACTCCACAAGTACCTTCACAACCACAAATCAAGCGAAAATAGTGAAATTTCCAAAGAGCACACTAAATCGACCACAACCGTTGTATAGTCAAAAAATAATAATAGGCTCCGACGAATTGACCGGGAATATTGAAAGCATCGTGAAACAGAAAATAGATTCACTTGATAAAAGTCCAAAAGTTGTCAGATCAACGGCTTTAATAATAAAGACATCAAAAACACCGTCGAAATGTAAAACAAATGGGAATTTAATCAACAACAATAACAACAATGGAAACGCGATTACCTGTCGGGATAATAATTATTCACAGGAGAAAATTGCCATCAATCAGGTAAGACTAAATGGAAGCAATTCAACAACAGAGAAATCTAATGATCATTCGGAATATAAAAATTCTTTCTTAACAAAGACAAACACTGTGCAGAATCTTAGTCCATCAAACTGGGGTCAAGAGATTCTTCGCAATGTTGGAAATGGAATTGATGCTATTAAGAGACATTACGATTCGTCAGGTAAGAGTTGTTGTCGATTAATTTGTTTTTTTCTCTATTTTTCCCCACAGGCAATTAAATAGTTGAAATAAAAGAAAAAAAATTGTATAATTAATAAAAAAAAATTTTTTTTGTGTTTCAGCCTGTCAACATGAAGGGGATGCAAACGATTATTATTTCCGTGATTCATTTGATCATTCGTCATCGGATAATCAATTAATGGATGCAACTGGAAAAACACATAATCGTCAAGTGACACCAGTGCCGAAAATGCAGAAATTGCAGAATACAAAAATAAGTTCACAATCACGTCGTAATGGAGTTAAAATAAAAGAGAAAAGTCTACGAGTGGTTAAACTATTGATACCTGCATTTATGATAACAATAACCGTGATATTTATCGCGATTGTTTTGATATTTGAAACGGACTCAAATTTCGTCAACAGCCTGCGCAAAACGCCGGAAATGGTGGCCTTACAAAATCAATTTTACGTACCTATTAAGGAATTTCTTAAGAGCAAGCTCGGCCTATTTTGATTACGTACCGAGCTATTTAGAAATGAGATTGTTCTTATTAATCACGTGCTCCTTTAATGACAGTGCCAATCTAAAAAAAAGGCACAACAGTGCCATGAGTCAGCGATTTGTTTTTTTTTTTTTATTATGCAAATGCTTTTTAAAAAAGCAATATTTGATCATTAATTATTTTTTTTAATGGAATTTTTATTTACAACTCGATTATTGTTTTAAAGTATTTTTTACTTTATTGATCTGCAGGCCTCGGATAGTACGACTTTTTTCGACTATTTTTAAAAAATGCGAAAATAAGTGAGTTTTTTAAGTTTTTCATTAGAATTCGTGAAAATCGAAATTTTGATGAATTTTAATTGCAAATTTTTTAAATAATTGAATCAAAACATTTTCATTTAAATGAATTACAATGAAAATTTGAAAATTCAAATTAATTAAAATTAGCTTCAAATTTTGAAGAATTTTAATTGCAAATTTTTAAAATAATTGATTCTAAAAGTTATTAATTAAATGAATTTAAATGAAAATTTGAAAATTAAAATTAAAAATTAGTTTCAAATTTTTAAGAATTTTAATTGCAAATTTTTTAAATAATTAAGTCTAAAATTTTTTTAACGAATTGTCTTCAAATGAAAATTAATTAAAATTAGCTTCAAATTTTGAAGAATTTAAATTGCAAATTTTTTAAATAATTAATTCTAAAAATGTTTAATGAAATAAATTAAAATGGAATTTTGAATATTAAAATTAATGAAAATTAACTTTAAATTTCGAAAAAGTTTAATTGCAAATTTTTTTAATAATTGATTCTAAAAATTTCTAATAAAATGAATTTAAACAAAAATTTGAAAATTAAAATTAATAAAAATTAGCTTCGCCAAATTGTTTTAAAATATTTTTTAAAAAAGTAATTCTTAGAATTTTTTCATTATATATATTTTTTTAATTAATTAAAATATTTTAGAATTTTACCAAATCTTCCGAATTTAATTAAAATTGTTCAAAAAATTGATTAAGTTTTTTAAATTGTCCAAAAATTCTTTTAAGAAGTTCAATTATTTTCAATAATATCATAAAAGGTAAAAGTATTAAAAATATTTTTAAAATCTACTTTTTTAAACTTATTAAAATTGTGATGAAATCCTATTTTCATATTTGTAATTAAAATTCTTCAAAAACTTAATTATTTTTTAATATTTTCCAAAAATTCAATTATTTTCAAAAGATATTACTAATTTCCGATTATTTGGAAATATTCTAATATATAATTAAAAAATCTATTATTTTTCAAATATTAATTTTAAAATATTTATAAAAAATCAATTTTAGTAAGTTATTTACTATAATTTTTTAAAAATCAATTATTTTCTTAAAGATAATTCTTTTTATTTTTATTTTCTTTTTATTATTTTCTTAAATACTTTTCAAAAGAAACGCAAAGAAGAGTTGTTACAATTATTTTAAAAATTTGAATTTTTGTATTTAAATAATTGATTTAGAGAAGAAATTTTATTAGAAATTGTAGAAAATTATTAAATTCTGGAAGTTTTACAGTTTTAACTTTTTGGAAATAATAATTAAATTTCAGAAGGTTTGAAATTGATGTTGAATTGAAATTTATTTAACAAAATTAGTGAAGTTTTGAATAATTGAATTTAGAAAGCAATGAAAGGTGCGGAAAATACAAATTGAAACTTTGTTACAACACTGAATAAAGTTAAGGACTTTTTCGACTTTTTTTTGTATCTTTAATCTTTTCTTTGTGCCCTAAAGTAGATCCGAGGCCTGTCATCTGTTTACTGAAATTGAATTTGACAGAATTTTATCCTAAAAATTGGATAAATATTCGATTTTTGTTTATTTATTTTTTATCTATTTTTTGAATTCATTTATATTTTATTCAATACCAAAATTATGTTTTGTGAAAAAGTAAGTTTTGTGTTTTTAAAAATTGTTATTTAGTTGATAAGTCTTTTTTTGTTACTTTTATTTTGTTCGAAAAAAAGTATTTAAATTGTTTTTTTTATTTATGTCGATAAATATTTTGGAATTTATTTTAATTTATTATATTATCGTTTATTTCGTTTTTAATTTAAATTTTAATGAAAAATTATAATTTTTTGTCGGAAAGTTTTTGATAATTTCTGGAAAGATTAAAAATTTTATGATTCTTTTTTTATTATCGATAAAAAAAAATGAATAACACGGTCTTCCGGTGACCTTTCGAGAAAATGATAGTGTAATGTTGAAAAAAAGAGATTTTACACTATGTATTAGTTATATATTCGTGACGTGAAAATGCTTGTGAAGCTCAAAAAAGCTATTCGATATTTGTTTGATAGAATTGAATTTTATCTCGTTTGAATGTCAGTGATAGAGAATGGCCTATCGGAATCTAATGAATCAGTGGAGTCTTTCATTTTTTTCTCCAAAAAAGGACTTTTTCTTAAAAAAGAGACTTTTTTCAAAAGAAAAGAACTTTTTTTGTTTAATTATGAAAATATCTTTCTATAGAAAGGATTAAATTTACTATTAATACAAAAGGAAGCACTGACAAAAATAAAAACCGATGTAAGATACGATTTATATGTTTGCATATAATAAGAAATTTATTATTGGTAATAGGAAATAATTTAATGATCAACGAAAAAGAAAACAATTCGTTTAGGTAGATAGTTGTGTAACTAGTAGTAAATAATAATCTACTGGAATAATCAATGTAAGAGCGAGACGGATTTTTTTTCTTGTTGTACATAGAAAAAAGTATCCGTGTACTTGAGAAAAATTAATTCCTTCATTTTATATGAGGGAAAAGCTCAGATGATATTACAAAAAATTTTATGAATTTCAAAACCAGTGATTTTTTTTGTTTTGTTTTGAATATTAAACTTGTGTCGAATATATTCTCGAATATTCGACAGAAGTTGAATATTATTTTATCATCTAATGTAAATATTATTCATTTTTGCAACATGTGCTCCCAATGAATGTATTTTCTTTCTATTCTAGTCTTGAATAATATTGTACAGATAATATTAGTGAATCGCTAAAATGATCGTTAATAGGCTTATTTATTTCACAGTTGAATTAATGCTTTAGAGTTTATATACAAACATAGAGATGCAATATTGGTACTTAGTGCCCCAAGATCTTCCAAATAGGAAGTACTTAAACACTTAATTCGTATATTATTATTATTATAATTTTTAATTTATTTTATTGAATTTAAAAAAAAAATTATTCCTCTATTTTATTTTGTAAATTAAGCATAATTATGTTTTATTTATTCTTATTTTCATTTTATTTGTTGGAATTAATTTAATTCGTTAAATTTATTTGAAATTTGATGAATTGCTTATTATAAATAAAATTATGATAAATGATGTGCGGTTAAATTAAAATAGTTGAATAATTAAATGGTTAAAATAGATTTCTATTCTTCTATAGCTTTATAATCAGTTAAGTTTATAACTTCGGTGCACGTGTTGCAAATGTACTTGAGTTATAATGTATATTTGTTTCTCTATGGAATATCGACTAATTGATTAATCAGTTTTTGTGTAAAATAATCAATGATACTGGAATGATTGTAATTCAATTATTTATTTATTGAAAATAGGGAAAGTCTGATAATGCAGTTGGGACTTGGGACCAAGTGATGAAAATTAGCAAATTCAACGAAACTTAGAATTTTCTATAAAGAGACTGCATTTATTTCTTTTTTTTTCTTTTTTAAAGAAAAAATTTTACAATTTTTACTATTAATTTTATTTCCATCAATCATTCCAGTATTATTTGCTAATTAATTTTATCGACATTGTTACTTAATTTATTGATTTTCATTGAAAGAAATTAAGAATTAGTTTTTTTTAAAATTAAGAACTAATTTTCTAAAAATTAAGAATTAATTTTGAAAATAAAATATTCAGCGATATTTCGTATTGTTATAATTTGAAAGAATAAGACAGCCTACGCGATATACATACAAATAAACAAATGTCAATTGAAAAAAAATGTAATCTAATTTTAGTATAAGTTCGAAAGAAAACAAAAAAAGAAATTTGCTAAGACACAGGTGCAAAAACGGTATCAAAAAGAAAAGAGAGAAAAGAAAAATTATAAAAAAAATTCATCGGTAGAATATTTTTTAATAATCAGGCTATTAAAATTTGAAAATTATGAGTGTGGTGATAAATTATGGCGTTGTAATTTAAAAATTGATCTCTTATTTGTTAGGAGAGATCTCGATTGAAAGGGAAATATGAAAATTAATTTTTAGTCTTTGGTACTTAACAGAAAATTAAGATGTGAAGAAATAATTTTAGATGCGGCATTTGATAATTAAGTTTACATAAACAATACGTACCTATGCGATGACATTCTTCTTGCCAATTGTACGTAATTATCAATTATCGTTAGAATTTTTAAATTTCATTTTTCTCATGTAGAAGAAATCGCTAATGAAAATTTAATTAAACAAAAAATCTTTCGATTTTATTTTCTCGTTTCTAAATTTTTTCCCTCTCTATAATTTAGTGTTTCCTACAAGTTAGCGATTTTTTGTTCATGAAATTTTTGTAGTTTCGCTTTGATAAAATATTGTATATTGAAAATGTAGTTAAAATGTCTCTTATTTCAAAAAAAGTGATAATAAAAATGAATGTTTTCTAAAACTGAATTTTTGTTTTTCAAGGCAAATTTAAGTATAATTAGATTAGAATTGAATTAAAATTCTTAGAAGAATTTTCAATTATTGAAAGTTCGTAAATATTTTTTCTGTAACCATTCAAAAAAAAATTTTTCTATTTCGAATTCTAAGAATTTTAGTTTTTTGAAAAATAAAATAACATTTTGCTTTATGTATTTAGTAAAGACTGAAAAAAAATCAGACGATCGAATTATATGTACATTAAAAAATTGGAAAATAAAAATGCTTTTAGCTTCACATATCACTTAGGGATATGAAACATTCTTTTGGTATGTTAATAAAGAAACTACGAGAATATAGAAAAGCTTCGACTTGTGTGTCTTATAAAGATAAAATAATAATTTAAAGCATAAAAAAAGATTAAAAAAAAAAATTATCTCAGTTTTTGTACGTCGCTGGTGACCCAAAATGGTCGAATTATGAATTTTATATATGATAAAAAGAAGAAGAAACACCAAAAACTTGCTTAATCAAAATCTTTGTAATACTCTTCGAATTTTTTTATGCTTGTCTTAGCGTAAAATTTTAGTCATTAAATATATTTCAAATGCAGCTCATATTTTTTGTCTTCTGGAATAGGAAAAAAAGTGAATTGTTTCTAGCTTCCTTTTCTGTTAATGACATCCGATTTTTATTAATTGTCCGCGATTTTCTCTTTCAAATTATATCGCTTAGAAGCTTAGATGTAGATCAAGACATTTGTTGCTTAATTTCAATGCTGTGCAAAAAAACAGCATTTGAAAAAACAAATTCGAGTCGAAATCAAAGACGTTCTTTTTGGATAAATAAAATTTAATAAAATTGTAATTAAATCCTTCAATTCTTTGGAACTGAAATTATACACTAATGTTAGAAATTTTCGTAAAATAATTTCTGACAAATTTCTAGTAATTTATTTATTTTTTTTAATAACAATATTGTAGAAGCGGAAAATCTTCAATTGATTGTGAACTGTTTTTTATTTTATTTTACTCGTTAGATTATTTTTTGTTCGTAATTGAAAAAGGAATATTTTCCATTTTCTAAAAGTATAGAAAGTAGTACAAAAGTGGTTTTTCCGATAATTATTTCTCTTTATCTTCCTTCGAGTTTATTAATAATTAATAAACGAAAAAGAAAAGCAGTATCACAGTTAATTGAAGTTTTTTTTTCTTTTAAAGATGACCTGCTTTTTTTGTTCAAGATCATCGCTGCACGATCGAAATATATTTGCACTTTTTCAAGGAATACTCGGACTTATATTACTTCCCAAACTACTTTAATCTTTTGATTTCAGAATTAAAAAAAAATATCTTTTTATTTTATAATTCACAAATTTTGAACGTTCAAATAAAATCAATTATTTTCAAAAATTTTGATAAAATTCTTAGTATGAATTCAATGATAAATTTCTCTGATTCGCAAAAATTTTGTAAATTAAAAAATTAATTTGATGAAGAAAAAAATAAATTTCGTTTTGAACTTCAGAACTTTAGGATCGCTTGATTTTTTAGTCAAAGGTATAAAAATAAGGTAATTTAAATGAAATTATTAAGAAATCTTGTAAATTTAAATGTTTATATTAATCTAAATTTACATGAACGCCAGTAAATAATATTGCGATGTGTTGAGATTTTCCTTTTATTGTTTATATCCATCGGAATTGATATTCTAATATTAGGAGTGAGATAATTCTTTATTTGCATGAGTTAAATAAATAGTTTTTTTATGCGAATCGGTAGGAAATTCGAATTCAATTATTCGAATTTCTAAATTATTAAAAGAGCACTCTGTAAAAAACCTAAGAATATTCCCCAACTATTTATTTATTTTTCTCTTTTATGAGTCAATTTTCTTACTTTTCGTAGTGTATAATATGTACGTCTTAATTATTACAAACGAGTGTTAAATTAATCGTAAAAAATTAATTTTAATGCGAAAATGAAAAAATATAATCATCTAAAATATTTGTCGAAATAAGTCTTTTTTTTCTTTTGAAGATTAATTTAACACTCATTTCTTTTTTAGAACAGTTCATCTATAATAATGTATGGAAAAAAGTGAGAGAACATAAATGAAAAATTACTTATTTTTTTCTTTTTTTCTTATGAAACAAACTCTGAAAATCGATTAACAAATGTAGAAATAAATCGGAATTATTTGCAAAAGGTAGAATTAATTATTAATTAATTAATTAATTAATTAATACCGATTATCATAGATGAACTGATTGAATTACATATTTTTTTTGAAATTCATTGTATGTTTCTTTTTCTAGGCGTGAATTTCGCAGTATCGAAAATTTTATATTAAAAAAATGCTTCTTTTCTTCTAAATCACACTGAAAGTGTGATTTCATTCTAGAAAATGAGAAAACAAAAATATCTATGCAAAACCGATTATACGCTTTTTAAAAAACTAGAAGATACTTTTAAAATTTAATATTTTTTCTTTTTTTTTGTTTTTTTTTGTTTAATTGCACTGTGGCAATGGACTTTACGACTGATTTTCTGTAAGCAGAAACTTTTTATACAAAGAGAAGTCAGTCGCGAACATAGATAATATGGCACGGCTTTTGAGTACAATTTATTTCACAGATTTTTTTTCAGCAGTTAACATTTTTTTTTAAATTCGAACTATAGATGCTTGTGTAATAGAACCATTTATTTTTATTAGAATTATTATAGCGAAAACTAAAAGAAAATTACGATTAAAGCTACGTCCAAAATGGAGACGTTGATTATTAATATTTTTTTTTATTACAACATTTATAGTTCGAAAGCCCTGCTATAGAATAGTGAATATCTATCTATCGTTGATTTTATTATTGTGTCATGTATCATATCTATTTTTTTTTAGAATAGAATCTTCAACATCGAATACGAAATTTTCTAAATTGATTATTTTTAAGAAAGATTTTTCTAAATTTTCGCAGTTAATTCGAGACTTATATTTATTGAATATCAAAAAACATATTTAAAAGGATCATAGAAATATCGCGGATAAATTCGTTTAAGAAATTCTTTTAAATAGATTTATTAAATATAAAATGTTGATTTTTATTAAAAAGATGTATAAAATTTACTTTTTAATTAAAATTATCTAATTAGTCTTATGTTTAAAAAATTTTCCGAACACGTTTCATTTTAGACATCATTTGTTTCTTTTTCTTTTTAATCTTTCTTTTTATTTAAAATTCGATTTATAATTGTAAAAAAGGATAGAAAATAATTATTATAGAAATCAAAGTATAAAATGTGGAAGATTCTACTTGATATTATATAGTAAATTTTTTCTTTTCTATGCACACGTGAAATTAGTCGAGATTTTTAAGCTTCTTTTTTCTTTCTAGGACACTGGTAGTAAAGAATAAAAAAAAATTATTTCAATTAGAAGTATCAGTCAGGTACTAAAAATGTATCCTAGAAAATACTCAAAGATTGTTTAAAAGGAAAAAAAATTATCAAATTTCGATTAATGTGTCAGAAAAATTTTGTTTCTTTCAAAAAAGAAAATAGAAAGAAACATAATTGACACTCTTAGAAATTAATTATAAACTAAAGAAGACAAGCTACAAGAAGTAAACTTTTGTCAATAATATTTGCTTCGAATTTTTAAACTTCCATCAAACTTAATTTCTAAAATTTAGTTTTTACACAATTTTTTTTTAATTTTCAATAATGAATTAACGAATAAATTTGTAAACAATTATTTTCAATATATAAAAATGTAATTTAACTCTCGAAATTGAGAAATACTAACAAGATAAATTGTGACAAAAATTGAAAATTGTAAATTGCAAAGCGAAATCACAGGTAATTATTTTCAATAATTATTTTTCACAGGTAAACAATATTAAAAGCTTTGGATATTCAATTTTTCTATAAAAAAAAATATCGCGCTAATAAATCCTACTTTAAAATTAATTTAATTCCTCTCGCTTCAATTTTTGAAAGCAAAATGAATGACGTAATTTCGAATGAAAAGCGTTTCAATAAGTACGCAATTGTTTTATAACTTATTTTTCTTTCTTTGGCAAATACCTCTTTTATGAGAACAGAAAAAAACCTGAAAAATGTAGAAAATAATAGAGTTAATTTCGTAAATTACGGGATAAAAAAATATTAGTAAATACCTTTTTTAAACTCACTTTGTAATTGAAAAAAGGACCTAAAGGAAATTGTGTGCTTTCTATTCTTATTGAATTACACAATTTCTGTTTCTTTGCGCCAAACCGGCTCTCGAAAGATCGCGTTCGATTTCATCGTCATCTTCAATTCTGTCGAGTAGAAATGATAAATTGTGAAAAGAATAAGATAAAATATTTTATTTACAGTGAAAAATGGCATTGAAATCTATAAATAATTTCTAAAACTTACGCTCTTTCTTGAGTGTCGAGATGATGTACCAATTCGTCTCTCTTATTCACTATGGAAACCAATTCTTCGAGCAATAAATCCTCTCGTATTTTTTGCTCCGCTGATTTTTGCCACTCTTCAACAGCAAGAATGCTCCTGAGTTCCTGATTCAGAAGTTCAAATCTACGTTCTAAATCGTCTTCTTTTTCTCTGCAAAAATTCAATAAATTTTATTTCATCTTTAAGGCAGTTTATTTATTATTAATTGACAGTTTAAAATTTTGTTTTGGAAAAAATAAATTTTATATTTTATTAGAAGAATTTTAAGAATTCTGATCTATTTAATTCATTTAATTTAACAAAATATCGGTTATTTTTTATCCTTTCTTTCAATTCTTATTTACAGCACTGAGTGATGAAACTTACAGACGATTATCGTCGCTATTAATTCTGACAGTGTCAAATTTGTTGAAATAAGAATTGCGAAAGAAAAGAAGGAAACATTCAATTTAACTATTAGTAGAGAAATTAAAAATAAAATTAATGGCATTATTAAATTGAGTCAAGTACTGTCAATTGATAAAATTTAAGTAATTCTGTAAATTTTCCATTTTTTGTGTCGACACGAAATCAAATTAAGAAATTAAATTCATTTTCGTGTCGACTCGAAACTAAATTAATAAATTGAATTTATTTTCGTGTCGACTCGAAACTTAATTAAGAAACTGAATTTAATTTCGTGTCGACTCGAAACTAAATTAACAAATTGATTTCATTTTTGCTTCAGCATCTTTCCTTGACAATTATAATTCGAGATTGATATTAAATTTGAAAGTAAATTACAGAATATTCAACTGCATCTGTCTCCTCAGGAGGGCATTCTTCTTATTGACAAGAGTGAACCACAAGGACATCAGTCTTTCCGTTTCCTCTTCATTGTCACTTTCCATAGCAGCTCGCAGTTGCTTCTCGAGTTTAGCAGCTTGAATATCGATTTGACTTTGCTCTCTTTCCAAAGCTTCCAACTCATTCTGAATATACGAAGTCATATCTTTTCCCAACTGAAATTAGAAAAAAAGAAATTTTCAATTTCTCTTTATTTTAAAAAATCTTTAAAAATAAAAAGAAAAGTGAAAATTTAACATGAATTTTCTATAAATTCTACTTGGAATTTTTTATTTCAAAAAAAAATTTCTCAATGAATTTAGAGAAAGAAATAAAGAATGCAGAATAATTAAAATTGAATAATTAATAAATTGGGAAAATAATATTACCCCTCGCAATACGTAGGGACCTCCATCGGGATAAGTTTTCTCCGGAGAAATTCTTTCCATAATTTTTGAAAATGAATAAAGTGGACTCGAGCATTTTTTATCAACGTCCGACACTGGTGTACTTGACAAAACATTTCCATTATGTTCCGACTGGAAAATATATAAAAAAAAATATTAATCAATAATTCTACTGTTTTTTCTTTCAATTTATCAATTTTGCCTTGACTCTCACCTTAATGCTAATTCGATCGCCGGGAGTTGAGGGCGTAATACTTCTTCTAGGACTGTTATTCTGATCATCAGTTGATCGCCGATCACTGTTATTGTCATCAGTAATTTGATTACTCGAAACAGTGACTCCAAGTCTTGCCTCGGCAATTAATCGTCTTGCTCGTTCTCTCAATTGCTGCTGCCTCTCTTCATCGCTTTGCTGTTACATATTTCAATTTGCCGATTAATTTACCAATTCAACGCCAATAATAAATAGAACAATAAATTTTCAGTCCTAATTATTATTGTATTCCACTAAATAATTGTATTTTAATATTTCAAATCAATTCATTAAATTGGTATTAAAATTAATCATTTATTAATTTTTCCCTGATTTCCAGACAAAATTTTGACTTTTTCCCTAACCCTAAAGAATATTCTGATTTACTCTAAAAATTATTCAAAAATCAGATTAAATTCGATTTTAATACTAAATTAATTTAATAAAAAATTAGATTAATATCAAATCGCTTAGATATTAATTGACAATATTCAAAAACACTTTTAAGACGAATTTCACCTATAAAACGTAAAAATCACTGCACGCTAAATATTACTTGATTAAAATAAAATCTAGCGGGAATTTTGTGATTGAAACTAATAATGAGGCATGCTTGTTTTAATGTATACTAAATGATAAAAAAGACGAACCTCCACAGGGCTCGTGGCTAGAGAACTAAGACCAGACTTGGATTGATTTCTCGCTTGTTCCAAAAGCAATCTCGCACGTTCTCTAAGTTCGTCATGACGGGTAACTAGAGGCTGTTAAAAGTTTACGTCAACAAAAAAACAAAATCTAGCAAAAGCAAACAACATTAGTATTTTGAGAGTGAAAAATAAAGACAATAATTACGTGTTGCCCATGATTTTCGTCCTTGGAAGGCGATAAAGCTCGCGTCTCCGATTGTGCACGAGTTCCTTTGTCCGGAGAAAATGGTGATCCCTAAAAAAGAAATAAAGAAAATTAGTCATCAAATTCTTCGCTAATCGAGGCGAAGAATTCACCTCGAATAAAGCGAGTGGAAATATTTTGGGGAAACAAATATTTAGAAGAAAGTAATTTTTCAATTAATATTAATTAATAGTAATTGAATAAACGAACATAATAATCGTTAAAAAAAAAGGTCTCCAAATATTTTTGTTATCAATATTTGAAAAATCAATTACTATTATTAATTAAAAATTAATATTAATCTGGAGAATCTCAAAAGCGATGAAATTGTACAGCGAATATTAAGAATGCAACTAAGTAAAAAATTTACACATGCGGTAGAAAATAAAATTTAGCGAAGATAATTAAAAAAAAGTGCGTAAAATCTAGCATTTTTTTCAAGTACTCCCGATGCATTTACAATGCGCAAAAATAATAAAACGTGCAGGCATTGAATTTCTTTAATAAAGGCGCTAATTAAAAAACGTACTTCAGTTGGGAACGTGATTTTGAATAAGAATTTTGTAACAAAAGGTTTTTTTTATGAGGGGAAAGAGCTTTCCACATTGACAATTTCGTTACTAATTAGTGAATGAACGCATCTTATCACGTTCGCAACTTGGTAAATTTTCGTAAAAAAAATTTTTTTTTTTGCTCTAATCAAACTCAAGACTTTTTTTTGGAATACTGACATCTTGAACAGATGTTGATAATTTCGAGGCAGAAATTGATCGTGATATTTTATCATCAACAATCTGTATATTTTCCTCTTCGTCATCGCTACCGAAAGGATCAGTTAATTGCCGCCGAGTCATAAGAATCGGACGTTGCTGTATTTGCGCACTTCTCGGAGGAGATTTACTCTAAATTCAATATTTATTATTTCGTTTTTCATTGAATGTGTTAATAAATAACACTTGATAATTTTACTAATTTTATGTATCAAAATAATTGATTTAATAACAGAATAAGTTAAATTATTAAATAAATATATTAAATAAATAAAATAATTAAATATATTAAATAATTAAATAGATTAAATAATTAAATAAATTCAATAATTAAATTAAGTAGATAAGTTAACTTATTCTGCAATTAAATCGTTAAATAAAATTGATAGAGTAAAGTGAAAAATTCCAGAAAAATCATTCGCTACAGAATTCGATAAAAATGCACAAACTGAAATTAATTGAAATGAAAGAGTCACCTTTTCTCTCGAGGCGAATTTCTCTTTAGTTGGTGAAAGAACTTTTCCGAGAATACTTTTCGAGCTGGCTAAAATTATATCCTTTACTTCTTTTACACTAGACGGTGATTTATCTTTGTTATTCTCATGATCTTGATTATCTGTATTTAAACTCAAATGCAATCGACTCTTCAATGAATCAATATTATCCTCCTTCTTCTGATCAAATGGATTAGACCTTTGGAAAATTAATTTAATTTTTATTTTCTTATTTTCAATTTAGTTTTCTTTCAAAATGAAATGTTTTTCGAAATTTATTTTTTCAGTAAATTTTTGTTTGGATTTTTTAAATTTAAATTCATTTTGAACTTGAATATAAAATATTTTGATCGTCTTACCATCTTCCACTTTCTGATTTATTATTTCTTTGTTCAATCTGTTCCTTTTTGCGTAAATTAATAATTTCTTGTCCAAAAAGTTGAACACTCACGTCAGCTTTATTGTCGGTATTGAAACGTCCTATCATGTACGAGGACTCATCTGTTGTTTTACCAATTTGATGTACCTGAAGAGAAAAAAACGAGAAATTTTTAGAAACATAAATAATAAATTCTATATTTTGTTAGATATTAAATTTAAACTTAAATTAATTTAGACATTTTAATTTATGGATAATCCATTGAAATTAAATTACAAATTTCTCGTAATGAATCAAATATTTTACCTCTAATTCATGACCGGTAAAATGTGCTCTCAACTGATATAAATATGTCATCACAGCTAATTTATCAGGTACTGTCAAAATATCCATATCCGCTGGTTCAATAACCTTTGGAATTCCTAAATTTTCCCCGGCGTCGAACGCTTTCTTGCAATTCCCTTTCACGTCATGCGACAACAAAGAATCTATGTCTCTGCAATTAAAAGTTGATTTGAATTTAAAAAAAGATTCATTTTTTCCCACTTTCAATTCTACCGGTTTCTTTTAATTAAAAAGGAAAGAGTTTTTTTTCTCTCATTTAGAAAAAGGAATCCATTTTGTAAGTAAAATTCGGGAAGGAAATTAATTAGTAAAATAAGAAAAAAAAATAATGAAAAGAATAGAAAACAATTAATTAAAAAAATAGGAAAAAATTACTTAAAAAAATAGGCGAAAAAATAATCAAAATAATAGGAAAACAATTAATTAAAAAACAGAAAAAACATTAAAAAATTAATTTAAAAAACGAGGAAAAAATTAATTAAAAAATAGAAAACAAGATAAATAATTCGAATTGAAAATAATAAAATAAAATTTAGCAATATGATCATTTTTTTTTTTGTTTGTGACTTTATGCCAGTTTTTATCAGTCAGGAATTGGATAATAGTTAACAATTCCTATAATTAGAGGGGAAAAAACATTTTATCTCTTGCTCGTATAAAACGTTTCCGTCTGCTGTAAGAATTTTATCTTCTTATTCATATTTAAATTATTTTTTTTTGTTCTTTTACTCCAACGTACATAAGATCGGGTCTGAAACGATGAATAATAGAACAAAAAGCCATTCCATTGCGCCAAGAAGTTGTTAAATTTGTTACTTTCACTCCAGGATAATCTTTAGTCATTTCCTTGCACCATTCCAGTAAATCTTGACCAGGTGTAATTTCTTTCAACCTCGAAACACCTGTGTTGTCGCCTTTTTTTAAATCCAAAGGTCGCAATGGTAATTTCAAGGACACATTGTTTTCATTTCTTTTTCTAAAAATCAAAACAAATTTCAATTTTAATTTCTCGCTGAAAATTGTTTCCTACTAAAATATTTTTGTTCAAATATTTTTTGATCAAATAATATTATTCTAAATAGATTAATTAATAATGTAGTATAAGATTATACGAATTAAAAAAACGTACACATTTTCGATAATAATTTTTTCCTTCGGCGATGATATATCTTTCGTCGAATTATTTAATGTCGGTAAATTATTATCGCGAATAATATAATGATCATTGACTGGAGTCGTTTCGTCCTTCGTTAAACTTGCCACTAGAAATAAAATCAGGCATTTATTTATAGAAGAAATAGTTTAAGAGATGGCAAAATTGCTTTGCCAGATTTAAAAACAGAGAAACTACTACGTCGCTTTCAAAATGATCGATCACTCTTCACTTTTCTATTCATAGCACTTAGGAATACCTATATAATGTGATGCACACGTAATAAAGTAAAGATAACAGGAAAAAGGATCGTGCAGGATTCACTTTTTTTTTAATAACTTTGATCTTTGACTTTTGCTGCGAAAAAAAATCTTTGACTTTGCACGATAACAAATAGAAGACAAAAAAAAAAGCTAGAAAAAAACGTAATAAAAAAAGTAACAAAAATTATAGAAAGAAAAGGGGGAAAAACTTGAAAGAAACTATTCGCGAAGAAAAATTTATTGATCTTTGTCCAATTATAGAATGAACTATATATATTTCAAGAAATGGAATTCTATTTTGCAAATTCAAAATGTAAATTTGCATTTTTTGAAATATTGAATTATCTTCTATTCGTAGGAGAAGAGTAACATTTTTTTCTATTTTCTTTTGTAAATAGAAATAGGTCGCTAGCCCGAGGTTTGCGACCTAGTTTTTTTCATTTCTCGTCAACTTTTCTTATTCTGAATGTTAAGGATTCTTTTTTTTGTACCCACCACTTATTGGTGTACTGGGTAATTCACTTTCGGTAAGACTATTTGTCATTAGATCTAATTGAGCAGAAATATCCAGTATTTCGTCCATATTTTTAATCGATACTTCCTCAACGTCTTCTGGAATATCCTCGTTGTCAAAATCGTCGAGAGGAGCGATATCACTGTTATTATTCACCGACATCAAGCTAGCCATACTCTGCATATCCTCGTCCCTAATTAAAAATATTCGCTTTATTAACCATCTCTTGGTAAAAAAAATTCTACTCTTGAAAAAAGATACATATTTTCGAAAAGAAATCATTCTTGAAAAAAGTTTTTTTTCCAAGAGGTGAAAAGAATTTTTTTCCTTACGTTGCTTTGCCCTCTCTTAGAAATACACATGACAATGTACATTCTAAAGTGGCGCTGACAATTTTTTTGGAGGTAGGTTTTAAATCAAATTTAAGTTGTTGTTGACTAGATTCAAGCGACGCGTATTTTTTCATGTTTATATTGGCAGCAGCCACGTGACGACGCTTGCCTGTGTGTGAGACCTGTATAGACAATCAGTGGTTTATTAGAGGGAAAAAAGAGATCAATTGTATCGAACTATAAGTTGCTAATTACTTGATAATTGTGTTCTAAATTATTCTTCTAAATTCTCGAATTTAAAAAATGGAGTTTTTTAAATTCTCTCAAAAAAATAGAACTGTAGAAATTCTAATTTAAAAAATAGAAATTCTATTTAAATTAAAACAGAATTTTTGTTTAAAAAATAATTTGAAAAATAAAAATCCAGTTTGTAATTACATCTTCGATTACGAAGGTCCAGTCCTTGTCCTCTAATTCATGAGTCCTAGGGTCTTTGAATAAAGTTACAGACACTGTATGATTGTCTGGCACTGACCAAATAACAGCACCTTTCAATGGATTGCTCAGACTTGGTTCCCATTCTAATGGATCAGAACTAACTCTACGACTTCGTCTCGTCCATACAACACTTAATTTATTCGGTTTCCTGATAAAAAAAAAAATATTTGTTAAATTGTTAATCCATTTTTGCAAAATGGTAAAATTATCATTAAAAAGTAAATTTCAAACTTTTCGACTATTTTACAATTTTAGATATTTTAAACCAAGGGAAGATTTATTGTATAAATTCTTTTATATAAAAAAAACTTTTAATTTGCTAAATAAGTTAACGAGTTAATCAAGACAGATAAAGACTTCTTGTCTTGGCATGCAAGAATTTAGCAAATAACACGAGAAATTGAATCACTCACCATCGTGTGGTAGTTTCAAGGGTCACCTCGTGATAGGAAACCGTGAATTGAAACTTGGCAGCTCTTTTGTTCACCCTTTGTAGTCTTTTCCAAACGGAACTCATTTTTCAAACACTGGTTTATAATCAACACTTGTCATAAAAGCTTCTTGCAAACTAGAAATTGAGATTAATTGTCACTGAATTCTCCTTTGTCACGTAAATAAATCATTATTACAGTTAGATTGATTTGACACGCGAATTGATGTTTTTTTTCTCTTTCTTTTCTCGTGTGTTTTGCGGAGACACGTTTAGTTGAATGATAACCTGCAACGTGATCGATAACTATACGAAAATCGTTCCAAGGTTTAACGTCCCTCAAAGTTTAAGGTTATATATGACCTCGAGATTATAATGCAAATATTTAGAAAATTTGCAATCGCGTTGTCTTGTCCCGAAAAATTTAATATGCTCTTTTGACGTCAATAAGATGAACATATCTTTTAACTGGCTTCTTATATTTGACAGCTTCTCACCAAGTTTGACGTTTCAAGATCATCGCACGATGTCACTGTTTGTCCTAAGAGTGTAGTATTTTTTGTGAAATATAACAAAATCTTTAAGAAAGTTGACGTTTTCGTCTCTTATGATAAACAACTACTTTACTTACTATATGTAAATGCACTGTCAGAGTAGAAAATAACAACTAGAGTATAATGAAAGTAGGAGATTGCAAAGTTGGTTTTCAGATCTAAATATAACTCATTGTCATAACTGACTGTCGGTAAGAATGTGTTTGTAAAAACACAATGAACGACAAACGGTAAAGAAACTTGATGTAATCTTGGTTGCTGTCATCAGGCGCTTAAATGGCAGATGGTCAGAGGTAAACAAAATATTACTTGATTCAAAAGTTTTTGATATACGAATATTATTTCCTTTCTTTTATGAAAAAAATCACAATACTCAACTTAGTTTTATTTGGATCGTTCTTTGCGTTGAAAACCTGACCTCACTTTCTCAACTGTTACTATATTCAAGGAATTCAAGGATTAAATTCAAAGGTTTCAAAGAATGTAAAAAATGCAAAGAATGTAAACAACTGGAAGGTTTTAAAGTTAAACACGTTTACAACAATAATTTAATAATGTAAATATTGGAATTTAAAACTGATTTTCGAGGTATGTTACAAATAGTCAAAATTTAAAATTAAAAAAATTTGATACAAATTAATTAAACTTGTTTATTAATTTCAAAAATTTTAATAAAATTCTGCGCAAGAATTCAATTATATTTTGAATAATGTCATTCTTCGTAAGAATTTAATGTATTTTTACAAATAGTAAATTCTTTGCAAAAATTAAATTATTTTAAAACAAAATTTCAATAAAATTTCGCAAACGAACATAATTGTGTATTTTCTTAAATTGTAGAAGATTTTTTTCTTAATTCGTTATAAAAAATTTCAATAGAATTTAATTATTTCCTAAAATTTTAATAAATTCTTCGAAAAAAGTCAATTATATTTATTAATTGTAAAATTCTTTGCAAAAATTCAATTATTTTAAATGCAGTTTTAATAAAAATTTCATTAAAGAATTCAATATTTAAAAAAAATTTTAATAATATTTTTCGAAAAAAATTTTAGTAATATTTTTCGGAAAAATTCAATTATTTTCTAAAATTTTAATAAATTCTTTTAAACAATTCTGAGAAAAATTTAATTATTTTCTAAAATTTTTTTAAAAAATTCAATAATTAAATGTTTAATTTCAATTATTAACAAAAACGATTATTTTAAAATCTTGAAAGAAATTTTTCAAAAAATTCAATTATTTTCACAACTTTTAATTAAAATTATTAGAGCCAATGCACTATTTTAAAAAAATTCAAATAAATTCTTCAAAAAGAATTTAATTAGCTTTTTCAAAAATTTTTCTCGAGAATTGCATTATTTTTCTGAATAATAAAATTCTTCTGAGGAATTCAATTATTATAAAATTTTTTAATAAAATTCTTCGCAACAATTCGCGATGATTTTCAATACCTATTAGGACATTAATTTTAAAATTGAAAATATTTAAAAAGAAAAATTATTTTAAAAAAGTTAAGAAACAAAAAAGCAAACAACAACTAACTTCAAATTGCGAACAGATTACCGGAATACAACGATTATTAATATAGAAAGAATAAAATTTAATTTTAATTAATTTAATTAACTGTTATTTTTTTACAATTTATTTCACTAAAGGTTCGGAATATCTTTTAAAAAAATTGGTAAATTGAGAAAAACATCAGGTAAAATTGCAACCGAGAAACAAGATTTAAAATAAAACAAAATTTTAATTTAGGAATTCTGAATACAGTAATTTTTTTTTATAAAAACTATTTATTTTTTAGGGGCACAATATCATTAAATAGTTGGTAGGTGGAGCTGGTCGACAGGAGAAGGTGCTTCTTTGATCATCGTACGCGTAACTGGAAAACAAGTATTATTATTATTATTTTATTAGTTTATTGTAACTTTAATTAGTTTAATATTTATTTATTAGTTCATTCATTTTTTTAATTTTTATTCTTATTTTTCTTGTTATGAATACCTAATAGTAATTTAACATAATTTATTAATATAGATTGTCATACCTGGTGGCATCTGGACAGGCCCCTTTGAAGATGGCTGCATAATTTTTGGGCCAATTTCGACTCCTGCAAGTTCTTGCTGAATTAAAAGCTCCTCGACAACAATATTGATCAGTATTTAATGCAGCACATGCACTTTTGCAAGCGATTGTCGTTCGTCCTGATTTTACGGCTAATTCATTAGGACACCTGGTATTGAGATCAGATTTACATCCAGCGGCTTTACAGTCAAATCTTCCAGCAGCGAATGGTCGGATTCCTCCAACTGGTACCAATGTCATACCAATGTTGTAACCATTGACGAGGGTAATTTCATAGAAATCACGACCTGCACCTCCACTGAATGTTATATCAGCAAGAGTAAGAGGTGGTGCACCAGCAGCACCATTACATTGGATTCTATTGCCACAACCACCAGTCTCACAACGTCCTCGACTGTCGCATTTGGTCCTTGCCCAAATTTTGCCTTTCCAATCATTTGGCATAACAACATAACGTTCAGTACGTGAATTCAATTTAAATCCACCGTTTTCGAGATGTTCATGTCCGGGAATACCCTGGATTGCTGGCCACACTGTGACTGGACAGTTATTGTATATTCTTATTCGATGAGCCGATGAAAGAGCAATCAATAGAAAAAATGATGGTAAGAATTTGAGATACATTTTTCTCTTCTTTTTAAATTATCTTTTTTTTGAAAATTGAAAAACTCAAACACTATGCTTCAATTCACGAGGGTAGTTCTTTTTTTTTAATGATCTGTATCACTGCGTGAGATCCATATTTATAACACGTTAAATGTTATTTTTAACAATACAATAAGGAAAGTTTCTTATCAATTGATCATTCTTTTAAGGATAAATTACATACATAAAGGTTACAGTTCACACGAAACTGAAGTTACCACCGTTTATTCGACAAATCTTTTTTCTTTAGTTAATTGTTTATTTTATTGTTAGAAGCCCTTGAATAAAATTGCAAAAAGGATCCAACAGGGTTGTCACAGGTCAGCGAAATTAGGGAAAAGTCAGGGAATTTTATTAACAGTACTAGAAAAAATTTAATTTTTAGAATTCATAAGAAAATTTCGAATTTTGGTGTCTTTTTTGTTATACTCAAACTATGAAATTACCACGATTTCTAATAAAAAACCTTCAATTTTTTCTTTTTTTGACAATAATTTCTTTTCAAATAACTTAATTCTTGAATAACTATCATAAAAAAAAATTATTACTTATAAATTATTTAATGAATAATTTTACTTAAATATTTCAAAATTAATTGAATTTTATAGAAGTTGCGTTTACAATTTTCATACATAAATGAACTGCAAAATGGTTTTAATTTTAAATTATATAAAATTTCAATTCCGAATGAATTTTTAATTAAAAATTTTAAAAAACTTAGATTTTTTAAAAATTTTATTAATTCAAATTCTTATGGAATTAGTCAAATTTTTTAATATTTATTTAATTAATTATTAAAACAAATGGATTTATAGAAGAATTTTGGTTAAAAAATTTTTTTTTAAAATTGAATTTCGAAGAAGTTAAAAATGATTGCAGAAATTCAACTATGTAGGTACAAAAATGTTAAAGAATACTCGTAAAAATTTTAATTATCTTTGAAAATAATAAAATTCTTCTCTAAAATTCAATTATTTTCAATAATTTTAATAAAATTATTTGCAAAATTTCAATTACTAAAAAATTTTCCTCACTCAATGACTTTCAATATCTATTTTAATAAAATTTTTCAAAAGAATTCAATTATTCAAGAAAATGTTAATAAAATTCTACGCAAACATTTAATTATTTTCATAAATAATAAAATTCCTTTTAGGTTTTCAATTATTTGAATTCATAATTAAATTTATTATAATTGAAATTTGAAATGGTTTCAAATTAAATTCTTTGAAAATTTTAATTTTTTATACTTTTAACTAATAATTCTGTAGAATTAACTTTTTTGAAAAAATTTAATAGCATTTTGATAATAATTGAATTCTTTCAAAGAAATAACTTTAATTTTTCGAATATAATCGATTTTGTTAATAATTATAATTAATAATTTTACTATAAAAATTGTATTTATATTATTGATAGAAAATTCAACATTTTTAAACAATTTTATTAGAGTTTTTGTAAATAATTTATTAAATTCTTTTGAAGCATTTTTTAAGCTTTTTTTTTTTTTAAATAAAGTAGTTTTTTGAATAATTTTAATTTGGAGAAAATATTAAAATATTATCAATTGTTTTAGTCAAACGGTCAGGTTAATTAAAAATCTTTACAAAAACTGACGTTTCGGTATAAGTTTTAATTTTAATTGAAAATAATTGAATTAAACGAAGAACTTTTTCCAACTTTTTAAAATAATCGTGTCTGTTAATAATTATAGTTAAATATTCAATTATTGAAGTCTTTAAAAATTGTATTGAAAATAATAAAATTCCTATGAAAAATTTTACTATTATTGAAATAAAAATTGAATAGTTTCGAAGAATAGAATAGAATTCTATTGAAAAATTTTATTAAAAATAAAAAAAATTTAATTCTTTCTAAGGATTTATTAAAATTTTAGAAAATAAAATAATTTTATTAAAATTGTAGGTATTAAAAATAATTGAATTTTTGCATAGATTTAATTTTAATTAATTTAATTAACTGTTATTTATTTACAATTTATTTCACTAGCTTCGGAATATCTTTCAAAAAAATTTGTTAATTGAGGAAAGCATCACATAAAATTGCAACGGAGAAGCTACATTCTGAATACAATAAAATTGAAATTTAGGAATTTTGAATATAGTAATTTTGATAAGAACTTCTTTTTTAGGGGCAGAAGTAAATTTCATAAGTAGTAGATGGATCTGGTCGACAGGAGAAAGTGCTTCTTTGATCATCGTATGCATAACTGGAAAACAAGTATTATTATTAACTCATTAGTTTATTGTTACTTTAATTAGTTTATTATTTATTTGTTTATTTACTTTTTTATTTTCATTCTTATTTTTCTTGTTATAAATTATAGTATAGTAATAATTTAACATAATTTATTAATATAGATTGTCATACCTGGTGGCATCTGGACAGGCCCCTTTGAAGATAGCTGCATAATTTTTGGGCCAATTTTGACTCCTGCAAGTTCTTGCTGAATTAAAAGCTCTCCGACAACAATATTGATCGGTATTGAATACAGCACATGCAGTTTTGCAACCGATTGTCTTTCGTCCTGACCTTGCTGCTAATTCTGTAGGACACCTGGCGTCGAGATCATATTTACATCCAGCAGCTTTACAGTCAAATCTTCCAGCAGCGAATGGTCGGTTTCCATTAATTGGTACCATTATCATAGGTAGATTGTAACCATTGACGAGGGTAATTTCATAAAAATCACGACCTCCACCTCCACCGAATGTTATCTCAGCGAGAGTAACAGGCGGTGCACCAGCAGCACCATTGCATTTGATTCTATTGCCACAACCACCAGTCTCACAACGTCCTCGACCATCGCATTTGGTCCTGGCCCAAATTTTGCCTTTCCAATTATTTGGCACAACAAGTTCTTGGCGAGTAAATGCTTTCAATTCAAATCCACCTTCTCTTAGATGTTCATGTCCGGCATTACCCTGGATGCCTGGCCACAAATTAAATTGACAACTATTGATTAATCTTATTTGATGAGCCGATGAAAGAGCAATGAATAGAAAAAGTAGTGGTAAGAATTTTAAATACATTTTTTTCTTCCTTTCAAGTTAGTTTTTTTTTAAAATTGAATAAACTCAAACTCTATGCTTCAATTCACGAGGGTAGTTCTTTTTTTTATGATCTGTATCACTGCGTGAGATCTATATTTATAACATGTTAAATGTTATTTTTAACAATGTAATTTGCAATGAGGAAAATTTCTTATCAATTGATCATTCTTTTAAGGATAAAATAATAATTTAAAAAGCTGTCCTGTATTTGTTTATCAATATTTTTCGAAATATTTATTTTAACTATTACATACATAAAATTACAGTTTATATGAAACTGAAGTCATCAAATTTTATATGACGAAAATTTTTTCTTTTCTTAATTGTATATTTTAATGTTTCTTTAAAAAAAATTGCTAAAGGATCCAAATCAGGGAAAGCAGTGATTTTAATTTTTTGTATCATGGAATTTCAACTATAGTATATTTCGTAACGAGTGCGAGCAGTTGTCACGAGCGATAGTTTTCATAACAAGGTGCAAAAAAGTGCCCTTTTTTGCACCGCGTTATGAAAAATTATTATTTTCTTGTTTTAGAAGCAATCTTTTCTTGTTGATAATTGTTTATTTTTAAATTAAAAGTAATTTAAAAATAATTGCAAGAGAATCCAAGGTGGAGAAAGCAGTAATTTTGATTTTTTATCATGAATTTTTCAAAAATCTTGCGGAATTCCAAATAAATCTGTTATTGAAAAAGAATCAAAATCACTGCTTTCACCGTCATGGATTTTCTTGCTATTTTTTAAATGGCTTCTGTTATTAAAATAAACAATTAGCAAAAGAAAAAAATTGTTTTCGAGTTGAGGAAACAAAAATTTAGTCAAATTCCAGGAATTTTGAAAAATCCGTGATAAGGAAATAAAAATCACTGCATTCACCGTCGTAGATCATGTTGAAAATTTTTAAATGGCTTGTAACATTAAAAGAAACAATTATATAGCAAAAAGAAAAAATTGCTTCCGCGGTGAAGAAATAATAACTTATTTGAAATTCCGGGACTTTTGGAAAATCAGTGACTAAGCAAATCAAAATCACTGCTTTCCTCGTCTTGGATCTTGTAGAAATTTTTTTAAAATAGTTTCTAACATTGAAAATTTAAAATAAGTAATTATCAAATGAAAAAAATTTCTTCCGAGGCGAGGAAACAATAATTTAGTATAAATTATGAAAATTTTGGAAAATCTGTGAAAAAAATAAAAATCATTTCTTTCACCGTAATTTATCAAAGAAGAGAAAATTTAATCAAAGACGCAAAATTTTTGAATATTTCTTGTCTTTATTACTTTTGAAGAAATGAATTTTGAAATTATTTTTAAAACGAAAATACAATATTTGTCTAATAGCTCACATTTGAGGAAAAAAGAATATCTTAATACAGATAATGATACAAATTCAATATAAAATTTTTATTACACTATATTTTGATTTAATATTTATTACAAATGCGAATAACACATTAAATTATTATTTTTCCTCGACATTAAATATTTCAAATTAATCAATTCAATTAATTAACTAAATATCAGTTGATTAATTATAAATTAATTAATTGAGTATTAGGTAATAAATAATTCTGCTATTTAGAATTTATTTCACCAGGTTCGTAATGTATTTAAAAAAAATTGGTGAATGGAAAGAACTAACCAAGTAGAATTGAAACGGAGAAACAAGATTTCGAATATAACAAAATTAAAAAATCGAAAATTTGAATGCTGTAATTTTGATAAAAATTATTAATTTTTTAGGGGCAGAAGATGATGTCATAATTGGTAGCTGGACTAGGTCGACAGGTAAAGGTGCTTGTTTGATCATCGTAGGCGTAACTGGAAAACAAGTATTAACATTATTATTGTTATCTTATTAGTTTGATGTTATTACAATTAGTTTATTATTTTTTATTTAGTTATTTATTTTACTTATTTATTTAGTTATTAGTTTATTTATTTTTTCATTTTCATTCTTATTTTTATTGTTATAAATTATGGTTGTATTTTAATATAATTTGCTGATAATATTTTAATACCTGTAGGCATCCGGGCAGGCACTCTTGAAGATAGCAGGATAATTTCTTGGCCAATTTTGACTCCTGCAAGTTCGTGGTGTATTAAAAGCTCCTCGACAACAATATTGATCAGTATTGAACGCAAGACATGCACTTTTGCAAGCAACAGTCGATCGTCCTGATCTAACGGCTAATTCGTTGGGACACCTGGCATTCAGATCAGCATGACAACCAGCAGCTTTACAGTCGTATCTTCCACCACCAGATAGTCGGAATCCTCCAGTTGGTACCATTCTCAAAGGTAAATTGTAACCGTCGACGAGGGAAATATCGTAGAAATCAAGACCTCCAGCTCCACTGAATGTCATCTCAGCGAGAGTGACCGGTGGTACACCACCAGCACCATTGCATTGGATTCTATTACCACAACCACCAGTCTGACAAATACCTCGACCATCGCATGTGGTCCTGCCCCAAACTCTGCCTGCCCAATTATTTGGCGTACGAATTACACGGGCAGCACGTGAATTCAATTGAAATCCACCGCCTTCGAGATGAGCCTTTCCAGGATTACCCTGAATTCCTGGCCACACGGTGAATGGGCAGTTATTAAATAATCTTATTTGATGAGCCGATGAGAGGGTAATCAGGAGGAAAAGTAATGGTAAGAATTTGAAATCCATTTTTTTTAATAACTCAAACTCCAAGTTTTAATGCACCAGGGTAGTGCTTTTTTAATAATGAATTGTATCAATATCAGATCAATATTTATAACACGTAAATGTTGTTTTTAACAATACATTTTGCAATAAGGAAAGTATCTTATCAACTGATCATTCTTTTAAATATAAAAGAAAATAATTAAAAGCTGTCAGTTACGTGTGTATGAATATTTCCTTGAATCTTTCACTCAAAGTTGAATAAACTAATTTTTTGTGAAAATGATTGCAAAATACCTATGTTTTAAGTAGAGAGTAGAAACAAAGTACCTTTAAAAAATAATTTCTGATTCAAAAATTTTAAAAATAACTTCATATATAAATTATTTTTTTCTAATTGTTTGTTTTCTTTTCAAAAATTGTAATAATATTCTTTGCAAGAATTCAATTTGGTTTTCAATAAAAAATCTCGAAAAGATTCAATTATTTTTAAAAATTGTATAAAACTTTTTCGAGAGAATTCAATTCTCAAAAGTTTTGATAAATTGCTCTATAATAATTTAATTATTTCCATAAATAATAAGTTTCCTCAAATGAATTTTAATATTATTTTCAGTAAAATTTTTATAAAATTTGTATAGAATGAATTAATTTATTTTAAAAAATTGTAATAAAATTCTAAGAATTTAATTTTCTATCAATAAATTTAATGAGAAGAATTTTATTATTTATAAAAAATAATTTTATTTTTGCAATGAATTTTACTACTTATAAAAATAATTCAATTGTTTCAAAGGATTTATTAGAATTTTAGAAAATAATTGGATTCTTTTGAAAAATTTTCTTAAAAATTTAAAGAAAATATTGTCGAGAACTTTAATACTATTCTTCGAAAAAATTTAATTATTTTTATAAATAATAACAATATTTGTGAGAATTAAATTATTTTGAATACACATTTAATTAAATTCCTCGAAATAATTTAATTATTTTTAAAACTGTTACTAAAATTCTTTAAAGGAATTCCGTCACTTTCAATAACTTTGATAAAATTATCAGCAAAATATCAATCATTTTAAATGTAGGTATATTAATTTTTAATTCAAATCATTTAAAAAGGAAAACTTATCAAAAAAACTTAAGATATATAAAAAAGCAAACAAAAACTAACTTCAACCTGCGAAAAGACAACGACTATTAATATATTGTATATATGAAAAAAATATTATTTATCGATATGTATAAAAAAATTCTCTTTTACGCACCTTAATAAGGAAAATGATACAAATTTATTGTAAAATTTGCACTTTATTTAGATTTGTCATTATTACAAAATCCTTATTATTTTTCCTCAACTTTAAATATTTTAAATTAAATAATTCAATTAATTAACTAAATATCAGTTGATAAATTATAAATTAATTAACTGAGTATTAAGTAATTAATAACATATTATTTACAATTCATTTCACTAGATACAAAATATCTTTTTAAAAAAAAATTGGTCAATTAATAAAAACATTAGATAACATTGTTAACGGAGAAAGAAGATTTCGAATATAACAAAATTGACATTTTGAAATATTGAATGAAGTAATTTTGATAAATACTATTCACTTTTTTAGGGGCAGAATTTGATGTCATAGTTGGTGGCTGGATTAGGTTTACAGGTAAAGGTGCTTTTTTCATCATCGTATGCATAACTGGAAAAATTATTATTATTATTATTATTATTATTATTATTATTATTATCATCTTATCAGTTTATTGTTATTATAATTAGTTTATTATTTTCTATTTATTTAGTTATTAGTTAGATATTTTACTTCGGTGAAGTTCACAACGTTTATAATCAACGATTTAAAACAAAAAATATTTTCTATTCAAAATTTTTACATATTTTTGCACAAAAAAACTCTCGTGAATTTTTTTCATCAATAAAATTTGAAATAGAAAAATTTCTGAACAAAACATTTTATTGTTTTTGTCAAGAAAAATATTTTATATTTCTTGCAATCGTTGATAAAAAATGTTGTAAACTTCACCGACGTGATATTTTCATAATTCATATTTCACATTTAGTTATTTTCATTCTTATTTTTCTTGTTATAAATAATAGTATTTTAATATAATTTGCTAATAATATTGTTATACCTGTAGGCATCTGGACAGGCGCTCTTGAAGATAGCTGGATAATTCTTGGGCCAATCTTTACTCTTACATGTTTGTGGTGTACCATGAGCTCCTCGACAACAATATTGATCAGTATTGAACGCAAGACATGCACTTTTGCAGGCCACAGTCCTTCCTCCTGCTTTTACGGCTAATTCGTTGGGACACTTAGCGTTGAGATCAGAATTACAACCAGCAGCTTTACAGTCGTATTTTCCACCTCCGGATTGCTTGAATCCACCAGTTGGTGCCATTTTCATGGGTAAATTATAACCGTCGACGAGGGAAACGTCATAAAAATCAAGACCTCCAGCTCCACTGAATGTCATCTCAGCGAGAGTGACCGGTGGTACACCACCGGCACCATTGCATTGAATTTTATTACCACAATCGCCAGTCTCACAATGTCCTTGAGCGTTGCAGTTGGTCCTGCCCCAAAGTCTGCCTGCCCAATCATTTGCAGTGCCAATTGTCTTGGAAGCACGTGAATTCAATTGAAATCCACCGCCTTCGAGATGAGGCTTTCCAGGATTTCCCTGAATTCCCACCCATACTGTGAATGGACAATTGTTGATTATTTTTAATTGATGAGCCGTTGAAAGGGCAATCACCAAGAAAAGTGATGGTAAGAATTTTAAATCCATATTTTCTTCTCTTTAAGTTGGCTTTTTTTGGAAATTTAAATTCTCAACTTTGAAACTCAATCTCTATGCTTCAATGCACCTTGTCTTATAGTGAATAATACCACTGTCAGGTCCATATTTATAGCAAGTTAAAAGTTATTAGTACTATATAATTATTTGTATCTAAATGACTCACAATTACCATGTTTCTGCAATAAGGAAACTTTCTTATCAACAGATCATTCTTTTGAATAATAAAAAACATAATTAAAGTTGTCGAGGACGTGTTTATAAATATTTTTCTTAATATTTATTTCATCAATTGAGCCCTCTAATTATTTTTAACTTTTTAAAGAATTTTTCTTTTTTAAATATTCTCAATTTTGAAATAAATGTATTTTAAAAATCATTGAATTCTTTATTCCAGTCTTGCAAAAAATTTGAAAATAACTCAATTTTTTCGAAGATTTTTATTTTTCATGAGAATATTTGAATTCCTGCAAAGAATTTTAATGAATTTTTCGAAAAATGGGATTAAATTCATTTAAAGAATTTCTTTGAATTTTTTTTTTTAAATAATGTATTTTTTTTAATTTTAATTGGAAATTTTTTCCAACTTTTGTAAAATAATCGTGTCCGATAATAATTAAAATTCAAAATTTGATTATTGAATTTTATTCAATTTATTTAAATTCTTCTCAAAATTTTATTACAATTTTATAAAATTATTTAATTAATTCAAGGAATTTTATTTATATATTGAAAGTAATTGAATTCTTTTGAAGAATAGATACTATTAAAGTTTTTTGACAATAAAGGAATTGTTTCAAAAAATTTCTTCAATTTTTTTAATATAATCGATTTTGTTAATAATTTTAATTAATAATTTGACTATTAAATTTTATTAAAATTATTGATACAAAATTAAGTTCTTTTGTAGGATTTATTTAAGTTTTTTCTTATGACAATGTAGTTTTTTTAATAATTCTAATGGAAAATTTTTAAAATAATTGAATTAAACACAGAATCTTTTCTAACTTGTTAGAATAATCGTGTCTGACAATAATTATTATTAAGAATTTAATTATTGAATTGTTATTAAAATTGTATTGAAATTAATTGAATTCTGTATTGGTAGAAAATACATAAATAAGTAAATAAATAGATAGTTAAATAATTTTTTAATCATTTTTAAAAATGTTAATTAATTTTATTAATTTTAATTATTTTTTTTAATAATTATTATTTTCAAATTATTTGTTTCAAGTAATTTTTTTCCAAAAAATAAAAAAAATTGTAAAGGTGAATATAAACCGAATAAACTTGAAAGACATCATTTTATTTAAATAAAATGCGAATGATTTATTTTTTGTAAATATATCAAGGAAACATACAGTTTTTACTATTTATTTTGGATTTTTTTACTCTGGACATTTTCACTTTTTGTACTTTGGATTTTTTTTTGGGATATTTTGGATTTGACTTTTTGTCGAGACTATATTCAAAAAATCTCTTATACACATTAATGAGAAAAATTTTATTATACACATTCTTTATGAAAATTTCACTATAAATTTAGATTTATTATTTATTACAAATAATTGTTATTTTTACTCAAGATTAAATATTTAAAATTATTTAATTCAATTAATTAACTAAATATCAGCTGATTAATTATAAATTAATTAATTGAATATTAAGTAATTATAAATAACAGTTATTTACAATATTATTTCACAAGTTCGGGATATCTTTTTAAAAAAATTGGTAAATTAAGAAAAACATCACATAAAGTTACAATGGAGAAGCAACATTTCGAATACAATAAAATTGAAATTTAGGAATTTTGAATAGAGTAATTTTTATGAGAACTTCTTTTTTTAGGGGCAGAAGATGATGTCATAGTTGGTGGCTGGACTAGGTCGACAGGTGAAGGTGCTGGTTTGATCATCGTAAGCGTAACTGGAAAAAAAGTATTATTATTATTATTATTATTATTATTATTATTATTATTATTATTATTATTATTATTATTATTATTATTATTATTATTTTTACTATTATTATTATTATTTTTACTATTATTGTTATTATTGTCTTATTATTATTATTTGATTGTTGATATTATTATTTTTATTTTCTTATTTCCATTATTATTATATTTATTGTTAAAAATGATGATTGTATTTTAATAAAATTTGCTAATAATATTATTCATACCTGTAGGCATCTGGACAGGCGGTCTTGAAGATAGCTGGATAATTCTTGGGCCAATCTTTACTCTTACATGTTTGTGGTGTACCATGAGCTCCTCGACAACAGTATTGATCAGTATTGAACGCAAGACATGCACTTTTGCAGGCCACAGTCCTTCCTCCTGCTTTTACGGCTAATTCGTTGGGACACTTAGCGTTGAGATCAGAATTACAACCAGCAGCTTTACAGTCGTATTTTCCACCTCCGGATTGCTTGAATCCACCAGTTGGTGCCATTTTCATGGGTAAATTATAACCGTCGACGAGGGAAATGTCATAGAAATCAAGACCTCCAGCTCCAGTGAATGTCATTTCAGCAAGAGTAACCGGTGGTACACCACCAGCACCATTGCATTGGATTTTATTACCACAATCGCCAGTCTGACAATGTCCTCGACCATCGCAATTGGTCCTGCCCCAAACTCTGCCTGCCCAATTATTTGCCGTGCCGATTGTACGGGCAGCACGTGAATTTAATTGAAATCCACCGCCTTCGAGATGAGGATGTCCGGGATTACCCTGAATTCCCGCCCATACTGTGAATGGACACTTGTTGTATAATCTTATTCGATGAGCCGATGAGAGGGCAATCAGGAGGAAAAGTAATGGTAAGAATTTGAAATCCATTTCTTCTTCTTTTTAATTTATCTTTTTTTGAAAATTGAAAAACTCAATATCTGTGCTTTAATGCACCTATGTAGTGCTAGTTTTATAGTGCATAGTACCACTGTCAGATCCATATTTATAGCATGTTAGAATTTATTGATATTATTTAATTATGTATCTGAGTTACTTACAATTACTATCCATTTGCAATAAGGAAAGTTGCTTATCAATAGATTATTCTTTTGCATAATAGAAAAACAATTAAATGTTCTGAGGTATGCGTTTATGGATATTTTTCTAAATATTTATTTCAACAATTGAGCTACCTAATTCGATAACTCGCACACTTGAATACCAGTGAGCACATCTGGGTGCGTCACTGTTAGGATCACAGTTAATCCTCTTTTTTATTCCCTTAAATTAATGGAATCTCCTAAAACACCGAAAATCATGTTTATTCCCCCCTTTTCTCCTTGTTATAAAAATTAATTTAATTTGAAAATAAATAAATAACAAATAATAATAATAATAAATAAAATATTTGTAAAATTTATCACTCGGTAAAAGATAATTTTCTTGACATTTTATAATAATAAATAAAATTTTCAAAGACTCTCAGTATTTGTAAATTGAAAAAATGTTTAGTTATTTTGAAGGAAAAAATGTCTTCGGTTTGCAAACATTAGATTGTCGCCAGAAAGTCTTTTTAATTGTTGTCTAAACAAAATATTAGGAATTTATACTAAATTAAACTTTCCTAACTTTTAAAATAATTTTTTTTAATTTTTTGAATTTTAAAATCAATGAATGAATTTAAAATCAATGAATTTTAAAATCAATCATTTTTAAAATCAATTTAATCAATCAATTATCAATAGATAATCATTCAATTCGTGCAGAGAATTTTACCAAAAAAATTTAAAAAAAGAATTTCTTCGAGAAATTTTATTATTTATGAAAAGAATAGAAATCTTGCGAAGAAATTTATTAAAACTTTGGAAATTCTAATTAAATTCTTTTGAAGAATTTCTTTGACTTTTATTTTTGATTAATTGGATTTTATGAAGAATTTCTTTCATGTTTTTAAAAAAATCATATTTGTTAATACATAATTAAAATTAAAAATTTTATTATTGATTTTATTAAAGTTTTTGGAAAATAATTAAATTCTTCTCAGAATTTTTTTTACAATTTTTTAAAATAATTTAATTAATTTGAGGAATTTTATTAAAATATTGAAAATAATTTAATTCTTTCAACAAATTTCTTTAATTTTTTCAATGTATTAAAATTTGTTAATAATAATTGTAAGCAATAATTTTACTATTAAATTTTATTGAAATTATTGATAGAAAATTAAATTCTTTTCAACAATTTTATTACAGTTTTTGTAAATAATTAAATTCTTTTGAAGAATTTCTTTAAATTTTCTAAAAATATTGTAGTTTTTTTTAATAATTTCAATAATTAGAAATTTTGAAAGTAATTGAATTACACAAAGAATTTTTTTCCAACTTTTTAAAATAATCGTGTTTGAATTGAATTCCTGAGAAGAATATTTTATTATTTATGAAAATAATTTAATTCTTGCGAAGAATTTTTTACTATTTATAAAAATAATTGAATTGTTTCGAAGAATTTGTCACAATTTTGAATAGTACTTGAATTCTTGCGACGAATTTTATTAATTTTTTGAAAATAATAAACAATAATCAATTATGTATTTAATGGGTGATTTTTAAAAATTTGTATTCTGAAATTATTCAAGATTTGAAGTTTATATTTGTAAAAAAATTTTATAATTTGCATAATAATAATAAATTGAATATCATGTTTCGCGCGCGTAATATTTACTAACAATGCTAATAAATAGTAAAAAAAAAATGTTACAATTAGTCCAAGAAAGGAAAATATAATCAATTTGTTTAAATAAATGCAGAATTTATTTTCAAAACGAAAAGACAATAATATTTTTCTTCAAACACATTTAAAGGAAAAAAATTACTTTACATTCGCTTTCAATTTGATTGAAATTATTGAAATCATGTAGGTTAATTTCAATGATTTTACTTATTTTTTATCGACATTGCACTATATTTATATTTGTCAGTTTATTACAAATGCACATAACACATTTAATTATTATTTTTCCTTAAATGTAAATATATTTCAAATTAATTAATTCAATTAGTTAACTAAATATCAGCTGATTAATTATAGATTAATTAATTTAGTACTATGTAATTATTAATAATCATTATTTATAAATTAATTTCAATAGGTTCGGAATATCTTTTTAAAAGAATGGTTAATTAAAAAAAACATCAAATAAAATTGCAAACGGAGAAATAAGATTTAAAATAGAAGAAAATTAAATAGAAATTTTTTTCTAATTGCAAACGGAGAAACAAGATTTCGAATGCAAAAAAATTGAAAATTGGAAATTTTGAATACAGTAATTTTGATAAAAACGTTTTATTTTTTAGGGGCAGAAGATGATGTCATAGTTGGTAGATGGACTTGGTCGACATGTGAAAGTACTTGTTTGATCATCGTATGCGTAACTGGAAAAAAAGAATTATTATTATTATTATTATCATCTTATTAGTCTATTGATATCAGGGTGTCCGGCAAGGATTAAGAAAAAAATTCTCTGACTTTTTTCCTGACTATTTACTAACCTTATTTCTGCTTTCTTGGGACAAAAATATACTGTTTTATTTAACAAAAAATTGTACCAAATAGTAATAAAAACCATTTAAGTCTTGTTAGATTAAAAAATTTTTAATTCACAACAAATTAAAATTTTTTAAAAATTTCTAGAAATTTTCCCAACTTTGAATTAAACTTCCCTAATCGCTGGACACCCTGGTTATTATCATTACTTTATTATTTTTTTATTTATTTATTTAGTAATTCGTTAATTTATTTTTTTTATTTTCAATCTTATTAATTTTTGTTTGTTATAAATTATTGTCGTAATATAATTTGCTAATAATATTGTTATACCTGTAGGCATCTGGACAGGCGCTCTTGAAGATAGCTGGATAATTCGTGGGCCAATGTTCACTCTTACAAGTTTGTGGTGTATTATGAGCTCCTCGACAACAATATTGATCAGTATTGAATGCAGCACATGCACTTTTGCAAGCCACAGTCCAGTCTCCTGCTTTTACGGCCAATTCGTTAGGACACTTGGCATTGAGATCAGCATGACAACCGGCAGCTTTACAATCGTATCTTCCACCTCCAGATGCTGAGAAACCACCAGTTGGTACCATTCTCACAGGTAAATTATAACCATCAACGAGGGAAATGTCATAAAAATCAAGACCTCCAGCTCCAGTGAATGTCATCTCAGCGAGAGAGACCGGTGGTACACCACCGGCACCATTGCATTGGATCTTATTACCACAATCACCAGTCTCACAATGTCCATTACCGTCGCATTTTGTCCGGGCCCAAATTCTGCCTGCCCAATTATTTGACGTGCCAATTGTCCGGGCTTGATATTGATTCAATTGAAATCCACCGCCTTCGAGATGAGGATGTCCGGGATTTCCCTGAATTCCTGGCCACACGGAGAAGGGACAATTGTTGTACAATTTTATTTGATGAGCCGATGAAAGGGCAATCAGGAGGAAAAGTGATGGTAAGAATTTGAAATCCATTCTTTTCTTGTCTTTATAAGTTGGCTTTTCTGAAAATTTAAATTTTCAACTTGAAATTTAATCTTTAATTCACCAGTGTAGTGCTGCTTTTATAATGAATAGTATCATTGGCAGATCAATATTTATAGCAAGTTAAAAGTTATTGATACTATGTAATTATATGTATATAAATGACTTACATTAATATGTATTTTGCAATAAGGAAAGTTTCTTATCAATAGATCATTCTTCTTAAATGTATACAAAAAAATAATTAGATGCTGTCGAGTTTATGTTTATGAATATTTTCTTAAATATTTTTTTTTTAATTATATTGTCACGGGTAGAACGTGAAATAAATAATAAGATTTAAATTTTAAATATACTTTATTAAACTTTTACACAAAGTGATCAAACGTTAGTTTTGACGGTCGGAGAATATCTAACTTCTACTTAGTTTTAGGGTGCATTATATAGGGCTAGGTTTTCAACATAGTAATCGTGTATCACAAGTTTGGTTGACGAAATACATGTGTTTTAGAGGTATTATTTTAGAGGTAATTTTGGATCACCGTTACAACGAAACATTTATTGACATTTCATCATTTAATATTCGAGTTAAATTTAATCAATCTATTTAAGGAACAAATATTAAATATTTCTTTCAAGTTTCCATTTTTCTTTAAAAATTTACGATTGTGTTAATTTTTTTTGTAGGAATGGTAAAAAATGCAAATATTATTCTGAAATGTACCTATACGAAGCAAAAAATTTAAGATAATAATTTTTGGAATAAAAATACAGAAAGAGAATCAATTACTATTACAAATTATTGATATTTAGTTCTTCATTACATACAAAATTTTTGGAAAAGCGAGTTTCAAATTAACATAATTAAAAACTTTTTCGTGACCGCGTCACAAATCTTCTTCTTCTATATTAATAATTGTTGTATTCCGGTAATCAAAAATTTTATCAGACATTTTTTTCAATAATTAAATTCTTTCGAGAAAATGTAATCAAAATTGTAATGAAAATAATTCAATTTTTAGCAAGATTTTTATTAAAATTCTTTAAAATCAGTACCTATCTATTCTTCATAAGAATTCAATTATTTTCAATATTTTAGTAAAATTCTTTGAATCAATTAAATAATTTTAAAAAAATTGTACTGAAAATCATTGAATTTTTGCAAAATAATTATCAAAGAATTTGAAAACAATTGAATTCATTTCAAGAACTTTATCAACATTTTTTTCAATAATTGAATTCTTTCGAGAAAATGTAATTAAAATTGTATTGAAAATAATTTTATTCTTGGACAGATTTTTATTAAAATTCTTTAAAATAATTGAACTGTTTGGAAGAATTTTTTTCAATTTTCTTGAAAATAATGGAGTTTTTTTTAATAATTTTTACTGAAAATTTTGAAAGTAATTGAATTTTATGAAGATTTTCATTTAAGTTACTAAAATAATTGCGTTTATTATTAATTGTCATTAACGATTTTCTTATTAAATTATATTAAAATTATTTATAGAAAATTAAATTCTTTTAAACAATTGTATTAGAGTTTTTGTAAATAATTACATTTTTTTTTAAAGAATTTCATTAAATTTCGTAAAAGAAATGTAATTTTTTAAAGTAAATTTAATTGGAAATTTTGAAAATAATAGAAATTTACCGAAAATTTTATTTAAAACTTTTGAGAACAAATTGAATTGTTTCGAAAAATTTTTTAAAATAATTGAACCTGTTAGAGAAATTTTTTTAAAATTATCTTGAATATAATTGAATTTATTCCCACAAATTTTATTAAAATTTTATTGAAAATAATTGAATTCCTCCGAAACATTTGATAATTTATGAAAATAATTGAATTCCTTTGAAGAATTTTATTATTTATGAAAATATTTTAATCTTGCGAAGAATTTTCCTATTTATGAAAATAATTGAATTCTTGCGGAGGATTTTACAAATCATAAAAATAATTGAAAATTGCTTCGAAAAATGTTATCTGAATTTTTGAAAATAATTGAATTTTTTGAAGGAGTTTTATTAAAAATTTTGATAATAATGATTTTTTTAAAAAGAATTTCATCAAAATTGTCGAAAATAATTGAATTTTTGTTAAAATTCTAGAAAATAATTGTATTTAATTAATATTTGAAAAATAATTGTATTCTTTCGAGAAATTTTATTGAAATTATATTAAAAATAATTGAATTGTTCCAAAAAAATATTATTCATAAATTCTGGCGATAAATTTTATTAAAATTTTTCCTTTATTTACAGATATAGATAAAAATTAGAAGTTATTTTTTAGACAAGAAAACATTTTTCTATAAATACATTTGAAGGCAAAAAATTTTATTTACATTCATTTTCAATTTGATTGGAAATAATATATAGTTAATATATTATAATAATTGATTGAAATTATTTAAATCGTGTGATTAAATCATTTTAGCATATTTTTCATCGTTATGTATAAAAAAAATTCTCTTATAATACCTTGATAAGGAAAATGATACAAATTCATTATGAAAATTGCACTATATTTAGATTTGTTATTTATTACAAATGCGCATAACACATTTAATTATTTATTTTTCCTCAATTTTAAATATCTCACATTGTATAGACGTAAATAAGGAATAATTTTCCTGTTTTAAACTTAAAAATACAGGAAAAACATTTTCTTTAAAATTTTTATTTCAGTGAAAAACAAAAGTTTATAGGAAAAATAATAATGAATTTGTTATACAGTTGATTATGAATTGGTATTTTTATTTTTCTTTTTTTTTAAATATCAAGTAAATTATCAATTATATATTGTTTATTCGAGATCATTATTTATCGTCTAAATTTTTTTCCGTAAATTATTTTTTATTAGATAATGTTGGAAATTGAAAAATATGGAAAAAATGCGAGAGGAGAAAGAAAATGAATTAAATGCTTGTAAAACTTTGAGGATTTTTATATTAATATTATCTCTGTTTGATTTTTTTTTCAGGAATAATTAAAGTGAATCGAAAATGAAGTTTCTCGATGTGAAGTAGTTGTTAAATAGTAAATGTTTTGTCAACAGATAAAGATAATTAGCCTCGGTAGTTGTTGTTTTTTTTTTATTGCAAAAAATGAATTCGTAAAGAGAATATAAATTGAAATGCTTTACATAAATTCATGACGAGAATATTAATTGAAATATTGCTTTTGTTTTAATTATGAAAATAGTTAATTCTTTTAGAAATTTTAAATTCTGGGATTGAAGATATGAACATTATTTGAATATGACTGTCGATTTTTTTATATTAATTATTAGATATCTAAGGTGGAAGTTTTATATTTAGATATGCTATCATCGGTTCGAAATAAAGTTGAATAGTCGATAACTTCTCTTTACTGTTGTATTTTTTATTTATTCTTTGAAAAATATTTAAGAAATAAATTTTTCGATAATTTAATTTTTTTAATTAGAAATATATTAATAAATTAATAATTAATAAATATTAAATTAATAAATATATTATAAATTTTACATAAGACTTGTTTTGATAATACGGATTAAAGAGGAAGGATGAGATCTCGACCCCTTTAATAAAAATTCCATTCATCGCAGTTTATATAAGAAAATTTTATGTTTATGAGTCCATTTATAATTTTGCATTTTAGTTAAAGTCGTAGAAAATTATCAAAACAGTCTTTACATATTTCAAAAATGTTTTTCAAACTGTGCCTAATCTTTTTCGTTTTTTGTGTTTTTTTAAATAAAGATATTTTCATTTCTGCCGAAAACAGTGGTGAGTTTTTTTTCAGTGAAATTTAATTGAATTAAACTTATATTATTTTTAAAAGAAAAATCTTTCCTTAAAGTGAAAAAAAATCGATTTTCTTCATTTTTCACATTTTCGAAATATCCAAAAATTTGAAATAATAAAAAATATTTCTCTTTTTCAGTTTGTTCAGAGCCGTTAAAAGCTGGTAATTGCAGAGCTGCGTTGTATCGTTACGGTTACGACAAAACCAAAAATCAATGTATTCTATTTATTTTCGGCGGTTGTGAAGCTAATGGAAACAATTTTCATACGTTAAAAGACTGCTTGGAAGCTTGTAAGCCAAGTGAGTATTAAATTTTCGAAATAAAAGAAATATTTTTCCTTCCTCAATATAAAACAAGTATTTTCGAATAAAAAATTATTTTTTTTAGGCTGTCTACAACCGTTAAAAACTGGTAGATGCAGAGCTGGTATCCCTCGATTTGGATTTAGTTCCGAGGAAAATAAATGTGTGCAATTTATTTATGGAGGTTGCGATGCAAATGAAAATAATTTCCCAACTCTAGAAGAATGTCAGACTCAATGCGAAGGTCAGTGAGAGAAAATATTTCCAAATTTGTCTACTTGTTAAAATAATAATAGTTATAATAATAATAATTATTATTATTATTAATAATAATAAAGGAAAATAATTTAAAAAATAATAAACTAATAATCCTTTTTCAGTTAAAGAAGATCAACCAAAATTAATTTACGACCATAATTAGAATAGAGCCAGAAAAATATAACTCTGGAAAAATTTTTTTCTTGCAGAAAAAATTTTGTAATATTAATAAAAAAATGCCAAAATAAAAAATCGACGTTATTATTTTTAAATATTTAAAATTAATGGCGGGTAATGATCGACGAATAGAAATTGAGTTTAAAAAGCGTGCGCAGTACAATTCAAAATGTCGCTGAATACCAAAAGTTGTTCCCAAACATAATTTATATGTGCTAAATTTTAATTTCGTTGAAATAATTTCTTTAAAACAATAGTGTGTTATTTAGTTTTACTGTGAACATTCGAAAAAGAAAGGATTTATCCAAACAATGGCTTATACATCAAATGAGGAATTAAATTTGGCTCTTCTGCCAGATGTTGTTTTGGAGGCGATTTTTACTAACCTCACATTCGACGAAATTGCTAAAAACAGAATTGTAAGTATAATTTTACAACCCATAATTCATCTAATTGTAGAGAAGACACTTTTTTTAAGAAATATTTTTATTGAATAGGTATTTTTATATATTCGAGAATTTTTATTTTCAAACTACATGTTTGTAAAAGAAAATTGGTACACTTTCTTTGTTTTGAAATTTTCTGTTTATTCCAAACATTTTTGTGTAATTTGTCAGCAGTTATATACATTAAAATATTTAAATTGAAAATTAAATTTTTTATTTCGTTATGATTGCGACAGTTCCTTTGTTGATGGAGTCTGTGTATTCATCCTGTCAAGATGTTTTTATTTATAGTTTAGTCATCTGTAGGAAGTATACAACAAAGCTTTGATTTTTCTTTTGTTCGCTCCTCGGAGTTGTTTTATATTATGTAAATTTTAACTCAACAATGCAAACTGATTCATGATTGACAATTTTATTTACTTGAAAAATATTTATTTATAATGAAATCAATAAAATATAAAAGAATAAGTATAAAGTAAATATAAAAAATAGATTTTAATTAGTTCGTCGTTTTTTTGTCGTTTCGTTTTCCAAAATAGTGATTGTTACATATTTTATATATTTTCAGGTGTGCAAACAATTCGATAGAATATGCAAGAAATTATTAAATCGAGGCTTCAATTTAATTGAAAAATATCATGCACAATGTTTACGAACGGTAAAAAGTCAATTGCCACGAAGAGAATCAGAGAGAAGAAGTCATCCCTTGGCACGTCATTGTGATATTTTGACAGCAATCGAAACAAGAATATCCATGTTGAACATGACTTTTATCAAATACGTGGATTTGAATCTTTGTTGTTTCATTCCGGGAAAGGTGAGAATTCTATTCTCTAAACTACCGGGCTCGAATACTATTTTAATAAAATGTTCTAAAAGAATTCAATTATTTAAAAAGATTTTAATAAAATTCTACACAAACATTTAATTTCCTTTTTTCATAAATTTCTTCGCAATAATTCAATTATTTTCATAAATAATAAAATTTTTACAAGATTCAATTATTCTCGTAGGTAAATAATAAAATTCTTTTTAGGAATTCAATTATTTTCATAAATAATTGCAGAATGTATAAATATATCAGAAAATAAATGCAGAATTTCAATTATTTTTAATACAATTTTAATCGAATTTCTCGAAAATTGTAATTATTCTTGGAAATTGGAAATTGGAAAGTAATTGAATTTTATGAAGATTTTTAGAAATTTTATTAATATTATCTTGAATATAATTGAATTTATTCCTACAAATTTTATTAAAATTGGAATGAAAGTAATTGAATTTCTCAGAATAATTTTTTTTTTTCGAAAATAATTGAATTTCTCGGAATAATTTTATTTTTTTCGAAAATAATTGAATTCTTGACAAGAATTTTATCAGAATTGTTGAAAATAATTGAATTTTTATTAAAACTCTTGAAAATAATTGAATTTAAATAATATTTTTAAAAAGAATTGTATTCTTTCGAGAAATTTTATTAAAATTGTATTGATTATTGAATTGCTCTAAAAAAAATATTATTATTTATGAGAATAATAAAATTCTTGCGAAAAATGTTATTAATATTTTTGAACAATAATAAACACGAATATTTATTATGTACTTAATAAGTGATTTCTTCGAATTTGGAATCTGGAATTAATCAATAATTGATGTTTATTTCTAATTAAAATTATTAAAGAAACTCCATTATTTAAAAAAAATTCAATTAATTTCGTCCATAATAAAATTTTTCACAGGGAATTCAATTATTTAAAAAAATTTTAATAAAATTCTTCGCCACTAATTCAATTATCAGTTATGAAAAATTTTAATTTATAGTTTTTTTTATATAAAATGTTCTCTTATTTAACTCGGACTGGTTATATTTTTGTCAGTAATTGATCCGTAATTTTTCATTTTTAGTCCGTATTTTTAAATACTTTCACTGTTTCGAGCCCTGAAACTATTTTCTAACCAAATTTATATTAATAATTTTTCTCCCCGCAGGTAATTGACGAAATATTTCGTGTTATTCGTTTGGTAACCGATTCAAAATCACCACCGCGAGCTCATGAGATTCTTCAAGAACTCCGAGACATAAGCAGTATGGCTATGGAGCATTTCGATGAAAAAATACTACCAGATTTAAAGCACAGTATTTGCTCCTCAGTGGTCAGTAACGTAAGTCCATATGAGTTGCCCACTGGCAATTTAAAACTTGCACACTCGAGTTCAAGTTCAGTTTTGACACACGGCATCAACAGCAATCGTCTAAATCAAACATTTAAGCGAATTTACAGTCGCACTCGAAAGAATAAAACCCTAGTTGTCTCGGTGCAAGGACAAATGCGAAAAATGAAACAACGTATGAATAGACAGGGACTGCAGATGCAATTGCAAAGTTCAAAATTGCATGAGCAGGCGAAAAAAATTAACGAGCAAGACTCGCAAATTGCCGATTTAAAGAAACACTTGGAAGAATGGGAACAGAAAATTGGTGATCTCACTGCGGAATTGAGTCGTGCTCGTGAAGAAACACAAAAACCGGACAGCATCGATGGCTGTAAGCGAAATCATCTTGATATTGGACGTGATTCCACAAATATAAATTCAAAAGATCTTCAAGCGAAAAAAAGAAAATTAATCGTCGAACGAAAACCGTCAAATGACGCAAAAGACGTGAAATTTAAAAAATTCATGTCCTCTCTTCTTGCCGATGAATCAACAACATATTAAAAAAAAAAAATAATTTTTAATTCACGTTTACTGTTGGAAAATATATATTTCACTCTCTAGAGTAGAAAAAAATCAATCTCTTTTATAATGGAGATCTTTTTAATCGTTTACTACGATTTTCTAAATATATATTTATAATCAATTTTCTGTTTTTTGTAAAGGAAACAAAATATATATATAACGTTCAATTTAAACTGATTTACATATATAAAGTTTAAAGAAAATTGAATTTTAAAATTATTAAAGTGAAAATTTGCATGTCTTTGTAATAGATAAAATGTTTAATACTCATAAGTGTATATCACTAACGTAATACTATTTAAGCAAATGAAAAAGTCTGATTTGTGCTAATTTTCATATCTATTTACATTGATAAAAATGGTGAGAATTTAGAAAATAATTGCGAAATTTTCAAATTGATTAAGAGCCAAAAATCGATAAGTATTACAAATTCCTGGAATTATTAATTAACGAATGAATTAAGATAGATTTAGTGTCATTCAGTGTCATAATCATTTATCATTTAGTTGGGTTTCTGTTTTAAATTTCATCAAATTAATAGTTTTCACTAAATTGTTTGTATATACATTAGTTACGCTTTCACACGTACAACTTATTTAGAATCATTTTTACTTTCTTGTAAGGAATAAAAATAAATAAAGGTAAACCACTTAAAAAATTATTGCTGCTTTTTTTTTACTTTTCTGTAGATAATTCCCTGGTTTTCTATAGTTAATACCTCATACTTTTATATTTTATTTATTTTTTATATTTTATATTATAATTTATACTTATACTTTTGGATTTTAATTTAGATCTTTGAAAAATAATTTTATAAGAATTTATTCATACCTGTGAAACTTGAAGAAGAAGAAAATGAAGTTTCGTTTATTAATTTTTCTTGTATATCCTCGACGATTTCCACTATTACGTCGTTCAGTATCTCACGAATAGTAAATTCGTTTTCTAAAAAAAATGCATTATTAATAGTCGAAAAATTATTGTAAAATTTCACAAAAGCTAATAATTCGATATTATTTTACAATATTTTAAAAGAATTTCTAAAAAAGGAAAATTTTTACCATTCGGGATGACGTAAGACATTATTTTATCAATTATAGTGTCAATTATAATTCTGTAGTCTTCGTGAATAGTATTTGTTTTTGACTCGCTGAATGACAATCGAGTCTATAAAAAAAATTTTTCGAGAATAGATTAAATTTACTTTTTTAAATTAAACTTAAATTAGATAGGTAGTAAATTGAAACAAATTTAAATTTAAAAAATATATTAAATTACGTTTTTTTAAATTGAATTTAAATAAATAGATTTCAATTTAAATAAATAAATTTAAATTAGTAATACCGAAGTTGTTGGTAAATTAATGTCTAATGTTTCAATTTCCTTTTGATGCTCAGATTCCTCGCTTAATGACAAATTTAACAGTTCGTCATAAATAGATGAATGCGCATTATTCAAATATTCCTGTTGCTTCACTCGGATTTTCTTCTTCATAATTTCCCTCTCAACTTCTGGCAAAATAAAATTATGAACCATGTCTGAAACCATTTCCTCTTCGTCTATCTCGGCAGCACTGTAAAAAATTAATTAAATTTTCATTTTTTTTACTCCAAATGAATTCCAATCATTTTTTGATTAATAAATAAATTCAAATGATTACTAAATCGTTTTAATAAATTTATTTACGATCCACAAACTTTGAACGATCAAATATTTGAAAATTAATTACGAAATATTTTTTGTATTTTCATATATTACTAATTGCAATAAAAATTAAAAACTTTAATTTTATATTTAGGAACTTTATGAATAATTTTTATTTGCAATTATGCAAAATTATTTATATAAAAATTTAGTTTCAAGAGGAAATAAAATAAATTTCGTTAATTTAAACGTTCAGAATTTTAGAATCATATTTATTAATTCAATTAATTCGAATTCAACGATTAAGACAAATTAATAAAATTTAGTGTCGATTGAAGAAATTTAGAAGTATTTAGAAATGAATGTTTAGAATTTATTAGAATTTTTTAATTTTGAATTTGAATTCGAATTTGATTTATATCTTAATTTACTTTTCGGCTGCGTATTTTGAGACACTGTCTATTTTATCAGCTAAAGCCAAAACGTATTCCTTCGCTTCCTTTTCAGAAATCCAATCAATAGCTTCCTTTACAATATCTTCAAGAAAAGCGTCGACAGTGTCTTGATTGACTTTTCCAATTTGTCGAAAAAGTTGATCCAATTCCTTTCGACGTTGAATTTCATCTTCTCTTTGTCCACTGTCACTTGCTTCTCCTTTGATCTTTTCTCTTTCAGCAAGCAACGCAAAAGCATGAATTTTTCTCTCATCTTCAAGTTTCGTCAATTCCTGAAATTTCAATTTCAGAAATAAATTTATTTTTAAATTTAAAAGATTAAATTTAATAAATAATTTTTCTTCTTTTTTAATAAAAAGTTTTTCTTTGTGTTTAATTTTCAAATGAAAACGAAATAAATAGGAGAAAATTTTATTAAATATATATTTAATTTATTTATTAATGAATAAAATAAATTTATTGATTAATGAATAAAATTAATTTATTTATTAATAAATAAAATAAAAAATTAAGGATAATTAAAACTAACCTTGCCCAAAAAATCCATCATTCCAGAAATTTGCATTCCTTCTAAAGGAGAGAGAATTTCTCTTAATCTAGATTCTTGATATGAAGTTAAATTTTCCTCTTGTGATAAATTTATAATGTCAGGTTCATTTTCTTGTATGTTGTCTTCATCTTGAATCGCATAAGCCATTTGTAGTTCTTTAATTAAATCCTTGCACTTCTCTCGTCCTTCGAACATCTGTAATAATTTTAGAATATTTCAAATTTGGGGCGAAAATGACAATTTTAACAAGAAAAAAAATTATAGTCGATATAAAGTTTCGAACGTTTAAATGCACGACAATATTTTTATCACTTCTTTTAATTTTGAATTCTATTTACAATTCACTTTTTTTTTATAAATAAAAAATTTATTTTTACCTAATTGTTAAATTGCAGTATTTTTCATTCAAGTCTTGTAATTTTTAAAAAAAAATTTGAGCAGAGAAAAATATTTCGTTCAAAAATTTAGGAAAATAAAAATTTTTAATTACCATATATTGAATAGCTCTTCCTCTAATTGTCTTTTGAATTAATGTAGCAGATTCATTTTTAATATTCAAAGATGTGTCGTCTCCCGTTACTCCAGGCGTCGGTGGCAAAACTTTTGGTTTTTGTTCCCTTGTATCAATTGTATCTGTCGGCTGTACATTCAAACGAACTCTCTTCAATTCTCTATAGAGTTCTTCTAATTTTGCATCGTTCCATTTTGTCTCTCGAACGCACAATTCTCCTTCTTTTCGTTTTAATTTTATCGAAAAAAATTCTTCAATTGTGGGGAAACTGATTTCCTTCATCTCCATTATTTCTCCGTCTGATGACAATTTTCTCTAAATGATTCGGACAATTTTCGAGCTACTATTGCCAAAATTTTGTCGATAGTAATCAATTTAGTCAGTTGACTATATCGACTAAATTGACAAAATTTTGTCAATTTAAGGTAAATAAAATTAAAATATTTTTTAAACATACGTTGGGGAAATTTTTTAATGACCTCGCGACGTCTTCGGGACTTTATTCCAAAAGGTATCTGCCGTGTAGGAAATAATTCATTAACACGATCCTCGTGCTGTCTTATAATAAATTCCTGATTGCGACTTCCAATTCGATCGCGATGCTTGATTGTTAATTTACGAATTTCTCGTCCAAATTTTTGTCTTATTTTGCTAATTTCCTTATCACGTTTCTCTTCTAAATTACTTCCGAGTCTCGAGAAACGATCCTTCTTCTTCTTGTTCCATTTATCGTTTCTACTTCTCATCGCCTTCTCAGCTAAATCCATTCTTATCTTCATTATAAATTCAATCTCCTGTGAAAAAAGGAAAACAAAGTTATCAAAAATTCCTTGACAATTAAAAGTAATTACCGATTCTCGAAAGGCCCACTCGTCCGCTTCTAGAGCTGCGACAATTTTTGTTCTTAATTTAACATTAGATTCCGAATCCATTGGTGGGAGAATTTTTTCCCAGGCTCTTCTTTTTCTCATTCTGTTGATATTTTCAATCTCGTGCATTCCAACCGGCAGGCCATTTTTCCACGTTAGATGAGATAAATTCAGTACTTCTGGATTATGACCTTTAAAAACAGAAGTTAATTTTAATTTTTTTCTTTTAAAGGACAAGAAAAAAAAGGAAAAAAAAATTTCAAACGAAGTTGAAGAAATTGAAAATATTACCTGGAAGGATTTTATACGGCGGTTCCCAGGGAGAAGTTTGACACTCGCTCTCTCTGTAATCAGTTTGAGTTCCTCTATCCTGAACATATTCCAATCTCGATGGTAGAGCATGAGAGAATTTTTCTGAATTCTGAATCGTTTCGTTTTCATTCTCCTGGCTCAAATTACTCAAAAGTCTTAATTTCGGCACTTCTGGCGATATAAATGGCACTAATGGTCGTCGATAAAATTTTTGAACATCAACACCTGGATTTATCCTGTACAATTCGCTCTGAAAAGAAAAACTTAAAACTCAAGTAATAAATTAAAATTTAAAAAATTTAAAGTTTAAAAATTTAAGTTTAAAAATTAATTCAATAAAAAGTAAAATTAGAAAATTATTAAAATACGAAAGCAATAAAAACTGATGAGGCCGAAGTCCGCAACGTTTTTAAAAACGAAAAATCAAGAATTTTTTTTCCAGTTAAAATCATTTCTAATTTTTATGTTCGTAAATCTTTAAGAAATTATTACTTAATAATTAATAACAATTGAAAAATTCAAACTATAAATTTGAAAACTAAAATAAAATAAATCGTCGCGTTATTTTTGCGTTTTCGTTTTTCAAAAAACATTGCGGATTTCAGCCTCATAAAACAATGATTAAATGTGATACATTTTTATTCAGTGTGAAAGAAAGAGAAATATAATAAAACGTTGGCTGTACAGTTTTTTTTTGTAAAATCATCACTGAACGAAGTAAATTTTTCAGAAGTGGAAAAAAAAACTTTTTGATATGAAAATTGATATACAATTTGTTTTCTTTAATACAATATGCATCTGCTAACCTTTTGCAATTGTACGCACTGGACCGCATTTGCCATGTTGTTATTTGAAAGAATCACCTTTTTCTTATTCGGCAAATTAAATAGAAATTATCACTAATTTCACAATTAGAAATTACACATTTTTTTCTGTATTTATTTCTTAGAGAGTAGAATTATATTATCAGAGAATATATAATATATACATATACTTAATTTTTTTTTACGAGACAAATGTGAAGTGTCCACTTAAAACAGATGATGATCAAATTTTCCAAAAAAGAAAAAAAAATAAATAAAATTGCCAAATAAAAGATTTGATGAAGATTTTATTTTTAAAATAAAATTCTAAAAATTCTAAATTATGAGCATTGTGACGTGCGGAGTGTATTATACAGAAGAGAAGTTAAAATATTGATCTAACAGTTTCTCATAGTGTTGCTCTATAAACTAATTTTAATGATAAAATGATTATGTTTGTACTTTAAATTTCAAATAGTGTAAATAGATTTTTGTTTGAAAAATATTCTGAATAATCTTGAACACATTTTCTGGCTAGTTTATAAAACTGATATTTTGATTTTTTTTATAATTCAATTGAATTCTTATTTCTTGTATCATTATACAAGTCTATTTTATGAATTGATTCATTACTCTGATTGGGGACAAATCACATTTTTCTCAACTCGTCTGGAGCCAAAAGACCTTACGAATAAAATACTGACATTTTAAAAAATAACGAAAAGAAACCATTTTTTAATAATTTGGAAATTTTTCTTCTATTTTCTTTTTATTTTATTTTAAAGAAACTTTTTGTAAATATTCAGATAATATAAAAGTTAATTCAAAGTGATTTTCAGTAAATTTAGTAATAACTTTGTGAAAGTAATTTAAATTATTTTTCTATTGAGGCAAGTAATTATTAAATTTGTCAAGTACAAAAATTATTTATTCTCAAGGCCCTTCGGATTTATTGTCTCTCGAGGAGCCTGCGCTTTCGAACAATCACTTGAGAAATTGATATTTAATTGTTCAATTGTTTTAACAATTAATAAAATGTTTTTTTTTGGTAAATAGTCTTTCGACAACTATTTTTAACTACAACAGTAACGGAAAATTAAAACTAAATAAATAACAAATAAATAAATAAATAAAAAAATAAAAATAAGTAAAAAAATAAATTATAAATAAAATAACAGAAATTAACAAATTTAAATCAGTTTTTCTCCGATCTTCGTTTACTAAATACTAACAAAATAAAAACGTTTCAACTGTTTAAATGAAAGAACAAATATTTCTTTAAACAGAAAAAAAATTAAATTTAAATCAGTTTTTCCCCGATCTTCGTTTACTAAATACTTTCTTACCCTCTCGTTAATTTTTTTTTTTTACCAAAATTCTGAGCATTCCTGTCAAGTTTTTTTTTCTTTTTAAAAATGTTATGGTCGAAAATAACCGTTACCAGCGGAACCGAGATGCGCGGACCAACTTTGACGACGCAATATATCTTTACACGTGTCACCTGGTAAAATATCCTGTGGACAAACACATTGGAGTTGCATTCGATAAATTGTCATTTGTCCCAGAGCAACTTTCAGATTTTCTCGATCACTAACTTCCTCGAAATATTTGTTATTAATTCCACGCTCTGCGAGACATTCCTTCACCTTTTCTTCGTACGTTGTAATTTGCATGTCCTCTTTCTTTTGAATACAATCCAAATCACGTTGAAGAAGAATTATCGGCGTTTCAGTCGCTGGTAGCCAATATGTCGAGAATACAAGATCAATCGATCGTTTTTGAGTTGATTTTAATGATGGTAGTAAAATTCCCGTTGGTGGTTGTCGTTGAATTCCGAGATTTTTATCTTTTAATTTCTTTTCAATTGTCGAACGGATACGTTTAGATCGAAAGAGTGTTTTTTCACTATTTTCGGTATTAATTATCTTTTTTTTAAGCTTTGCTTTTTTGTCTGGTACTTTTTGTTTTAATTTCTTGTCAAGTTTTATCCAATCATTGTAATTACCATTTTGGGTATCGATGGGAATTTCCTTTTGTCCTTGATGTTTTTTAGTATCTCGTCTCTCGAGAACTTTCGTTATTTCCTCGGAATCATCGGTGAAATCAATATCGGGCATATTGAAATAATCGGAATTCTCGTCGAGGGAATTTGTTCTATTAACAGGCTCTAGAGAATAGTAACGTTTCGATTGACCATTAGTGTAATCCATACTTGGATCAAGTTTATTTTGCACATCGTTTGTATCATTATTTATCCTTGCTGTTAATTTATCGCTACGCTGTGATCGCATTTCATTTGGCGATAAACGTTCACTATCGTCGTCATAAGTCAGGACGTCGTAAATTTTTTTCGGTCTCAATTCATCGTCCCATTTGTCAAAGTCACGTAATTCCTCGGCAAAACTCATGTCGTCTGGTACTTTATCCTCAAAACCGATTATTTGCGGCTCTTCGTCCTTGTAATCCTCGATATCGTATTTACCGAGAAAATCATCATCTACTGGAAATTTCTCATTTAGTTGGGAATTTTTTCGTATTTTCGGCGAACGTTCCGAGACGTCATCATTTTCATTTAAGGGCTCCATTTCGTCGAGTGGATGTTTTTCGAAATAATTTTCCGCCGCTTCACGTGGATCGAATGAATTGTTGAATTCTAATTTTTTCCAGTCTTCGGATTTGTAGAGAGAAATACCGGGCGGTCCGACATGTTGACTGAAAGCGAACAATCGGGTAATTTGCGTTGAATTAAATCGCAATTTACAGAGATCGGCTCGTGTTTGTGAATTACTGCTTTGTCCTTTGAAAAATTGATACTTGTCTTTAGAGCCTTCGTGATTTAGGCAATCAGCGGACCAGTGGAGAAACCAATCGTTTCCAAAGCCTTGCACGGATATTGACAATCCTGACATTTGTGCGCTCATACTGTCTCTCATTGCTTCTTCGAGTAGTGGTTTTCCAGTTTTTCCGCTAATAATCATAGCTTCCGTGTAATAATAAACCGGAAATCCAGGACCAATTTGATGTTTTACCATAAAATCGGGAATATTGTCGTCATCGTAATATCCAGGAATGGGAATACTTATTACTTCCGAATTAGGAATTGTGTAGTTCCAAATTTGTTGAAACGATTTTCCATCATAGGCGACAATTGTCGAATTAAACATCGCAGCGACAATATCTTCCGTTCCATCTAAATTTATATCGACTAAAATCGGAGCCAAAAGAACGCCTTTCCCTGCACTATGATGTAGTTTACGTAATTTCTGCAAAAATTGCGAAAAAAAAATTAATCCCTAGACATACTTTTTATCAATATTTAATATTTCAAATTTTATAAATTCGAATTTTTATTACCAATTCTCCTTGCATTAATTGCGCCTGGCGAATGACATAAAGTCCCCCGGACTGCTTCTGACTATTGGTGACAATAACAAAAATATTCTCCCCATCTGGATGAACAAGAACTTGAGGAGCAACGAATAATTCCTCAGTGTCCGGTAATTGAACATTACGAATTATTTTGCCACTCTTTCCCGAAACAATGACAATTTCAGAAATAAGTTTCTCGTCCGTTTGAATAATATGCGAAGCTATAATATCGCCAATTCTATCGTTATCAATGTCGACGATAAATTTCGCATCGTAAATATCGGGAAAATCATTATTGTCCGATGTCACGTGTCCTTTATCGGCTCTCGGTATTTCCCAGATACTAATTCCATTACGACCATTCACAGCATGAAGAATTCCTCCACGTCCCGATATAATACAGTCTTTTGTTGAATCACCCGTTAAATCGAGATTACAATCAACGGAAAATATTGCATGACTCGTCCAATGGGTCCAAATAATATCTCCAGATTTTCCATTTAATGCAAGAACACCACCGAAGCAGGGCTTTTGATCTTTGAAATATAAATTGCAAACATAGTCCGGAGAATCCGTTGCATCCAATCCTGAAGAAATCAAAATAATTCAATATTATTCCTCTTCTGGAATATTAAATAATTAAAATTTGGAACATTTCAATAATTAAAATTGAAAATTGATAATAGAAACATTTAAATAATTCAAAAGTCTAAAATTAAATAAATACAAAAATAAAAAAGCATTAAAACTCCAAAAGAAAATAATCACCTCAACAAGTACACTAAACCAAATATAACGAAATAAAAATCTGCAAAAGAAAAATAATTCAAATTAGAAAAAAATCAGAGACAACAATTCATTAAATATGTCATAAATTGTAAAACCTGTACTAAATCCTGCAATAATATCGTCAATATTATCTCCATTAACGTCATTACTTCTTAAAGGTGCTTCTGACGTTAATTTCGGTAGAGTTTTCGTCCAAATTATTTTCGAAGAAAGGGAAGTACAAGGAATTGTTGTTGTTTTGTTTAAATGTATTTTTGTGCCATGCGATAAAAATTTTCTTATTATTGTTAATGGCATTGGAAATAAATTGACTGTCAATGCACAAAGAACAATTAATCCAAGTAAAATTAATAATGCTATTAGTCCATAACAAATTGGAGCTAATAAAGCTCTGTAAGGCAAAACAACTCTTTCAGTCATATTAACATTTTTAAATTTTCGACGTGGTGCCATTAAAGGTCTTTTAACGACACAATCGTCATCTATTTTTAAAATCCCATTTTTTCCATCACGAATAAAAACCTCATCGTCAATGTCACTTAAATCCTCATCGTCAAAACTGTCACGAACTGCCAGTCTTGGTAATTTGTTCTGCATTTTTGTTTCTTTCTCTGGAAAAAATTAATAAATTTAAAATCCTAAGAAGACTTAAATCCTAAAAATTTACGACTTAATGACATAAGGTCCAATCCTATTTGTAAATTTGAAATATGGTAACTTGTAAATTCTAAATAAAACAATTTTGAATACTTTTGATTAATGAAAAATTGTGTATTGTCAAGAAGCAATTAAAATTAAACAAAAATAAATGAAAATAGAAAAAAATATAAAAAATTATGTATACTAGGCGTGAAAAAATAAGATAAACAACAGAGGTTATGCGAGGAAATTAAAATGATTTTCTTCCTTACTTAAAATGATTATTTAGTCTCAAAAAAGTTCTGAGAGAATAACGAAGTTTAATGTCTTATTTCAATTTTCTCTCTTGTAGAAAACAATTAATTTAATTCACTACATTCTAATAATTTATTTGTTATTTCAATGACACGTCGCAATATACATACGAAATCTAGCAACTATAGCAGTCGATATTAAATAACAGGGGCGTGTAAAAGAAAAAAGTTCTAACCTTAAAAAATGTACCTTATTTTGGAAAAAATTTACATTCTTCTACAAATTTGGAATGTTTTTCTAAATTAGGTGCAAGAAGCAATAAAATTACTCCTTTCTGTCAAACTTTTCAAAAATATCAGGTTTATTATGACAAAATTATTTTAAGCACAGGGTTCTTTAAATTCTTAATACCTCACTGAAAATTCCACGTGTTTGTCACTTTTGACACCAGGTGCATTACCGGGAAAATAAAAAAACCTTTTTTTTTTAATTCTTTGATATCATTCTAAATTTTAAAAACTATTTCTAATAGTTTTAAATTTTTCTTATTAAAAACAAATTTTTATTTTAAAAAAAATCTCCAAAATACCTATAAAATTATCTTGTTGTTTGAAAATCATGATTGAAAATTTACAACAAAAATGGCGTCCGATTGTGGCGCCTCCATTTTCCACGTAAATAGAAAATCTGGCAACCTCGCATTGTTGACCGGTTGTGGCAGAAATAGTTACCGGCAGTTTTTTAGTTAAATAATAAAATTTCATTTAGAGGCAAAATGTTTTCGTATATTGCATATTTTTGTCTATTTCTCACTCTTTCAAATGCAAGTTTAGTACGATCGAAAGAATCATCGGTGGAACCATTACACGAAGATAATTGGGATCGGATGTTGACAGGCGAATGGATGGTGGAATTGTAAGTGCCATATATACCTATAAACTCACACACAATAATTATAATCAACTTTTGCAAATTTTATGGTGCAATGCCTCGTAAACCTGTAACATCTTCCCACTCAAGTTTGCGAAAGTATTTCAAAATAGTTCGCATTCAGGGTGGAAGAAAATTTTCCATTCATGAAAATATGTTTCTTTTTTCTTATAACATTGGCATTTTTGATAAGTCTCATTCAATTTTTACCTCGTGGCTTTGAGGTCTACAATGACGTTCTCTTCATTTGGAAATTTTCTTTTAAATAATTGGAAAATAATGATTTGATTGTAGAATTGTATGAATTGTATACAAATTTTATAATCAAATTAATATTTTTATGTTTTATATTGTAGGATTGTAGATATTTTAATTATTTACGAATTTGTTAATAGAGATTGTTAATTTTTGATAAAATCGACTATAGAAATAAGAAAAAATTCATTTTTTTTAGCTATGCACCCTGGTGTCCGGCGTGTAAGTCCCTTGAACCAGTTTGGGAGGAATTGGCGTTAAGAAAAAAGGATCTCAATATTAACGTGGGTAAAGTTGACGTCACTTATGCACCAGGACTCAGTGGACGTTTTATGGTGACCGCCCTTCCGACAATCTATCAGTGAGTATATTTAATTTAACTATTTTTTCAGTTTTTACTGTTTCTTCGTTTAATATTCCTTCAGTCTTTAATTTTTGTTTCGTTGCTTTTAAATTGAATGTTCTTTATTTCTAATTGAATTTTATTTTGAATTCTTCAGCGTTAAAGATGGAATATTTCGTCAATACAAAAGTCCCAGGGACAGGGATTCCTTAATCAAATTTGTAGCTGATAAAACTTGGAAGAAAGTTGAACCGATTTCAAGTTGGAAGAGTCCTACTTCGATTCAAATGTCAGTTATTAGCCAATTTTTCCGCATGTCTCAAGTTTTGAGAGTGAGTATCAATTTTTTCTTATTTACCCCTCAATAAAATACTCTACTACCTTTTTTTAAAAAAAAACTATTATAAAAATATTGTAACTTTCTAGGGAATTCACAACAAATTAATGGAAGATTTTGGAATGCCGACCTGGGGAACTTATTTGATTTTCGCAATCGCTACAATTGTTTTGGGCGCTGTTATTGGACTCGTAAGTTTCTCTTCTTTTTTCTCAATTTTATTTACATTTTTTCAATTTTATTTATTTTTTATTTACATTTATTTATTTACTTATATTTAATTCATACTTTTCAGTTCTCTAAAATTATTTTGAACAAAAGAAAATTTGAATATATTTAAATTAATTGAATTTTACAAGCATTGCGTTTTCAATTTTCATAATTATAGATCAAGTTCAAAAGGTTTTAATTTAAAATTTTACAAAATTTCAATTTTGAATGAATTTAAGCAGAAATTTTAATAAACTTCGATTTTTCAAAAATTTTAATAATTCAAATTCTTCTGAAATTACTTAGTTACATTTTCTAATATATATTTTAAAACTAATTATTAAAAATAATAGATTTATAGATGAATTTTAGTTAAAAATATTTTTAAAAAATTGAATTTTGGAATAGTTACAAACGATTGCAGAAATTCAATAATGTTCAAAAATTTTTTAAAAATTCTCGTCAGAATTTCAAGTATCTTCATAAATATTTAAATAATAAATATCTTCTCCGAAATTCAATGATTTTCAAAAATTTTAATAAAATTCTTCGCAATTTAATTATTTTCAAAAATTTGCCTCAATCCAATGATTTTCAATCTCTACTATTTTAATAAAATTTTTCAAAAAAATTCAATTATTTTCATAAATAATAAAACTTATCGCAGAATTTCAATTATTTTTAATACAATTTTAATTTCAATTCTGTTGAAATTAGTCGAATTTTTTAATATGTATTTAATATTTTTTCCAAAAATTTAACTCAAATCTTAGACAGAAATCAATTATTTTTATAAATATCAAAATTCTCCACAGAAATCCAATGGTTTTCAAGAATTTTAATTAAATTATTTACATAATTCAATTATTTTCATAAATAACAATATGAATCATGAGAATAGAATTATTTTCAAAAGTAATAAAATTCTTTTCAGAAATTCAATTATTTTCAAAAATTAAAAAAAAAATTCTCGTCATGATTTCAAATATTTTTAAAAACAGCAAAATTCTTCGCTGCAATTCAATTATTTAAAAAAAATTTAATAATACTCTACGCAAACATTTAATTATTTTCATAAGGAATAAAAGTTTCCCAGGATTTCAATTATTTACAAATTTTTTATAAATTTCTTTGCAATAATTTAATTATTTTTATAAATAATAAAACTGTTGCCGGGAATTTAATTATTTTCATAAATTAGTTTTATTACTTATCGCAGGATTTTAATTATTTTTGATACAATTTTAATCGAATTCTTCGAATAATGTAATTATTCTTAAAAATTTTATTAAATTTCGTCAAAAGAATTTATTTATTTAAAAATTTGTTGATAAAATTCTTTATAAGAATTCAATTTCACCAAACATTCAATTATTATTCAATAAATTATTTATTTTTGAATTTAAATAATTGAATTTTTGCAGAATTTTATAATAAAAATTGATTTTAAAATCAATTTCCAAATAATTGATTTATTATTTATGAAAATAATTGAATTCTTGCAACGAATTTTATTACATTTTTTTTAAATAATTGAATTCTTTTGAGAAATTTTACTACTTGTAAAAATATTTGAATTCTTGCGAAGGACTTTAATTAGGATTTTTGTAAATTATTAAATTTTTTTGAAAAATGTTCTTGTAATTTAAATTATTACAAAACATAAAGAAATCGATCACTCCGAGTCGAAGACTCGGAGTAATCGATATCTTCATGTTTTTACAATAAAATTTTGATAAATTGTTAATTTCAAAATGTTTGAATTTGAATGTTTTGAAGAATTTTAATTCCTATGGAAAAATAATAATTAAATACTTATTTAAAAATGAAGTTATTGATGTTTTCGGATAATTTTACAATTAAATAAATTTGTAAATGAATGTAATAGAATTTTTTTTTTTGATTATCTAATAATTTTGAGAGTGAATCAGAATATTCTTTGGGGTCAGGGAAAAAGTCAAAATTTTGTCTGAAAATCAGGGAAAAACAAAATTAAATATTTGTGACAACTTTGATGTTGAATTTATCATATTTAATAAATGATTAAAATTTATAATTTTTAATTTATTGCAATGAATTTATTTGCAGATAATTGTGTGCCTTATTGACTTTCTTTATCCGCCGAAAGACGTGCAAACACAAGCGAAAAAGAAAACAAAGGATGGCTCTGGTGACAGTTCACAAGGAAAGTCGTCTGGCGATGAGGATCTGGTGAAAAATGTCAAAGACGATCTTGTAGATGAAGAAGGCAGTGAATCAGAAAAATCCGAGGAAGATAAGGCCACACAAACAAGCACAAGTAGTCCCAATGTTCGTAAACGTAAACCAAGAAAAGCTGATTAAATTTTTAGTTCATAAAAATTTTAATTGCTCTGATCGGGTTTAATGTGTTGAATTATTACAATCACTAAAAAATAGTGAGACATGAAAATTTGAGCAGAGACAATATTCAAGCACAAACTCTTCAAAGATATCAAACAATTTTTTTCAGTTCACTTTCAATGTCGTTCGACAATCGTTTTTTTTTGTCTAATTAAAAAGACTGGATAGCATTTAAATTTTCTTTTTTTTTTTTTGTTGAGTAGATTCATTTCTAGTTACTGAATTTTTTATTTTAGGTAACATTTTAGAAGTTTTGTACAAAAATCCAACTTAATTTAGAGAAATCTTTTGGGTTTTTTTAATTTGTTTTTGTTTTGGGAAAAGGTCTTTCTTTTAAATCTAAAAGTAGTGCCTTAAGATTTTCTTTCGTTTATTATTAATTTATTTCTGTAAAAGTTTTTAAGAAAAAAAAAAAGATTTTATTCATTAAAAACAAATTTACAGAGTTTAAATAATAATATTCAAAATTAATGAAAACTTATGTTTTCATTCTACAAATTGAGATTTTAAGATGAAGTTAATGATACGTGATTTTCCATAATGCACTTTTGAGATTTTGAATAACTCAAATCTGTGATTATTCATTGAAATGGGAAACAATTTTTTTAAAAGAAAAAAGGTTTTAAAAAATATGACTTTAAAATTACTAATATTGTTTTTAATACAATTTTTCAAAATAATTAATAATATTTAGTGTTTTGTGTAAATAAACGTTTGTACACTTGTACAATAATCATTTTTGGATAACAAGCCTAAAAAGAAATAATTCGTAAACTAAAATTTTTTGAATTTTACAAACTAAATATTTTACTCTCGATTATTAATGTTTGTTTATTAAGCGTGTGTCAGATTATTAATTAAGTCTTCCGCAATTTCTGTTCGCACAATTAATTAAGCTTGAATGTCTCGAAAGATTTGTGATTGGCTCAGTAGAAAATTTTTTTTCAACGAAAGAAACAAATTTTTATCTCAGGGAACAAATATGCATGTAAATGTAAGGTAATTTGTAAGTAAAGGTAAATTTATTTATCCAGATTTTACATACAGGTTTATATATAAAAAATATTGCGAAGAATTTTTTACAAAGGATACAAAAAAAATAGGTTTTTTAATTTTACAAAAAGAAAATAGACGTAACAAGATTATGGAAGGCTGTAAATTTTAATTTTATACTGAGTTAATCACACGTTTATTTTGTTTATCGACGATCATGTTCCTTCTGTGACATTCCTATTTTTCAATTTACTTATTTATTTTAGCAATCTAATGATACTTACAGAATGTAAAATAACATTTTGTGCGCAGAGTGATAATAAACCATGTAATGCAGACTTCCTAATAATTAAAAGTGTCTTTTTCATCACAGTATTAATTATTAATTGTTATATTAATTTTATTACACTTTTATATATTTTCAAGGTTGCTACAGGTCAGGGAATTCAGGGAAAAGTCAGGAAAAGTAGAATTGGTCAGGGAAAATTCAGGGATTTTTATTAAAGTACTGGAAAAAATTGAATTTTTGAGAAGTTACAAATGATTGCAGAAATTTTTGAATTTCAGCAAAGAATTTCATTATTTGTGAAATGTAATTTAATTCTTGCAAAAAATATTTGAAGATAATTTCATTTTCCGAGAAATTTATTTAAAATACAGTATTAAAAATAATTGAAACCCTGTGATAATTTTTATAGTGAATCAGAATATTTTTTAGGGTAAGGGAAAAAGTGAACATTTTGTTTGGAAATCAGGGAAAAACAAAATTAAATATTTGTGACAACCCTGATTTTTAATTATTTTTTTAAATTATAATTTACATACCATTTTTTTTTATTTTTGTTTTTTGTGAAGAGGAAGGTTTTTAAAAAATCGCGCCACAAAACCTGTGAACGTGACTTAAGGCCATCTGGTAAGTATCAATCGAAATAATCTTAATGTCCAAGTTTGCGTGTCTATTAATAAATAAATTTATGGTTTTAGGAAAGCCATTGCGACGTCACAAGTGGTCACGTGTTATGTACGTACAATTTATTTTACAAAAAACGGAGTAGAAGTTATTTTCATTCGCAAGATCAAGCTTCGTCATTAAAAGTAAGAAAAATTTATTTAGTTAAACTATCCGAATGTTAATCAATGATTTCATCAGAAATTCAAGCTTAAATCTTCATCATCTCATGTATATTTTCTTAAAGGAAAAATTGAGGTTGCGATATTTCAGGAACAGTCGCGCAAGGCACATCGTGGTACAAGAATGAGCTGGCAAAATTCTGAGCAATGTTTTTTTTCTTATTTTCTTTCAACAATTTTTTACCGCATTAAAATAATCGAGTAAATATTTTGCTTTACCATATCATATTGTTCAGCTCATTCTCAAAAATTGTGCGCTGATAATCGGAAAAATTCTTCTCATTTCTTTTCGTTATGCTCTAGATTTCCCTATAAGATACTACTCCATAACCTCATTTGTGAATGAAACAACATATTGTTATCGTAAAACATTCATAAACAGCATTTTCAACTTTCATTAATTAGTTTTGAATAATTTAATAGTGTATATATCGCGGAAAAGTGCTGTCTTGCATTAGTGAGTATTGGTTTTAAAGGAAAAATTGTTAAATTTTTATTGAAATGATCAAAGTAAACAGATTGCAATATGTATATCGTTCAATTACAAATATTTCATCATTCTTAAAACATCATTATTCCAATGTATAGTACGCAGTGAAATAAATTCCAAAACATGTGTGATTCTTTTTAAAAACAAATTTTTAGTATTTACTTTAGAATTTTTTTTTTCGAGAAATAGTGCGTAATACAGTGAACAACACGCGATGATTCAGATAATTATCTAAAAGCTTCATCTTACTTGAATTTTATTTTTAGTTTCGTTATTAGTCTCGAGAATTTTAAACTCATTCACCAAATTAGTATTATAAAGTTAAATTCGAAGAAAATAAAATTAAAAAAAGGGGAAATTGAAAAATATAGTCTAAACTTTGAACTAGATATTGAAAACTTTCCATTGATCTTGGAAATGGTAAACAAACATTTACACTCAATGGTTCGATTTTTAATAAATGATAATTAAAATTTATTTTTACTTGCTTGAAAATAAATTGAATACAGGAAAATAATAATATTTTTAATTACAGATTGGAAACGAGGCTAAAATAACGAAACTATAACGAGTGTGTGAAAACCCTTATAAGGAAAACGAATAAGACATCACGATTGAAAATAACTTTTTATCAGTTTTAAGTCCTTCAAATTGTCCTGAGGCTGCTGAGGTGCAGAAGGGCTCTATGTGCTCCAAATCAGCGTTCTTCAACGATATCCTAGTTTTCAAAAACATCACAATTGAATACTCTGAGAGGAGTAAATTGAAGAAAAATAAATATCGACGAGAATTAAGGAGACAGTATGCGGAACGAGATCACAGCCGCTGTTCTGTTCTTAGTACAGCTGATAGAAAAAAACGAAAAATTTAGTCCCGATCAATTGGAATGCTTCAGGCGACATTTGGTTGAATTATTGACCGAGCGCTTTAAAAATCATTGGTTCCCCGATAAACCCTTTAAAGGCCAAGGATATCGTTGTATACGCGTTAATGGCAATAATCGTAGAGACGAAACTTTAGAGAGTGCCGCAACAGCTGCCGGTGTTAAATATGAAGATCTTACATTACCAATAGAATTAACACTTTGGGTTGATCCAAATGAAGTCTGCTGTCGTTTTGGTGAGAGCAAAGGTTCTTTTTGTACGCTCGCCTCCTTCGACGAGAAAGAAAACACCGTTCCCATTCACAAGTCGAATAAAAAGTCCGAGGAAAAGGAAGAGAAAGATGTCGACTCTCAGGTTCGTTTATTTTCACTCATGAAAATTAAATTTGTTAAATATTCATTTTCATCAAAATATTCAAATATTCAAATATTCAAAATATCAAAAAGGTGAGAATAACAGGCTTCGCACTCATCTACTAAAACCTACTATTTACTACTTTTTTTTACGTTATGCTACACTATTTGGGTACTTTTTTTAAATTTCAGCCACTGAAAGCTACTATTTCTGTTTTTTTTAGAATTTCCATTACAATAAATTCGCTAATGCTAGAAATAAAAAAAACTATTCTCAAAAATTATAATCAAATTCTTTAAAACTTCAATTATTTTCAAAAAATAATTCGAATAAAAAAAATAATCGAAATCGAATTCAAAAATATTCGAAATTCAATTATTTCCATTATCTAGTATTTTCATAAAATATCGCAAAAGAAATCAATTATTTAAACAAAAATTTATAAAATTCATCCAAAATTCAATTATCTTCATAATAAAATTCATCGCAGGATTTCAATTATTTTTAATACAATTTTACAGAAATTGCTCAAAAAATATAATTATGCTTAAAAATTTATTTTCTATTCCTCGAAAAAATCAATTATTTAAAAAAAGGATTTTTTAAAATTCTTTAGAAGAATTTAATTATTTACAAAAATATTAGAATTTTTCACAGGAATTAAATTGTTTTCAAATATTTTAATAAAATTGTTCGAAAGAAATCAATTATTTTTGCATAAATAATAAAATGCTTCTCAAGAATTCAATTACCTACTTTTAAAAATTTTAATAAAATTCTTCTCAGAAATTCCATTAGTTTTTAAAAAATTGATAAATTCTTTATTTTTTTCTTTAATTTTTCACAATTATTCAATTACATATTATTTTCCCTAATAATAAAATTTTTCACGAGAATTCAATTATTTAAACAGTATTAAATAAAATTCTTCGCAAGAATTCAATTATTTTCATATATAATTCTTCGAAAGAATTCAATTATTAAAGATAAATAACAAAATTATTCCCAAAAATTCAATTATTTTGAGGCATTTTAATAAAATTCTTTGCAAAATTCAATTATTTTCATAAATAATTCTTCGAAAGAATTCAATTATGTCGAAAAATAACAAAATTATTCCCGAAAATTTAATTATTTTGAGGCATTTTAATAAAATTCTTTGGAAAATTTAATTATTTTCATAAATAACAATATTCATCACAAGAATTCAATTATTTTTAAAACTAATAAATTTTTTTCTTGGAAATTCAATTGTTTTATAAAATTGTAATGAAATCGTTTACAAGAATTCAATTATTTTCAAAAATTTGAATAGAATTCTTTAAAGTTTAATTATTTTAAAAAACTTTTCGCAATTCAATGATTTTCAATATCTACTATTTTCTTAAAATTTCCAAACAGAGTTCAATTAGGTATTTAAAAAAAAATTGATTAAATGCATCCAAAATTGAATTATTTTCATGAATAATAATAAAAATTTCCACGGAAATTCAATTAATTTAGAATAGTTTGCATAAAATTGTCAAAAGAAATCAATTATTTAAAAATTTCAAAAAAATTCTTTTCGCAAGAATTAAATTATTTTTACAAATATTTAAATTCTTTCATGGATATAATAAAATTCGTTGCAGGAATTCAATTTATTGTCGGGATAAGAAAGAAGTTAATATTTTTTATGATCATTAGGATAAACTCAGAAAAAATAAATTTAGAATGGAATTTTTGTCAGTTTTGTGAAGTTTCTAAAACGAGTTTTTTTGGTCGTCAAGTTTAATTTTTCGATAGCTACATTTTTACTACTTTTTTTCAGTTTAAAAGCTACTTTTTGCTACTTTTTTAAAAATTAATTATCGAGTGCGAAGTCTGGAATAAAAATTAATAATTGAAACAAAATATTCTAGAAACGATCAACGACCCCAACATTGGAACAACAATCAAAATCAAAACCACTTAGTTCAACAAACCAAAATCAACAGCACAGCAACAGCGGCGGCGGTGGCGGTTCAGGTAGGAAACGCAATTTAAACAGCCCAAGACTTCATTTAAATCGAAATCGTTCATGGTTCAATCATTCTTTTAATATGGGTTACGGTCCACATCCAATGAATCAGCCATGGTACAATATAATGCCCCCACATTTTTTGGGTGGCCCATCACCACCACCATTTATGGGCCATCGAGGAAATAAATGGGGCCCCTCTTATCCCACTGGACCCGCTAGATTTCATCACTGGTCACCAAAAGCCACTCTTAAAGTTTAAACACAATACGTGATTAATAAAAAGCCGCGACCCTCTTATATAAAAAAGTGAAATCTGTTCCTAATAAACGAGAAACAAATTCGCACATCGACAAAAAAATTCAAATAGAAATTTAAAAATTTGCGATTTAAAAATCGATTAAATCAATCGAATTCGTGTGTCAAGAGAACGAAATACTTTTTGACAATTTATTGTACTTTGACAAATTTTACGGCTTTTTTCTCAATTTTACGATATATATATATAATAGAAATATAAAACGATTCATCAAGAAACTAATTAATTAACTAAAAATAATTAAAATGAATTTTAATAATTAAAATTAAATTAAAAAATTAAATCTTGTGCAATTTTCAATTTTAAGATTCAGCATAATAAAAGAGAGTTCTTTAATGAAAAAAAATTTCACATTAGGTCCAGATTTCTTCTACTTTTATAATAAAAGCAATAATGATTAATTATTATAATTATCTGCCAGAGAAAAAAAAATGCAGAATTCTTTAAAAATTGTAACTATATCATAATATTTAATTATGAATTACTATGTATTATTGTATGTTACATATATAGTGTTGCATGAAATAGAAATTTATTTAACTAAAAAAGAAAAATGCAGGCAAAATTTGCTTTTTGCAAAAAAAATTGCATTGATATAGAGTTTATTATATATATATATATATATATATTGTTACGTATATTTGAAGAGAATTAATAATGTTTTATTTACAATATGTTGAATCAAATCTTTTTACTCTGAAATTTTTCTTTTCAAAAATCAAACTTTGAAAATTCTTTTTTGCTACTATGTGTACTAAAATCTATATATGAAATGTTATATATTTATATTCGATTTTTATTCTCGTATACGAAACGAAAAAAAATTAAACTTGGTGAATATTTCAATCTCTGCTAATTTTAGAATCGAATTTTTATGATTAAACCTTATTTACCGCTCGTGGGTAGACCTTTGTTTGGCTCTAAAGTGATTTTGTCTTTAGTACTGCAGAAGACTCGATTAAAATTTCAAATTAAAAAGTAAAAAAAAAATTATTAATTTTCAATAAAAAAATATTTATGATAAAAGTAATGTAATAATAAAAAATATAAAATGGTCGTATTCAGTGTGGTAAATAAGAGTTAATTAATTAACAATTAATTAATATTGATAATTGGTAATTATAACTACAATTAATTATATTTATATTACAATTAATTGAATTTTGATCCTAAATTTTCGAACGTTCAAATGAACGAAATTTACTGATTTCTTCATAAAAAATTTTTATTACAATAATTTTGTGCCACTGTAATTAAAAAATTAATTCTAAATTTTCTAAATGTAAAATTTATTTTTTTATTTTATATTTAATTATTGCAATCATGTTCAAGTTTTGCACACGTTTTTACTTCTTTTAATTGACAGTTTTTTTTAATAAAAGAATTATTTTTTACACTCAAAAAATTCATTTTTTAAATTAACTAATTTTTATTATTTGTCATTTCAGTGCCTAGTAATTTTTGAAACTGGTTTAAAAAGATATATTTCGTTCATTTGAACTTTCAAAACTTTAGAGAAAATTTTAATTATTTTTTTTCAATGTTCAGACAGAAGTGTGATTTTCTTTTATAAGGATAAAAAATATTTCGTTGATTCGAACGTTAAAAACTTGGTTTATATTTCTACTGTAATTAATTTCAAGTTTAATTAATTGTATTTCATGTTCATATTTATGTTCATGTTTATATTTTAATTAATTGTGGTCAATTGAAATATTCCGTTAAAAGTGAAAAGAAATTTAAAATCTATGAATATATAAATGAAATTATACGCATAATATAAGAAATTTTTTGAATCTTAATGAAAATTTAAATATATATATATAATATGTTGAATTCAACTTTATAAATATACGTTAAAATAATTCTTGTTAGGGGTATAATAATATTTTTTTGTTTCAATTTTACTTGTGTAATATTTTTCATGCCCACTTGAAGCTTTTAGGAGTTTATAAGCTCTCTGTTTGCTGATCGATGTATTGTTCTTTTTATTATTATATTAATATTTTTTAAATGTTTAACTAAAAGGCTTGTGTTGCGCAACCGGTTGTTTTTTTTTAATTTTTTTTTTTAAATATTTGTAATAATGAAAGAGAGTGGAAAAACTCTGGAATTTCTTTTTTTTCCCCATTTTGTGTGATGGCCTGTTGCGTTGATACGATTATATCGTAAAAAAAGTACTAATCGCTTGTTAGACATGATATGCATCTCCTGCAAATAATATGCAAGGATATTGCTGACTCGTAACAGCTTTGTATTAAGTTCTTAATCGACTGATTAATCTTAGTGATTTACGTGATCCTTTGCCAGAATGTCAGTTTATTTTTTTCTCCTTTTTTCCTTTATTCTTTCCTCCTTTTTTTAATTTTTTCTTTTGTCTTTTTTTCCCTTTTCTCTGTTTCCTTTTTCTCTTTTTTTCCTTTTCCCTTTTTTTCCTTTTCCCTTTTTCTTTTCTCTTTTTCCTTTTTTCTTTTTCCTTTTTTCTCTTTCATATTTTTAATCTGCTTTTTAATTACTAATCAGAATAGAGTGCAACGCAAAGTTTTTAATTGTCTAGAAATTTTTCTTCTTTGATTATAATAATTATCTATTGTTCGGCGTTAAGCACTGGCAAAAGGCTGTTATCTCAATTTTTTATTAAAGATTCACTCTCACGCTTTAAAAAAAAAAAATAAAAGAATTGAAGGATCAAAATATTTGTATATAACACTCTTGTATTGTAAATATTCACAAAATGCAATTCATTATTATATTGACGAAGCGAATTTAAAAACTTTCATTGTATCAGTCGATAAGTTTCATATTTTTTTTTCTTTCTCTCCTCGTATCCGCTAAATATTTAACGTTAGACTATTTAATCAGACGTGTAGTTTTCCATGTAGATGTAAAATGAAATAATCTGGGCCATCCTTCAATTTAGAATAAAGAAATAGATAACAAAAAAATAGATCTCAAAAAAATAGATCGCTTACACAAATTCAAATTTTTGATGAATTTAAATAATTTAATCCAAATTTCGAGATGTGGATGAGAAAAAAAGCAAAAAAAAATTCCTTTTTTTCTCATCGTGGCCCATAATTGCGTACAATGAAACAAATTTTTTTTTTCAAAGAATATACGTAAAAAAAATTGTAAAATACATTTTGAAGTTATATATAAATATATATTATCAAGTGTTCATTATCTGTAATATTACATAAACGTTAATATCGAGTCAAGTCTATTAATATGGGAAAAAGAAAAACTCGATTAGTGTTTTACACATTTACTCGTATCTTTACATTATTCTAGCTTCTATTTACTCCACGTAACAATTTATTTCTTTTTTTTTTTGTTACTTTCCAATTGGAAATTTTGTACAAAAAAAATTTTCTTAATTTAGGGATCCCATACTTCTGAAATGAAAATTTTGTTTTCCCTTTTAAATAAATATTTATATTTAAATATATGTTGAAACTAAATGTTATAGAAATATTATAATAAAATTACAAATTAAATATTAAAAAAAAAATTTTTATTAAAACAAAGTTTATTTAAAGTTGAAAAAAATTATTTATGAACGTTAAAAAACTTTTCAAAAAGTTAGTCCCAAGTTTCCATTTAAGAAGTATGAAATATAGATTCAACTTTTAAAAAATGTGTACGAAAGTAAAAAAAAAACGTAAATTAAAAAATATATATATAGGTGAATGTTGGACCAAGCAATTTTTGGCAAGTCTTGCAAATAAAAAATTTGTTATTCTACCTTTTTCAAAAAAAAAAATTGTCTATGTAAAAAAAAATGTCAAAATTCACAGGGCCAATGTTCGAGAATAAAAAATTTTTTTTTTTTTGTTGCGTTTTTAAAGCGAGCGGAAATGAAGTACTTACAAAATAGAATAAATAAATCGAAACTTAACGGATTGCTCAATAATAGATGATTGGTATATATTGATTATAATTGTACTCGTAGGCGCTCCCGTTATTTCAGTATTGATTATTATTGACATGAAAAAAAACTATTATAACAATCATATTTCTACTGAACTGTACTTTAAATATTTCATCACCGAATATAAGCGACGCTATTGCGACACAAACAAAAAGGGAGCAGTTTTTAATTTAGAAAAAAATAAATATGCGACTGGTTTATATAATATAATACCGAAAAATAAAAGAAAACCAAAGTCTTGAGTCTGTTTGTGAAATTAAAAGTCCAAGTGTGTTCGAACAATGTCAGAATGCATGAGATCCCTAGTTTTTAGTGAAATTATTATTGTAAATCAAATTTAGGTTTTTAATTTTCTTGTCATTTTTTTTTCTAAGATTTACACTGAAAATTTATCGAATTTTTAGTTTCATATTTGTTAAATTAGTATTTACGGTGATTTTAATACTATTTGTGTACATATTTTTTTCAGGAGTTTGAAATATTATGAAATATCTTAAATTGCTTAAATTGTTTAAATTGAATTTAAAGAGATTTTTAATCTTTGATAGAAAATTGTATTGTGATTGAAAATTTTTTTATTGTAAAGTCTACGATTTTTAGAAAAAGCTTCTTTTAGTGATTATTATTATTATTTTTTTTTTGCTAGATATGTGGCGAAGCGACAAGTAAATGGCGACGATTATGAAAGAAAAATAATTCTTACCAAGCAAACTGTATTTTACATATTTTGTGGATTAAAATTCAATCTGCGCACTTTCATTTTTATGTAAATGTATATTTACAGTGTAAACAATATTTTCCTTTCTGTCATGTAAAATAATTAATGATTCATTTTTGAAACAAAATGACTGTTTTTGTTTCCGCAAAGGAAATAATTTCTCAGGAATTATTTCACGAATTATTTTTGCTCAAAATTTTTCTTTGCTCGGAAAAAAATTAATTTGGGGAAAGCCAAATTAAATCAATAGAAAACAAGAAGGAAAATTTTGTTATCAGTGTAGATGGTTTAAGATTAAGAATAATTGTATCAACAAACTCCTGCATAATTTTTTTTTTCGTTTCAATCATTGTCTCGATATTTAGACGGATTAATTGCATTTTTAATGAGAACTGAGCTTATTTAATTAAAAAGAAACAAAAAAAAACCCGACAAATTATATTACGTACGTTAATATAAAATGTTCTTTGCTAGGCCTGTACAATATTGTAAAATAATATATTAAATTTTGAATTTCGCCAATTTCAAAAACGAGATAGGTGGCATTGAATTAGTTTTATTATTTGTAAATTGTGAATTGTATTCTTTTTTTTTGTTCTTTCCTTCGAATGGATGAATCTACGAGCTTTTACCAATCGAATGTTGATACAATATATTTATATTTATAGTTTACCGGCTCACGACTATTGTTTAAGTCTAACAAGAGCAATTTTCTTTTCACATTTTTTTTCTTTGCTTTTGTTTGTTTTTTTCTTATTTTATTTTTTTGTTTAAACAACAAATTTATTATATAAAAAAAACTGGTGTTCAATGGAAATTGGGTCATTTGTGTATATGACGACTTTTTTTTTGTTACCTTCTTAAAAGAAAAAAAAATATATATTATGTACTTTTTATGTTGATGTATAGTCAAAGCAAGGGTAGTGCAAACTTTATATAGAGATTTTAACATCGTTATTGTAATAATTATTATTTATAGTTTAATTAATAAAATGCAAGTGGATTATTAGATTTATATATATATATTTTTTTTTTTGATTGTGGGATTGTGAATTGTTGCGAAAATATATAGTGCAAGAGAAAAAAAAATCAGTTTATTGTATGCCTATTAGATGTATGTATCGTACTAATTGTTCGAATAGAAAAATTTTCACACACGAATTATAATAATGCATAATAAGCACGTCGAGATTGACTTGTTCTTTTTTTTCTTCTTTTCTTTTATTATAATGAAAATTCGTTTGTCACGATTTTTTCTTTCTTTTTTTTTAATGATTCTATATCGAATATATTGTACAATTTTTTTTCGAAGACGACTAAGCATACCTAGACTCGATTTCACAGATATTATACATTGTTATTATTGTTGCATTAAAGCTAATAACATTTTACAATTACTTATGTCACTATATAAACACAGGTATAATGAAAAATATCAAATCAATAAATTGTTTTGCAAATTGAATATTTTTATTTACTCTTCATTTCGTTTTTTTGCCTTTTCCTCTATTTCTATAAATACCTTTTGTTTCCTAACTTTTTAAATAATTTTTCTTTTTAAGTCTTTAAAATTTTTAAATTAATACATGTACTGAAAATCATTGAATTCTTGTAAAGTATTTATAAAAAAAATTTGAAAATAATTGAATTCATTTCAAGAATTTTATCAACATTTTTTTCAATAATTGAATACTTTCGAGAAAATGTAATTTAAAATTGTATTGAAAATAATTTAATTCTTGGCAAGATTTTTATTAAAATTCTTTAAATAATTGAATTGTTTTGAAGAATTTATTTCAATATTCTTGAAAATAGTGGAGTTTTCTTTGAATAATTTTTACTTAAAATTTTGAAAGTAATTGAATTTTATCAAGAATTCAATTATTATTAATAATTGAAATAAAATTCTTTACAAAAAGCCAATTTATAAATAATAAAAATCTTCGTAAAAAATTCAATTATTTTTATATAAAATAATAAAATTCTTTATTAGGATTTCATTTATTTTCAATGCAATTTTAATTGATTTCTTCCAGGGTTCCTACAAAATCTGGAAATCATGGAAATCATGGAAATGGTATGGAATTTTTAAAAGGCTTCTGGAAATCAGGGAAATCATGGAAAAGGCCTGGGATTTTTAAAAGTTTCTAAATTTTTTCTGTTTTCCATTTTTTCTCTTGAATAGAAATTCAAATAATAATAAAGCTAAATGGCATAAAAGAGAGGAAAAAATGTTGAATTTTAAGAAATTCGGTTTTTTGAATATTTTCGAATTTTTGATACTTTTAGAATTTTTACCAAAGAGTGGAGAATATTGAATAAGTAAAGTATTTTCCAAGAGCCCAAAAATAATGAAGCTAAATCCCATAAAGGAGAGGAAAAAAAGTTGAATTTTAAAAAATTTGGATTTTCGAATTTTTAATAATTTTCGATAATTTTAGATTTTTTACCAAAGAGTCGAGACTATTAAATAATTTAAGTATTTTCCAAGAGCACAAAAATAATGAAGCTAAATCCCATAAAAAAGAGGAAAAAATGATGAATTTTAAGAAATTCGGATTTTTGAATTTTTGATAATTTTCGATAATTTTAGATTTTTTACCAAAGAGTCGAGACTATTAAATAATTTAAGTATTTTCCAAGAGCACAAAAATTATGAAGCTAAATCCCATAAAAAAGAGGAAAAAATGATGAATTTTAAGAAATTCGGATTTTTGAATTTTTGATAATTTTCGATAATTTTAGATTTTTCACCAAAGAGTCGAGACTATTTAATAAGTGAAGTATTTTCCAAGAGCACAAAAATAATGAAGCTAAATACCATCAAAGAGAAGAAAAACTGTTGAATTTTAAAAAAATCGGTTTTTCGAATTTTTGATAATTTTAGAATTTTTACCAAAGGGTGGAGACTATTAAATAAGTAAAGTGTTTTTAAAGAGCCCAAAAATATTGAAATTAGATTTAAAATTCCACTGGAATTTCGTAAAAATTTGACCTGGAAATCATCGAAAAGGTATGGAATTTTAAATTTGGATTTCTGTAGGAATCCTGTCTTCGAAAATTTCCATTATTTTTAAAAATCTTGTAAAAATACTCAGTGAAAATTCAATTATTTAAAAAAATAATTGAATTTTTCACAGGAGTTCAATTATTTAAAAAACTTTGAATAAAATACAATTCAAGAATTCAATTATTTTCAAAAATTCACTTATTATTTAAAATTTTACAAAAAAATTTTATTTTGTTTAATAAAATTCTATTCAAGAATTTGAAAATTAACTGCATTCATTTCAAGAATTTCATTAACATTTTTTTCAATAATTGAATTCTTTGGAGAAAATGTAATTAAAATTGTATTGAAAATAATTTAATTCTTGGAAAGATTTTTATTAAAATTCTTTAAAATAATTGAATTTTTATTAAAACTCTTGAAAATCATTGAATTTAAATAACATTTTTAAATAATAATGTATTTTATTAATATTGTATAAAAAATAATTGAATTCCTCCGAAACATTTTAATATATTTAAATAATAATATAATTAATAAATAATAATATATTTTACAATTCATAAAAATAATTTAATTGTTTCGACGGATTTTATCTCAATTTTTGAAAATAATTAAATTTTTTGAGGGAATTTTATTAAAAATTGTTGAAAATAATTGAATTTATATTAAAATTCTTGAAAATAATCGAATTTAATTAATATTTTTAAAAATAATTGTATTCTTTCGAGAAATTTTACTAAATATCTTGAATAATAATAAAGAAAAATAATTAATATTATGCATTTAATAAGTAAATTCTTTAAATTTTAAACCTGTAATTATTGAAAAATTGATGTTTAAAAACACGAATAATAGGTTATGTTTGCATTATATTTATCTTAACTAAAAGTCCAGTTTTGATTATTTAAATTTGAAAACTGTTTTTATGGAATTATTTCAATATAACAAAGACTTGAACGTCGGTAATTTGTAGTAGTAATTAATTCTCTTTCTGAATTTTTACTCCAAAAATTATGAACATAACCTAAAATTTGTTGATATTTTTACTCGAAAGTGTCACTTGTCTGCTTCATAGCTACTTTTTTCGGAGCGCGTTATATTTATAGTAATTAATTAATCATCTTGTATTTAATTAGCCAAAAATTTTACTCTTGAATAAGAAGTTAAACAAATTTAAAAAAAACTCTTGTTATTTACTTCGTTTACTTCAAAAGACAAAAAACTAATTACGTAATTGGAAAAAAGACTTTCATAAGTAGAGCATTGTAGAATTATATATATTTAATGAAATATATTTGACGCAATATATTTAATGCACTATATTTGTCACAATATATTTAATGCATGTAATAGTCTATTTTATTTTTAATTTTAATGGCCTCTTGTGTATTAATAATCTTTAATGTAATATTGATTCACAATTACATTATTTACATTGTCATTCGTTCAAATTTAAAAAAACAACGTGACGTGGCACTTTCGACCAATAAAATGACGTATTTCATATTTACAATTTCCATTGGTCATTTCAGACAAATTGGACAGTTTTTCATGAAATTGTTGGCAACATTGATAATGAAAATCACTAGAATTATTTGGTGATTTTGATTGTCAACAGTAATGACAGAAAGTACTAGAAACGGGAAGAAAAAGTAGCAGTAGAAACTTTTCGATATTTTTGCGTTATAATTTTCGTTTTTACAATATATATATATACTTTTGATAAAAAAGCAAGTAAGTATAATTATTGTAAATTTTCCTACTATATTAAATATTGTAAATATTGGGAGAAATTAACGAGGAAATGTTGCATTTGATGGTATTATTTTAGTCAAGGTCTAAAGAATGTGTTAACCTATTTTGACATTTTAATTGCTTGAACTTTATAAATATACAATTTTACAATTCTAAATATTTCAGTTTATTCCTATTCATAAAAAAACGAAGTAGTTTGGAGTTTTCCTCTTCTTTGGATTTTGTGAATTTTCTTGAATACGATGGGAAATTATTTGTTTAATAACAATAGTTATCGCAATTATGACTTGATATAATATGTCAAGAAACTTTCTTGCTGACACGTTCTTAGTGGTAAAATTTATAAATTTTGATAAGTCGTAGAAAGAAAGTTTTTTGCTGTCAAAAAACAGAAAAATATTTTTTTATTGTTCCTTGTAATATTTGTTAATAATTGTAACTATTTGGAATATTAATAATATGCTATTTAATAATTACTATTTTTTACTTCGTATTTTTTACTCGAAATATTTATTGTTTGGAATATTTATTACTTTGTAGTATTTGTTAATATTCGTAAAATTTGTTTTTTGTTCTCGTTAAAAATTTGCCATGATAAGAGAAACGTTCTTTTTGCTCGTTTGACTTTATGAAAATTTATTACTGTAATTATCTTTTTTTAATTGTATTCTTTTCTTTTAGGATTAGTCATTTCAGTGACTAGAGGCTAAGAGAGAGCGAATTTGCAAAAAAAAAACCTAAACATGACGGAGGACATGTTAGGTGCGGATATATGCAGGGTCTGTCGTTCAGACGATCCTGACAGACCTCTTTTTCATCCCTGTATTTGTACGGGTAGCATAAAATGGATTCATCAGGAATGTTTGCTCCAGTGGATGAGATATTCGCGAAAAGAATATTGCGAACTTTGTGGACATCGTTTTTCATTTGCTCCAATTTACAGTCCCGATATGCCACGACGTTTACCATTGAGAGACGTTGTTGGTGGTTTATTTTCAAGTATTGTCACCGCCGTGAAATATTGGCTGCATTACACTCTAGTTGCAATTGCCTGGCTCGGTATTGTTCCTTTGACAGCGTGTCGGATTTATCGAGCACTATTTAGTGGACCACTTGATTTAATACGGGTGAGAGGAAATTGATTCTTTATTTTATTATTTTTATAATTTTATTCTCTATTTTATCTTTATTTTACATCCCAATTTATGTCTATATCGTTTCATTTTTCCTTGGATTTACAACTTTTTTTTTTACAATTTGCTACTATTTGGATACTTTTTTAGATTTATGACACTAAAAGCAACTTTTTTCTATATTTTTTGGGGAAATTTGCAACACTTTAAATTCGCTAATAGTTGAAATAAAAAAAAATTCTAAAAATTATAATCAAATTCTTTAAAACGATTCAATTATTTTCAAAAAATATTCGAAATTATTTACTTAATTATTAATATTATTAATTTAATTATTATTTAATATTCAATTATTTTCAATATCTAGTATTTTCATAAAATTTCGCAAAAGAAATCAATTATTTTTAAAAAAAATTTATAAAATTCATCCAAATTTCAATTATTTTCATAAATAATAATAATAATTTCGAGAGGAATTCAATTAATTTAGAATAGCATTTTCAAAAAAATTTTATACAATTCTTTACAATAATTCAATTACTTTCACTAATAATGACATTTTTCATGGAAATCCAATGTTTAAAAAAAAATGTTGATAAAATTCTAAGCACGAATTCAATTATTTTATAAAATTAAAAAAATTTGTCACATAAATTCAATTCTTTTTAAACATTTTAATAAAATTTTTCGCAATAATTAAATTATTTTCATAAATAATATAATTCTTCTCAGGAATTCAATTATTTTCATAAATAATAAAATTCGAAAGAAATCAATTATTTAAAATTTTTTATAAAATTCTTCTCAAGAATTAAATTATTTTTATAAAAGTAATAAAATTGTCACAAGAATTGAATTATTTAAAATATTTCATAAAATTTTTCTGAAAAAAATCAATTTCGAAACTTTTTATAAAATTCTACCGCAAAACTTCAATAATTATTTTCACAAGCATTAACATTTTTCACGAAAATTCAATTATTTATAAAAATTTGAATAAAATTCCAGACAAGAATACAATTATTTTTGCGTAAATAATGCTTTTCAAGAATTCAATTACCTACTTTTAAAAATTATAATAAAATTCTTCTCAGAAATTCCATTAGTTTTTAAAAAAAATTGATAAATTCTTGAATTCTTCACAATTATTCAATTATTATTTTCCCTAATAATAAAATTTTTAACGAGAATTCAATTATTTAAAAAATATTAAATAAAATTCTTCCCAAGAATTCAATTATTTTCATAAATAATAAAATTCTTCTCAGAAATTCAATTATTTTTTAAACAATTAATAAATTCTTTCTTTAATTCTTCACAATTATGCAATTATTTTCCCAAATAATTAAATTGTTAACGAGAATTAAATTATTTAAAAAGAATTAAATAAAATTCTTCACAAGAATTCAATTATTTTCATAAATAATAAAATTCTTTGCAAGAATTCAATTATTTTCATAAATAATAAAATTCTTCGCAAGAATTGAATTATTTTCAGTAAATTATAAAATTCTTGTCAGAAATTGAATTATTTTTTAAAAAATTGATAAATTATTCAATTATTCAATATGTTATTTATTTTTGTATTTAAATAGTTGAATTTCAGTCGAAGTTTCTAATAAGAATTGATTTAATAACGAATTTGAGTTGAAATTTTAGATAAATCGTTGAAAATTTTAATTGTTGTAAAACTGTAATAACATTTAAATTTTTACTTTGAAAAATTATTAATTTATTTTCTTAATTCCTGTGAACAATTTAAATTTAATTTTATTAAATAATTTTATTTGTTTACTTTTAAAAATTACTTTTAAATACAATTGTATTTTTTAGTTTAAAATTTTAGAAAATAATTGAATTTTCCAAAAATTTAGAAGCAGGATTAGAGTAAAAATAAATATTTCTGATTGAAATAAGGAAACAGTGAGGGAAATACCGAATCAAATTTTTGTGAATCGACTAAAACAATTTTTTTTCATTCGTTAAAATTAATTTTCGATAGCTACTTTTTTACTATTTTTTTCAGAATTAAAGCTACTTTTTGATACTTTTTTAAAATTAATTATTGAGTGTGAGGCCTGTTTTAGGTAATAGAATCATTCTTTTTATAATTCTTATTACTAAAATAAATTTTGAATAACTGTAACTGGATCGTCGACGATATTTATTTTTGTTACTAAATAAAATAAGTGTTTTGAATAATATTTTTTCGATTTTTAGATTCTGTCATTGCCGATGGATATAATATCGACGGAGAATATTTCCTCGGACGTTTTTCACGGTGGACTCGTGATAATATGTAGTCTGGTGGCTTTTATCGGTTTGGTGTGGTTACGTGAACAAATTTTACACGCTGGTGGTCCGGATTGGTTGGAAAGAGATAATGTACAATTGCCACCTGTTGATAATCCACCAGCGGTGGAGGGTCAACAACAACAACAACAACAGCCGCAGCAACAACAACAACAACAACAGAATGACGATGAACGTGTTATTCATCAGCCTGATGTTCCGGAAAATAATAATATACCACCTTTTGTTGATGAACCGCCAGGTGAAGAGGAACCAGTTGATGAAGGTTGGTATTCAAGATAATTTTAATATTCGTTGATGCTAAATTAAAAAATAAATTTATTTGTTAATAAATCAAATCAAAAATACCATCTTTGGTGAATATTGAATTCAACGTTCATTAAAAATAGAATTTGGGTTGAATGTTGAATTACCGAAAATAAAGAAATTTCTAAATTGTCTTTTTTTACAATAGTGATTCATCAGATGATTAACAATCCACTGTATCCAGAGGAAGTGAATCCAGTCGTTTTTCCCGAGGGACTAGTGAGAGAGGAGGAAATTGCCGCTCCTCGACAGGACGTTGATAGACCAAACGGAAGAGTAATGAGGAATTTAGCTCATCTGAGGGCTCATTTTCAGGGGCAACCAGCTCCGTTGCAGGGACAGCCACAAATTCAGGGCGAGGCGGAGGAAGCGAATTGGAATCCAATGGAGTGGGATCGTCCCGCTGAAGAGCTCACTTGGGAACGTCTTCTAGGCCTCGATGGATCCCTCCTCTTTCTCGAGCATGTCTTTTGGGTCATTTCTTTGAATACACTTTTCATCATTGTAAGTATAAATGATTTATTTGGAATATTATTAATTTCTCACACCTCTTTTTAATTATTAAATTAGAATATTTTCAGGCCTTAGTCAGCACGACTTTTTCGAGTTTTTTCGACTATTTAAAAATAGACGACTTTTTTTTATCTATTTTTAAAAAATTCAAGAATTTTCAACTTTTCCTTAAATTGAATTCTAATTCAATTTATTATTTCCAATTCAAATCTAATTCAATGTTTACAAAATCTTTCAGGTGTTCGCCTTCTGTCCGTATCACATCGGACATTTCGCGATAGCAAACGTGGGACTTCAGGAATACGCGGCAGCCTCACATTTTGAAGGTCTGGTGACAACGTTGAGTGGTTATTGCGTAATTGGAGTGTGTTTGGTGATTCTGCACACGTTGGCTGCACTCTTTGGTTTGCGAACATCGCAAAGAATTCTTGGACTTTGCTACGTTGTGGTGAAGGTGTCACTCCTCTCGGTGGTGGAAATTGGTGTCCTGCCACTTGTTTGCGGATGGTGGCTCGATATTTGCTCACTGGCAATGTTTGACGCCACTCTCAAGGATAGAGAATCGTCATTTCGTCATGCGCCAAGTACATCAATGTTTATCCACTGGCTCGTTGGAATGGTTTATATTTACTATTTTGCCTCATTCATTCTTTTACTGCGCGAAGTTCTGCGACCTGGTGTTCTTTGGTTTTTGCGAAATTTAAATGATCCAGATTTCTCGCCAATACAGGAAATGGTACATTTGCCAATATTGCGACACGTGAGACGACTTGTAGCTTCGGCTGTTATTTTTGGTACTGCGATTTTGTTGATGCTTTGGCTTCCTGTGAGAATACTGCGATGGGCTTGGCCGGGATTTCTTCCTTATACGGTTACTGTTCAGAGTGAAGCTCAGGTAATTTTTTTTTTCTACACTGATTGAAAAAAAGGCTTTTTTGAGATACAAAAACAGGGTTGCCATACAAAACCTGGAAAAGTCAGGGAATTTTGATCGAAATCGTGGAAAATTGTTGTTTTCTAAAGTTATTGTGTTTTTTCTTGAAATCTATGATTTTACTTAAATATTTCAAAATTAATTCAATTTTAAAAGAGTTGCGTTTACAATTTTCATAAGTAGATGAACTTCAAAAGATTTTGATTTGAAATATTGTAAAATTTTAATTTTCAATTAATTTCATTAGATTTAAAAAAAAAAAAATTTTAAAACTAAAATTCTTCTGAAATTAGTTAAATTTTTTAATATTTATATTTAATTGATTATTAAAAATAATAGATTTATAGAAGAATTTTAGTTAAAAACAGTAAAACAAATTGAATTTTGAAGCAATTACAAATGATTTGAAAAGAGCAAAAGCGTGACAACCCTGAAAAAAGAGTATGGGAAAAGTATAGAAAAGTATAGTGAAGTATAGAAAAGTATAGAAAAGAATAAAAAAGTAAAATAATTTATTTTCAGGTGAGCGAATTGTCCTTGGAGTTGCTACTGTTACAAGTGATTCTACCGGCTTTACTGGAGCAGAGTCATACGAGAACTTGGCTCAAGGCTCTGGTGCGAGGATGGTGTCAAGTGGTGGCTTGGGTTCTCGATTTGCAGTCGTATCTTTTGAGAGATCAGACAGAAGATCCTGGACCAGCGATTGCCGACGAGCCACAACATCCGGATTTGGGAGCTGCTCATCAAGCGATGATTCAAAGAGAGGCACCTACTGATTTTCAGCCTTATGTGAGACCACGCTGCTTCCATGCGAGGTTAATTGGATTACTGCTCTTCGTGTGCGTTTCCCTTGTGATTGCGAGTCTGATCGCCATGACTCTTCCGGTTTGGCTTGGACGTCGAGTCATGGCTCTGTGGATGGCCGGAGCTCCTGCGCCGCCGTCACCTCCAGTCTTACCTCCGACATTACCCGCCAGCAGTAAGTTAATTATTATCATCATCCAGAATATATACTGAGTACAAACTGATCAGAGAGAAAAAAAAGTAAAATTGCTCATGAAAATCAGGGAAAAATCAGGGACTTTATCAAAAGGGGTGGATAAATGTTCAATTTCTAGAATTCGTAGGAAAATTCCGAATTTTATTTTCTAGCAGCCTTTAAAAATATTGAAAAGATTTAAAATTAATTTTAAATTCATTTTATTTCTATAACAATAATTATTAAACCATACAAATTTGTTATTTTAAATAATTTATTTTTTGAAAGAAGTGGCAGAAAATTATTATTATTAATAAATTATTTGTGAATAATTTTATTTAAAAATTCAAAAATAAAATATCAATTTTTATAAATAATATAAATAACTAGCAAATGTTACACACAAAACGCAGTATTTAATTTTTTATTACAAAATTTTCTATTTTCAAATATCAAGTTCAATGTTTGAATAATTTCAGATATAAAATTGAAATAAATTCAACTTTAATAAAATTCTTCAAAAGATTTCAATTATTTTCGTGGTACAATTTTTTTAAAATTTCTCGAAAGAATTGAATTATTTTTAATAAATTTTAATTAAATTAATTAAATTTGTATTTTGTTTCCTAATTTTTTTGTTGATAATTTTCATTTTTAATATTTCGAATTTTCAAATTAATAAAATTCTAATTTAATGCTATGAAGATTAAAAAATCACAAAAATGAATAAAATCAATTATAAATATTTCTTTTATAACTTTGAATCTGAAATAATTGATTTCTTTTAAAGAAATTTATCCAAATTTTTGAAAATAATTAAATTTCTTGCGAAAAATTTATTTAATATCTTTAAAAATAAGTTCATTCTTACTAGAAATTTATTAAAAATAGAATTAAAAACATTAAAATTCTTATAAAGGGTTTTATCCAAATTTCTGAATTTCTTTCGAGAAAATTTATTAATTATGAAAATAATTGAAGTCTTAAGAAAAATTTTATTAAAATTGTATTAAAAATTAGTGAATTCTTATTAAGAATTAATTTTACCAAAATTTTTCAAAATAATTGAATTTCTGAGAAGATTTTTATTATTTAGAGAAAGAATTAAATTTTTTCACAGTATTTAATTAATGTTTTTTTTATAAAGAATTTAAATGAAATTTTCCAAAATAATAAAATTTTTGCGAAGAATTTTATTATCTATGAAAACAATTCAATTCCTATAAATAAATAAATTTTCGAGAACGATTGAATTTTTTCGAGGAATTTAATTAAAATTGTATTGAAAATATTTCAATTCTCATAAAGAATTTAATCAAAAACTTTCAAAATAATTGTATTTATGCGAAGAATTTTATCAGATTTATAAAAGTAATTGAATTCTTTTGAGGAGTTTTTATTAAAAAATTCTGAAGAATTTAGTTTTTTGAAACATTTTTATTCAAATTTTTAAAAATTAGTTTTTCAATTAAATTAAATTATAATTAAAATTAGTATTTTTCATTATATTTTCAATTGAAAAATTTTCAAATTATTGATATTTTATGGGATAAATTGTAAACAAGTGAATTTTGGAAATATTTTTGGTGAACTTTCTTTTCTTTAAATAAATAATTGAATTCTTAAGTAACTTTCTCAAAAATTAAAAAATAATTGATTTAGAGAAGAATTTTAGTTAAAAATTCTAGAAAATAATTGAATCTTGAGAATAATTTTTTGAGAAGTTACATGAGGAATTCTTTTAAATTATTAAATTTCAAAGGAATTGAAATTTTTTAAAATCTTAATTCCTTTGGAAAAATAATAATTAAATAATTATTTAAAAAGAACTAGGGATTGATGTTTCGAATAATTTTACAATTAAATATATTCAAAAATAAATGTATTAAACACTTTTTTGTGTATCTAATTATTTTTAGTGTGTATTAAAATATTCTTTAGGGAAAAGTAAGGAAAAAAGTCAAAATTCTGTCTGTAAAAGTGTAAATTAGGGAAAAATCAGTGAAAAAATAAAATAAACTTTTTGTGATAAACAATTTTACTAATTTCGTTTTTTTTTCTTTTAGATGGAAGCGAAACGATTGTGACATTATGCGGAAGAGTTCACGAAGTTTATACAGTCGCTTGTGGAACGTACGTTTGTTGGGCGGCATTCAGAGGATTGGCATTGGCAATATCGTGGCTTCCACGTGGGAGACGAGCAATAATCGATCGTATCAAGCACTGGGCAATTCTCGGAGCTAAAGCATCAGTGGCATTTTTTTTGTTAATTGGAGTAATTCCATTGTTATTTGGTCTTCTTCTTGAGCTCGTTGTTGTGGTACCATTGCGTGTTCCACTCGAGCAAAATCCAATACTATTCATTTGGCAAGATTGGGCTCTCGGTGTTTTATATACAAAAATAGCCACCGCATTGACAATGATGGGTCCCGAATGGCGACTTCGTCTTGCAATTGAAAAAGCCTATACAGATGGAATTCGAGAAATGGATTTGAAATTCATTGTCACGGAATTAGCAGCTCCTGTGATATGTTGTTTCGGTCTTGCTCTTGCAATTCCCTATGCAATCGCTTATGGAATTGTTCCCCTATTAGTGACAAATATTCAAACACAAATCCTAATTGCACGACGTCTCTATCCATTTCTTTTATTGGTCAATGTTGTTTGCATTGTCATTCTATTTCAAATTCGTCAATTCAAAAAGCTCTATGAGCATATTAAAAATGATAAATATCTCGTGGGTAAAAGACTTGTTAATTATGAACATAGAAACAAGTCACAATCGCAACAACAGCAACAACAAAGATCAAATTGATTTTTGAGAATTGCGATTTAGATTTAGCTTCGTGTACATTCTGAATGATCAGCTCGAATAAGTGACGAATTAATAACAAAAGAACGTTACTCGGATTTTGTTTCTTTATAGTTTAATATATATTTATCTAAAAGCGATACTTCGTTTCGCTTTGTCAGTTGTATAATAATCCACGATGCTTTATTTATAGTCAATTATTAACTTATTTTATTATTCGGGTCAGCGACGAACGGAAATTGGTTTCTATTTAGCAGAATTTCGTTTGAAATTTTTTTTTTAACGAAAGAACTGATTTTTATTTAAGTTTCTTTAAACATTTTTTTTCTATAATTTATATTTCAAATTCAATCAGTGTAAAATTATTATTTAAAAGTAAATACCTTCAAATGGTTCAGTTAATGAATAGAGAAAAGTGCATGTGTACAAATAACTGGATTGAATATATTGAGAAGGATTTAGATTATAATTAATGTACTAAAGTATTATAATAGTAATTTGACTTTTCCATAAATTTGTCAATATTCATTTGAATTTTGTTTTTCTTTCAAACTAAATTCAAAGGAATTTTAACAATATTCCATTATTAATAATAATTGATATATCAACCTGATTAAAATTACAGGTCGTTATCATGTGCAGTGTACTATTTTTTATTTTTAGAAAGAGAGAACGCTCATATTTTTTATTGAAATAGTTGCTTCAAATTATATAAATTGCATTAAATCTTTCAAATTAATAAAAATTAAAAACAACTATTTTTTTAAAAAGAAAACAAATTTTTTCTGAAAATAATTAAAAAAAAATAGCAAACAGGTTTTTTTTTATATTAATTGTTAAAAATAGAAAATTTTTTTTATTTTTGTAAATCTTTATTCCACCAGTGAAAACTTTTACAAAAATTAAAATTGTTTTTCGCAGTACAATTTTTCTTGTAATTCTCACATACAAAGAATTTTTTTATTCAGTTTCCCCTTTATTTCCTTTTCTTTTTTGAGATCATTTAAAGCCGATTAAAAATGAATTATTATTTTCATATAAAAATATAAAAGAAAAAAATAAATTAAATAATGCATCTGACTTTGTAAGTACGCAGTTAGAAACATTTGAGCGAATTAAATATTAATCACTTAACAAAAATAATAACAATTGTTCTGAGAGTATGTGTACATTTTCATAATATGTAATTAATAAAATCAATGGTTATTTAATACTACTTAAAACAACCTGTCAAAATTTTGTTCGCTGTTCATAATTATATAAGGACAAAATTATCAGAAAATTAATCAATTTGTTCGTCGTTAATTTATAACACTGAACCCGTTAAAACAAACAAACAAATAAACAGTGTAAGAATTTTTTTACGCTGCAGGAAACTTTCTGAATAAAGATTATCTCTTTGTAAATTCCCATGACTTATTTTCTTTAAAGCAATCAGAAATTTTGTTTCATATTTTTATTAAGGGAAAATTTTTTATTTGAATTTTTGCAAAATTATTTCGAATTTTGCATTCTACTTAAAAGAAAAATCTATTTTAAAATAGTTTTTGTTTTAAAATACGAAAGAGGAAGAAAAAGTATGTATTTTATGTATATATTTATACATATAATCTACATGTATAAATGCAATAATGGTGTATATTTAGAAGAAATAAATAAATAACAATAAGAAGAAAACTATTTTAAAATAGTTTTTTTTTATTTCGCTCTAAATCTTTAAGGATTATCCTATAAGGAGAAAATAATATAAATAGTATTATGCTCATTTTATTATCTCGAAGGATAATTAGAAAAATTACGTATTTAATTAAATTTGAGTACCGTATATTATTATATAAAAAAGGCCATTTTTAAAAGTATTAAATTTATATCGAAAACGAACAGTGAGAAAAATAAAGACAGGATTCTAAATCTTTCAAAAAAGATTTATCTTTTTTTTCTTAAATGAAAAAAGATCCAGTAGAATCCTTGTTTTTTTTGCTTCCTTATTTAAAAAAAGGAATGAAGTTTTCCAATATGGAGTTCTTCAATTACTTCATCTCGACTTGAAGCTTATTGATTGCAGTGAAATATTAACAAAATCTCTAAGTTTTGGTACATTTTTGTTTACAGTCCTATAAGCAAAATCAGGTACTCATAAATAAAATTATAAAAGAACGGAAATTTTCATAAAACAAAAAAAATTTTTTTTTGATTATTTTTAGAATAGATTCTAGACGTGAATTAAAAATTCCAATGTACGTCGAGATCAAAATTTAATATTCACTTTAGTGAATATTTAAAGAGAAAAGTTTTTTCAAACTTCAAGAAATGAAGTTTTTATGTTATCTGCAAACATGTCTATTTAATTTGACATTTAATAATTTTTTTTTCGTTATTAACGCTTATGAACAGTTGATTTATTTTAAAGTTCTTCTCTTCTGCTTTCTGTTCATGTTCATGCTCATTGTTGATGGAGGCAAGATAATTCCATGCAGACGGAAAAATGAAGGATGCTTTTGAATCAGCACATCAATAATACTGAAAACGTTTATTACCTGAAAAAGATAACAAGAAGTTTTAAAAAACAAATGAATATTATTTGTGACAATGAAGTTATTCGATTGTTATCTAATCTAAAAAATGTTATTTACGTTGAATTGTAAATATTGCTTCTACATGCGAAAGCTTTGTATTTTTTAAAATAATTTATTTAAATAATTAAAGTTATTTTTGTTTGTTTTTTAATTTTTCTTATACTGTCTCTTTCTAAATGTTTTCAATTTTAGGAACTAACAAAAATTTATTTTAATGTTTTCAAGATTAAATAATAACAATTAACTACCTAATTAAAATTGTTTTTTTTTAAATTATAATTTTCAAAAATAAACAATTACATAGAATTTAATTAAAATCTTGAAATTCATTAAATTGTTCAAGAAAATTTTATAAAAACTTTAATTCAATTCTTTTCATGAATTTAATTAGAATTGAAAATAATTCAATTCTTTCCATGAATTTAATTAGAATTAAAAATAATTAAATTCTTTCAAAGAATTTTATTGAATTTTTTAAAAATAATTGAATTTTGAGAAAAAATTGTATTATTTATGAAAATAATTGAATTGTTTCGAAGTTTTTTTACTAACATTTCTGACAATAAATGAATTTTATTTTTTTTTTTAAATAATTGAATTCAATCGTTTAATTGTATTATAATTTTTCAAATTATTTAAATTGTGTGGAAGAATTTTATTAAAATTTTAAAAAATAATTCAATTCTTTTGAGGAATTTAATTAAAATTGAAAATAATTAAAATCTCAGATGGAATTTTATTATTTCTGAAAATAATTGAATTGTTTCAAAGAATTTTACTAACATTTTTTGACAATGATTGAATTCCTAAGAATTTTATTTTTTTACGAAAATAATTGAATTCTTTCAATAAATTTAATTATAATTTTTCAAATTATTTTCAAAAATTTTATTTAAATTTTTGAAAATAATTGAATTCATTCAAAGAATATTATTAAAATTTTTAAAAATATTTTAGTTTTTCGAAAGAATTTTATTAGATTAGTTAATATGTTAATATGTTAATTTTTTAATTTTGAATCTGAAACTTTTTAAAAATTAAAGTTGATATTTAAAATTCAAAAATTTTGAAATTTGAATAATTATAAATTTAGTACTAACTAAAATTCGCTAGTTAGTTAATAATTAACTAGAATATTTTGCTTACAATTTTTGTCATAAAATTATTTTAATTCTGGAATAATTACCTGTTCCAAACCCGTTTTCTTCCAATTAAGTTTAATAGTAGGCGCAGAATGTTCTATCGAATATTCGGCATTAACTTCATCCTCAACGTCAGCAACATAGATTCGAGTCTTTAATCCAACGTCAATAATAATCACGTCAATGCTTCGATCTTTAACATCCATGACAACAGCTTGTGCACTCGTTGGACCTCTCAATTCAAGTAGAAATGTAAAGTACAATTCAGTACTTTGTTCCTGTGCCACTTTCGCTGAATATTTCTTAGCATTGCAATTCGTTGCTATTCTGTAAATTAAAAAATAAATGAAATTTTTGAATAAAGTACTTTTTCATTTTTTGAATAAAATGTAAAATAAAAATATTTACTTAGCGCAGAGGAGAGAACTCCATTTTTTAGGTAGAGGAAGATTTTTAATTGATGCATGTAACAATCGATGTACAATGCAATCAGGATAACGACGAATTGGCGATGTGAAATGTGTATAAAACGGTACACTTAAAGCGTAATGCCTTAATTCTTCCTGGTCCTTGATCGAATTGGAACATCTGTAAATTGCTCTCTGAAAAATGAAAATTTAATTTATTTTCTTTTATTCAGGAGATCATGATTATTTTGAATTTGAATTATTTTTTAATTTCGTTTATAAAGGGAATTTTTAACAAAGTCTTACCGTCATTGACTTTGCACATAGCGAATTTATCACCAACATTCTACTTTTAGTGGCGAAATTTGATGACGTTTCAATATCACATTCAGTTAAACTTGTTTGCAAAGCACCTGACGATTCAATGTCGAGAATAATACCAAATTTTTCAAGCATATCACGAGTTTGGGTTAAAATTCGAGTAGACGGCTCCTTGTGACTACGAAGTAATGCAACTTCGGGCATTGTGTCATAAATTTGTTTAGCTACCGACATATTAGCTAGCAACATGAATTCTTCAATCAGTCTGTAAATAAAAAATAATTCATTAGGATTTAAATCTTTTTTTAATTTGTTAAAAAAAAATTATTTTTTAGTTACAAACCTATTGCTGTCCTTGTTTTCCTCGATAAAACAAGAGAACGGATATCCAGTTCTAGGATCAAGGGTAATACACAATTTCGGTTGATCGATTCTCAAAGCACCGTCTGCAAATCTTTTGTCACGCATTTGCAGTGATAATTTATATAAATCGTTTATTACTTCGCATAATTGTGTTGCGTCGTGTTCGCCTTTGACAATTAATTGCGTATCCATTGACCAGTCGATTAATGGATTGTCAATCATTGCCTGCGCCTGCTCGTAACTTAATTGACAACATGAATTAATTACTGTTTTTGCAAATCTTTGCCTAACAACTTCGGCGGCCGGTGTCATTTCCCAAATAACGGAAAATGTGAGTTTATCGCGTCCCGGTTGAAGTGAGCACACTTCACATAATTGTTTTGGAAGCATATGAAATACATTGTCAACGAGATAAACGGTTGTTGCTCGTTCTGATACTTTTTCATCGAGTGCCGTGAATTGCTTCAAATAATGTGTAACGTCGGAAATATGAACACCAATCTGAAAAATAGAAGCAAAATGTATTGAAGTAATTCCAGAATTTTTAACTAATTCTTTTTTTTACCTATAATATTACATAAAAAAACAGGGTTGCCACAAAATTTAATTTTGATTTTCCTCGACTTATCCCTGATTTTCAGAAAAAATTTTGAGATTTTTCCCAGACCCTGGGATTCACTCTAAAAATTATTAGATACTCAAAAAAAAATGTCTATTATATTTATTTACTAAATGTAATTAAATAGTAAAATTCTTTGCAAAAATTCAATTATTTGTAATAAAATTCCACGAAAGAATTCAATTTTTCTCTTAATTCGTTATAAAATTTTTCAAAGGAATTCAATTATTTTCTAAAATTTTAATAAATCTTTCGAATTTGAAAATTCTACGATAATTTTATTATTTAAATACAAAAGTAAATAATTTATTGAATAAATGAATGTTTCTTAAAATTGAATTCTCATAAAAAATTTTATAAACAAATTTTTAAATAATTGAATTCTTTTGACAAATTTTAATGAAATTTGAAAAATAATTACATTTTTTGAGAAATTCTATTAAAATTGTATTAAAAATAATTGAAATTCTACGATGAGTTTTATTATTTGTGAAAATAATTGAAATCCTAAAAAGAATTTTATGAAAAATTTTTTTATTTATTTATGAAAATAATTGAATCCCTGTGAAAAATATTATAATATGAAAATAATTAAATTACTTTTAAGGAATTTATAAAAAATTGGTAAATCCTATTTGAATTTCTGTGAAATTTGTATTATTTATGAAAACAGTTAAATGTTTGTGGAATTTTATAGAAATTTTTGAAAATAAATGAATTTCGGGGAATAATTTTATTTTTTATACAAATAATTTAAATTTTAACGAGAATTTTTTTTAATTTGAAATGTTTTCAAAAAAATATTCAATTAAACTTTTTAAAAAAATTAATTCTACAGAATTGTTAGTTGAGAGTATGAAAATTTCCGATTTTCAATGATTTTAATTTGAAACCTTTTTAAAATTCAATTATTTCTAAAAATTCACGCTATAATGCTTTTCATATTCAATTATAATCTAAAATTTTAACTGATTCATTTTTAAATTAATTTTTATTAGAAAATTCTAAGAAAATTCAATTATTTAAATGGAAAAATAATTAATATATTGAATAATTGAATGTTTCTTAAAATTTAATTCTCATTTAAAGAATTTTATCAAAAAGTTTTCTAATAATTGAATAATTGAATAATTTTCGAAAAATTCAATTAAAATTATTGTATAAAAATTATTGAAATTCTGCGATAAGTTTTATTATTTATGAAAATAATTGAATACCTGTGAAAAATTTTATTATTATTTATATGGAAATAATTGAATTATTGCGAAGAAATTTGTAAAAAAGTTGTAAATAATTGAATTACTGCAAAATTTTTATTATTTATAAAAATAATTATTTGCGTAGAATTTTATTAAAATTTTTTTTAAATAATTGAATTCTTTTGTAAAACTTTATTAAAATAGCAGATATTGAAAATCATTGAATTGTGGAAATTTTTTGAAAATAATTGAAATTTTGATAAGAATTTTATTAAAATTTTTAAAAATAATTAGATTTTTATTATTTCTAAAGATAATTGAAATTTTGATGAGAATTTTTTTCAATTTTTGAACATAATTGAATTTCTACGAAGAATTTAATTACTTTTGAAAATAATCCATTATTTTTAATAATTAATTACTTCTTTTTGAAGTTCATCTATTTATGAAAATAAACGCCGCTCTTTTAAAATTCAATTAATTTTGAAATATTTAAGTAAAATTATTCATGAAATAATTTATAGGTAATAATTTTATGATAGTTCTTCAAGAATAAGGTTATTTAAAGAGAAATTGTGTTCAGAAATAAAAAAAATTGAAGGTTTTGTATTAGAATTCGTGGTGTAATTTCGTAGTTTATGAGACAAACGAAAAATATACAAAAATTCAGAATTTTCTTATGAATTCTGAAAATTAAATTTTTTCCAGTACTTTTAATAAAAATCCCCGATTTTTCTCTGATTTTCCTGACCTGTGGCAACTCTGAAAAATCACTGTAATTCCTGATTTTAAAAATTAACTATAATCTACTTACCTCATAATTACCGTTAACTAACAGTTGACAAGAAACTGCATCATCTAAATCTTTCGCAGTGGCAGGATCAATAGTGAAAATGCAGTGATTTCGCCAATCCTCCCGTCCTTCTAAATCCTGCTCAGTGGGAATATAATCCCCAGATGGAAGCCCATTTATCATGTCATCGTCAAATGGATTTACGTCTAAATCATTTTCAAGAAGAATAGCATTTGTTTCTACTCTCAAATCGCCAGTACTGCCAACACTCTCTTTCAATCTCCTGTAAATAGAAAACAACAAAATTTATAAAAATAAAAATATTTTAAAGATTCTAAATATAAATACGAACATAAATATTAATGCAACAAATTGTTTTAAAAAAATTTAGCAAAAACTCACCCGAAAGCAGATCCAGGTTTATTCCAAAAATTAATTTTTGCTAAGAAAAGTGTATTCTCCATAGATTTGGGATTTTCATGGAAAGTTTGAGGTAGAATTTGAGGATTAATAATTTTCATATACGGAACACGTGAATCACGTGGTTGAAATATAATTCCCGATTGATGTTTCTTAATGAATCCAATTGCCTTCCTTGGATGATTCTTTTCAAGAATTGAAACAATAACGCCTGTTTTTTGTATTTCATTTGTTGCATGCGTATACCATTTGTCCTCGGGATTTATTGAAACAACAACCAAATCGCCTTCGAGTGCACGATTTCTATCTCGTATTCCAACAATTAAAATATCCATTTCATTACCAGCCACGGAGACATATGCATGTTTGTAGAATTTCATATTTATACGAATATATCCTTCCACTAGATTTGGATTATCTTTCGGTTGATTCTTCAACAATTGGACTACATCCTTTTTACCAATGTAGGCCGGAAATTTGTCCTTTTCAGGATCTTTTTTCTCCTTACTTGAACTCGATGATTGTCCATTCTCTGATTTTGCCTCTGAATTGGATTTTTTCTCTGCATTCGATTTTTTACGGAGATTGGAACTTGTGAAAACTCTTTTGCTATGCTTCTTTATTGTCACTGATTCAAGAGAATTTTCTCCATCTTCAGTTTGAATGCTTAATAATTCTTCGGTTAGAGAGTTGGTGAAAATTTTATTTTTCTTCGGCTTTCTTGTACGTTTCTTTTTTCCCTCCGCAACTGAACCCTGTTGGCAAAATACAAATCAAAACATTATAAGAAACAAATCTCTTTTCATAAAAAATTAATAATTTTAATTTTATAAAGTATTCAGGGCTCGAACCAGTGAAAGTATTTAATATTACGGATGCGGAAATTCTTGAATTAAACATATATTAGAAAATAAAAACTTTAAATAATTTTTTAAAAATTCAATTAAACTTTTTCAAAAAAATTAATTCGACAGAACTGTTATTAAAATTCTTTTGAAGAATTTTAATAAAATTTTTTAAGAATGATTACATTTTTCAAGAAATTTGAATAAAATTGTATTAAGAATAATTGAAATTCTGCGATGAGATTTATTATTTATCAAAATAATAGAATTCCTAACAAGAATTGTATTATTTGTGAAAATAATTGAATTTCTGCAATCATTTGTGTAACTTCTACTATAAATTCAATTTTCTTAATGTTTACTAAAATTCAGAAATTCTTCTATAAATCCATTATTTTTAATAATTAAATAAGTATTAAAAAACTCAACTAATTTCAAAAGAATTATAATTTAAATTTTGCAAAAAAATTATTTTGACAGAATTTTTAATTAAAAAGTATGAAAAATTCAGATTTTCAAAGATTTTAATTTGAAACCCTTTCAACATTAATTTATTTCTAAAAATTTAAATTTTAATGCTTTTAATATTCAATTATTATCTAAAATTTTAATTAAATCAGAAAAATTTTTATTACAAAATTCTACGAAAATTAATAGTTTATTAAATAATTAAATGTTTCTTAAAATTGAATTCTCACAAAGAATTTTATCCACGAATTTTTAAGTAATTGAATTCTTTTGCCGAATTTTAATAAAATTTGTAAGAATAATTACAATTTTTCGAGGAATTCCTAAAAAGAATTTCATTATTTATGAAAGTAATTCAATCTCTGTAAAAAAATTGTATTTATGAAAATAATGGAATTATTGCGAAGAAAATAAGAAAATTTGTAAATAATTGAATTCCTGTAAAATTTTTCGAATAATTGAAATTTTGCCAAGAATATTATTAAAATGTTTAAAAATACATAATTGAATTTCTGCAATAATTTGTAACGTCTTAAAAATTCTCTAAATTATATCGTACAATTTACGAACTTTTTATACTTTTTCAATAAAAATTACAGAGTTTCGGACGTTTTTTAAAAAAAACTAACTTTTACGGACTTGAAGCAAATTTACAGAGTTCGAGCCCTGAGTATTCAATTAAAATTATTATTATATAATTAGATTATTAATAATTTAATTATATAACAATAATTTAAATAAATCAAAATAAATTTTATTTTCAAGACAAACAAACCTCTTGGGAAGAAGTAGAAATAGCGTTGAATTCAGCAGAAATAGTTTGTGAATTTTTTCGTGAATAACTTTCATTGATTATTTGATGATGTGAAACGACTTGTTGTGTTTTTTTTGAAACTTGGTTGGTTTGAATGGAAATTGTTTTTTGGCCTTGAGGAAAATTTGTACTTTTCTTTTTTCTCTGCCTTTTCATATTCATCGGTGATTTTCTCGGGTCACTGGTTTCTGCCATCATATTATGATTTCTTTCCTTATCTTGAATTGAATGATGTTCTTGACATTCATCTTGACTTTGTGAATTTTGGCATTGTTCTTGAGTTTGTAAAACAATTTTATTTTTTTTCTTCCTTTGTTTCTTTCCATTATTTGGCACTGTTGCCCAATCATTGTCGGTAGTTTCTACCACCATTTGATGAATTTCGGCATTTCTCTCGACAAAAGATGCATTATTTAGAGGAGTTTTTGGCTGTCTCAATGGTCTTGATTCAAGAGGAACAGTTAGATTTAAAAAGGAGGAAAATATTTCTGAAAGATCACCATTAATTGGTACTGGACTTTTTCTTACACCTCGATTTCCACGACGACATTTTATATTGTTTCCCTTTGAAACGATATCTGACATACTTTAAAGAGGAGAAAAACAAAATAAATAATTTTATTATTATATATTTTTTTAAACTTCCAGGATTGTTGATATAATCAAAAGAAATGATTTTTTTTCACGAAGACGAATGATTATATTGCACTGTTTACCATAATTAATATTTAGGCTTTCTTTATCAATTTGAACAATGAACTTGATACTGCATAATTTTGTATTTTTATCACTTTGTTTTTTTTAAAAAGTTTGTAGGTTGGGAAATCAGCTGATGAATATGTCAAACGCTGTGAAGGTGGGAGTGCGACTCGTGATTGGCGGAAATATTTAAGTGGGATTCACATACTATTTTTTTTAAATTTTCTTTTTATTGTCATTAGCAATTTAACACAAACTTGTTAAAAATTTCTACAGAATTAAAACAATGTTTTTTTTAACAATACAGAAATGATAAGATAAGATAAGATTATATTTCTAGAAAAAGAAAACTTTTTCTATAGAGATAAGATTCATAAAATTTAAATAAGTAGTTGGCAACACTGTCAAATCAATTTTTCTACTAGTTATGTTGGCTACCTTTAGTATTTTACGTATTTTATTAGAAAAATTGCAATAATTTGTTAATTATATTAGTTTATTTAGTATTTAATTCATACAATTAAATATTGTCGTAATTTTTCAAGAATAAATTTCTGATTGTTAACCGTTTCATGGTTTAATTCGAAAGAAAAACAAAAGCGAATCGAGAAACAAATGCGCATGTCATAGGCAACCATTTTGAATGATTTCTTCCGTTCTTTGTGGCTTCCTGTTGGAGATTCAGGATTGTGCTTGTCGTTGTTGGTTTTTTTCGCAGTGAAAACGCAAGTTGCATTAAAGCATTTTATAATTAGCATAGTTTCAAAATTGTCTTTGATCATTTAAATAAAAATTCGTGAGCAAAATCTCCGAGGGAAGGAAAGCTATTTCTTAATTTGATCAAATAATATCAGCTAATTTCCAAAGGTATGTTAATTTTTCATTTTCCGACATTATGTATCAGGTAAATAAATTTCTCTTGAAACGCTTTTCGCTTTTCCTCGACAAACCACGAAGTAGATAATTATTTTTTGCGGTTTTGAAATTGGTATCAAATATTTGGTACAATAACCGTGTTTTTAATTTACGATGATGCGTCAGAACTTAAAATGTTTCCGAAACAATTTCTTTTATTATACTTAGGACAACAAAATCCACTTCATTGTCTATATAGTTTCATGTATATTTAACCTTGAATTCTTCGAAACAACATATATTTGTTTATTAACTTCTAAATTAGTGTCCTTTGAGGGGGAAAAATATTCTGAAATCGGTAAAAAGATGGAAGTTGCTAATTTTTAAGAAGCTACAATATTTGAAATAAAGTCGTCCACGTTGTCGAATTTAGTGTACCAGCAATAATTTGAATTTCACGTGACGATATTTAGAAAATAAAAATAAATACGATAATTTAAATTCTTAGGATTGTAAGAAAATTTAAGCTTTATTGAAAATTTAACAATTTTTATTTCGTGTATTTTGTATAAAGAATACTTTCTACTAATTACGTATTTATTTTCAGATGCCGAATATTAAATTGCAAAGCTCTGACGGCGAGGTCTTCGAAGTGGACGTTGAAATCGCAAAATGTTCAGTTACAATTAAAACCATGTTGGAGGATTTGGGAATGGACGAGGACGAAGAGGAAGTTGTTCCCCTGCCAAATGTTAATTCTGCAATTCTAAGGAAAGTCATTCAATGGGCCACTTATCACAAGGACGATCCTCCTCCTCTCGAGGATGATGAGAACAAAGAAAAACGAACAGATGATATTAGTTCGTGGGACGCAGATTTTCTAAAAGTAAGCTCTCGATAAAATTCCATTTCTTCTAGATTTAAATAATTCAAATAAATTCAATAAAAGTAATTTTTATTCGAAATTCTCGTTAATTCCCATTTCTTTCTGTCCAGGTTGATCAAGGAACACTTTTCGAACTAATTTTAGCTGCAAATTATTTAGATATAAAAGGTTTGCTTGACGTCACATGCAAAACAGTTGCCAACATGATTAAAGGCAAGACGCCCGATGAAATTCGTAAAACTTTCAACATTAAAAATGATTTCTCATCTTCAGAAGAAGAGCAAGTTCGCAAAGAGAATGAATGGTGTGAGGAGAAGTAAATTCTTTCCTACTGTCACAGTCAGAAAGGTTATTTATTTAAGTTTCTTGCTTTTTTTCCCCCTTTTATTCTATTTCAACACTTTTTTTTTATTTTCTCTTTAGATTTTGAATTTATTTTCAATGATTGTAAAACAAGAAAGAAGAATAACACTTGTAAATTCTTTGTAACTTTCTGTCGATTTGATAAAAAAAAAATTATTTCTGGAATTTAATATTCCCGTCCCACACTTTTTGTGCATTGTTTCGCTTTCTATATTACACGTTTTACTTTAAAAGTAAACTAAATGTTTTTATGGTAAACAAACAGGATGAGTGGACCAGTTTAATGTTTATTAGCTTAAATGTACGTTCTAGCGATTCACTTAAAAAAAAAAAAAAGAAAACATTTTTAATATTATAATATCGAGTGTTTAAAAAGTAATATATAAGTAGAGGAAAATAGTTGTAATAAACAGCGATGAAAAATAACGGAAAATATATCCTCTGGTACACTCTACCTATTTGCTTTTGAGTTAAAGACTTTAATTTTTATTGTCAATATTTAAGAATATTTTATCATTATATAATATAACTCTTGGTAAATATAAGAAATTTACGTTTAAAAATATTGTCTTGTAAACATATTCGATTAAAATGCTCGGCGAATTATGAATGTGCGGTAATTCTAAGATGCTGATGTTACTCAAAGAGCAGTCGAATGAAAATTTAAATTAGTTCGAGGATTAAAATAAATAATACTAATACATTGTAAAGGTATGTGTTTTTATTTTAATTCTATTTTTTCAATCCTTTCTCCTTTATCTTTATTTGCGTTTAATATTTTCTTACTTTACAGCTTGCTTTAGAGAATTATCAAATTTAATTTATAGAAATTTTCGTAGATGGTGCTCAATACTAACCTTAAATTTGAGGAGATTTAAAAACGTTTCATGAAATTCATAAAATTAAAACGATTAAAACATTTTTGTTAATAAGTGAAAAATAATAAATATTTCTCTTCAAGTGATTAGTTTTAATTCAAGAGTTCTTTAATAATAAAAATGAATTAAAAATTTAAAATATGGGTAAGTTTTTTTCACGAAATGTTTTTGTTTACATCACCTGTTTGATTAGTAAAGTCTTTTTTTCAAATTTCAGATTTCAATGTAAAACGAATCAAAGTTTCCGAAAAGACGGAAAATTCTGATTTTTATAACGAATTATGGAAAAATTGCCCAAAGAACAAAATAGCGGTAGAGTTTCATGAAGAGAATTTTATTAAAAATATCACTTACAAAGAGATAGAAAATACAAAAATTAAAATAGAAGACATTTTGTCAACAATCAATGGTTCGCAATTTATAGCCATTGATTTAGATTTGAAGAATTTTTGTCTTCCATCTCTAATCTTAGGGTAAGTAAATTTTTAATGGAATTAAATTTTATTTATTAAATATCTAAATTATTTTTCTTTTTTCAGAATACTGTCCACCGGTCGTGGTTTTATAAACATTTCGCCGCTATCGTCTCGGAATTTATGTTCTTGTCTGAATGTTAATTATTTATTTACGCAAAATTCAATTCCCAATACGGAGGTGATTCAAATTGTGAATTGTCATGGAGAGAATATTCAATTTGTAAAATTAAAAGAGAATTTATCTGAAAATCACCTGGAGAATGTTTTTTATAAGAATCGTTTTGCCTACGCGATTACAACATCAGGGACGACTGGAACTTCGAAAATTGTCAAAGTTCCTCCAGAGAGTATAATGCATAATATTTTCGATTTAAGGAAACGTTTTGCGATCAGTGAAAATGATAAAATTGGACAATTAACGCCTCTTACTTTTGATCCAAGTATTGTGGAGATATTCTTGGGATTGTGCAGTAATTGTACTCTTTTTATGGTTTCGAAAAATTTACAAAATAAACCCAGAGAATTTTTGGAAATAATGAATCGTGAGAAGCTGACTTTGTTTCAAACGACACCGTCTTTGTTATTTGCAAGATTTGGAAAAAATGATCTAAAAAATGGAATATTAGGCGAGAAGAGTAATTTGAGAATTTTGTTACTTGGCGGTGAACCGTTTCCAAAAATTGATTCGTTGAAAACTATTAGAGATGAGGGAAATCAAACGAAAGTGTTTAATATTTATGGAATTACGGAAGTTTCCTGTTGGGCGAGCATCGTCGAATTTAATGAAGAAACAGAGAATTATATTTCCCTTGGCTTTCTCGGTGATCCACTGTCAGAAACTATTTTTCAAGTCAGAACTGTCGAGGGTGAAATTGTCACCGAAGGAGAAGGACTTTTGTTTATTGGTAATTAGTAACATTTCTTTTGAAAATAATTGAAATAAATTTTAAAAATCATTTTCAGGCAGCCGGGAAAGAATTTGTTTAATAGACGAAGAAACAAATACAACTTCCCCAGTCTTTCGGAATACAGAAGATAAAGTTACGGTAATTAAATAATTTTTGTATTTTCGATTCTTTTCTTCCTTTTCTTACAACTCTAATTTTCCTCCTTTTTTTCAGATCGACAAAAAAGGACGAGTCTTCTACAAAGGACGAAATAACAAAATAATAAAACGATTCGGCAATAAAGTGGATCTCAGTAAATTAGAAACCAATATTTTAAATTTAAAATCAATAGAAAATTGTTATGCCATTTGGAATGAAGAGGAGGAAAAATTACACGTCTGCATAAAACAAGTATTAAATTCCAAAGACGAAAATAGTTTGAAATTCGATGTGATGAATCACCTGCAAAATCTTCCAGCTTTCTATCAACCCGACGAAATTCATTTAATCATCAATCTTCCACTTAATAAAAATGGAAAAATTTGCCAGCAATCTCTAAAGGAACTTTGCAGTATAAATAAAAATTGTGATAAATTATTAATGCTGAGTGCAGAAAGTACTTTTTCCAATCTATGGAAATTACTCGCCGGCTCCATCGACTGTGGTTTCATCAAGTCTGGCGGAAATTCAGTGGCTGCATTACAAATTGTAAATTCCATTTCAGAAAAGTTTGATCAAGAATTTCCTGAATTACTAGCATTGCTCTTGAACGATAATAATTATTCAAATTGTCTCGCGTACATTGAGGCAGAATTGAAGAAAAATAAGGATAAAAATAGTGCGGAGCCTAGTGTGGAAATTTTTCCTTCAACCAGTGATGAGAATTTTACGAAAAGAAAATCTGTCGAGGAAAAGAATGCAGAGAGAAAAGAATACGGAGAAAATTTAATTAATTGTGAGATGGAATTAAATGACAAGTGTTTATGGCAAAAATGTCGAGGTTTTACGAATGGGGAAAATAAAACAAAGGAGGAAATTTGTATCGAAGAGAATGTGAAATTGGAAATTGTGAAATATTACGATTTGAAAAAATGTATAGACGCTTCTGCGACTATTTTTCAATATTCCAGGTATTCTTTATTTATACTCTTAATTTTTTCTTTTATTTTCGAAAATTTTAGTTTTTGATCAACTTTGAAAATATTGGAAAATTTAAACTGATCTTGAATTTACGTTTTTATCTTAAAAATATTAAAAACCATGAAGAGTTAAAGTTGAAATTTTAAAAAAATTGAATTTTTGTATTTCAAAAATTGAATTCTGGAAAAAGTTTCTGAAAATTGTTTAAAATAATTTATTTAGAGAGAAATTTTACCTAATTAAAAATTGTTGAAACAATTATATTTCCAATTAATTAATTGAATTTTTAGTTATAAAATTAATTGAACTTTATTAATTCATTAACTTATTTTTATTAATTTTAATTTTGTAATTCATTTTAAATAATCGAAATTTTGTAAAATTGAATTGAAAACAATTGTATTTTAACTGAATTTTCTTATTCTTTTTTTAATATTTCAATTCTCAGAAAACTTTCTCACAATTATTAAAAAATAGTTGATTTAGAAAAGAATTTAATTTAAAAATTCTAGAAAATAATGTAAAATTGGAAGAATTATAAGTAGACGTTTTTAGAAATAATTCAATTTCAAATGATTTCAAATTGAAATTTTTAGAAATAATGCAATTTCAAAAGATTTCAAATTGAAATTTTTTAAATTCTCAATAATTTTAATTAAAACAATTTTAATTTAAAACAACTTAATTCTTTGAAAAACTTATTTATAAATTTATTTATTAGTAATTTTTTTGGCTTTTTTCAAAATTAATATTCAATTGGGAAATTTTTTTAATAATCGAAATTTCGTGAAATTAAATTGAAAACAATTGAATTTTAGACTATTTTAAGTGAAGTTTTCTTCTTTTTTTTGAATAATTGAATTCTCACAGAACTCAAAATTATTAAAAAATAATTTATTTAACTGAAAAAATAATTGAATTTTAGTAAAAAATTCTATAAAATAATGGAATTTATGTTCTTAAAGTTTTGAACGTTCAAGTGAACGACGATATTTTTATTCTTTTAATTTAAATTTTATTTACAAAATATTATTTTTTGTAATTAAAAAAAATATATTCTTAACTAAATAAATATTCAATTACAATATTTTTTATTTCAGTCTAGTAATTTTTAAAAATATTGGAGCAAAAAAAATATTTTGTTCATTTAAATGTTTAAAAATTTAGGAAAATTATAATTTGAAACAAGTAAGAGTGTAAGAGTAACAATTTTTAGAAATAATTCAATTTCAGAATTTTAGAAATTGAAATTCAACTTGAAAATGTTTAAAAAAATTTAATTAATATAGAAGTTTAGTTATTTTTTGCTTTAATTTATATTTTAACAAGCATTTGAAAAATTATTAAATTTTTGAGTAATTTTAGTCAAAAATTTTGGAAGAATTACAGTTGTAATTTTTAAAAGTAATGAAATTTCAAAAGGTTTGAAATTAAAATTTAAAAAAAATTGAATTCCTTTGAAAAAATACATATATTATTATAAGTATTTAAATATTTATTTAACAAGTTTATTGGAGTTTTAAAACTAACAACTAATTTTTAAGAAATTAGTTTTTAAAAATTTTAATTAAAATTTTTTTGAAAATAATTGAATTCCAAAAAGAAATTAATTGAAAAATTTTCCAACAATTTATTATAAATAATTTTTTTACTACTTTACTTTACTGAAATTTTTAACTATTAATTCTTTATTTTCTAGTGGAAAAGTTTTCGCGACTGTTGGCTCTCACTCAGGAATGATTATCACTGTCGAAATAGATTCCAATTCTGATGAATGTTATATTATTCAACTGTCAGATAGAATTGAAGCGTCGATTTTGGTTTTTGATAATTTTCGAGCTGTCGTTGGCTGTTATGATGGAAATGTATATTATTTAAATCTCAAGAGCGGTGAGATTTATTGGAAATTTCAAACCGGTGACGTCGTCAAATGCACCGCTGCAACTTGTTCAGAAAAAAGGAAAATTTTTATTGGATCTTACGATCGTCACATGTATTGTCTCTCATTAGAGGTAAAATATAAACAAAATTTCTCAATAAAATTTCATCTTCATACATTTTGAAAAAATAAAAAATAAATAAATTTAAACAATTTTTCCCAGAATGGATTAGAATTATGGCGAACGAAAGTCGAGGGAAGTATTTCCGGAACAGCTCGTTTACATAATGAAACCCAGAGTCTTCTCTTTGGTGCTCTGAATGGGACTTGTGTCAATTTAGATCAAGTTTCAGGCAATATCAAATGGCGATATTCATTCTCGGATCCTGTCTTCTCAGCACCAGCAATTCTTGAAACTGGAAACGTTATTTTTGCCAGTGTCTCTGGAAAACTTGTATGCCTTAATATTCAATCTGGACAAAAGGTAAAAGAATAAAAAATTAATATTTATAATATTTTTTTCTCTATTTAAAAAATTAGAAAAAAAATCTGTTTCGAAATATTCCAGTTATGGACTTACACTATAAATGGAAATATATTTTCTCATCTGGTCACAGTGAATAAACGAGAATCAATATTATTTGCGAGTAGAAATAAAAATCTTTATTATCTCGAATGCAATTTAAAACCAAATTTGAAATTCTCGTCATTGATGGGGAATCCGATAATTACCACTCCTTGGAATGCGGATAAATTTATTTTAATCGCCTGCATCGATGGTACTTTACAAGTTCTCGATTCAAATACTGGAGATATTCTCACCAGCCATAAACTTCCTGGAGAAGTATTTTCATCGCCGGTATTGTATCGAGATCTCATTGTTGTTGGTTGTCGAGATAATAATTTGTATATTTTAAAACTTTTCACTTCCTAAAATAATTTTCAACTGAAAACAAATTTGTTTAATTTCAGTTTCATTTTGCTTTGATAAAACTAAAAAACTTATTTGGAATTTTGAATTAAAAAATAATGAATTTGAATGATTTAATAGATAAAAATTAATTTTAATAATTGAAATGTTAGTGAGACTTATCTGTTGGGGGACAATGAACGAAATGCTTAAATATAAGAGAGAAAGTAGCACAATATGTTTTTATTTGTAAGGGTCTTGTATTACAGTAATCGCAACATCCTGAAAATGCTTCGCTTGGCGAAACGGATTTTTTTTCATTGATAATTTGTGAGATTGTACGTTATGCTGTTTCACGTGTAGCTAATGCAAAGGGCGTGGAAGCACGGCAAAATTTTTTTTTAAACTTTCAGACACATTAAACATGATTTTTTTTTTTTAATAAACAATTAACGACAATTATCACGACACATTCATTTGAAAAAGCAAAAGAAAGGAAATATATTTATAAGCATATTACGAAAGAGAAAAATACTTGATAAATTTTTTTAATTGAAATGCTTCGTTCTTATCTGCCCAATTTTTTCACAATATATATTTTAACGTACTTTCCCCTAATTCTAAATAGTTCCCAAATAGCACATGCAGCCCGTATTATAACCTTTCGATTCTGATAAGATTTTTTTTTATAACATTATATTATGATATATACAATATTATTAGATATTGTAATATATAATAATAGTGTATAATGAATAATTATTATAACATTATAAGTGTAGATTTTCGTATAAAGTTTTATCGTATTGTATACAAATTTGTATACAGATTTTTTCTTTACAATGATAATAGGTATTATGATAATAATAGTAATAATAATAATAAAAATATGCTAGTTATGACAATAATTTAGATCATTCTCTAAAACGAAGGCCTGCTGTCGTTACGATTGTAATTTGTTTTTAAAAAACGACGGCTAAAAGAAAATTCATCGTCTCTATTGGATTTTTTTTTCTTTAACGAGATCGTTCACTTAGGAGGTAATTAATTTTCTTTCTAATCTCTCTTTCTCTCGTATCGGTCACACTCATAATAGACAATTCGTTTATATTATTAACCAGTATAACATTCGTTAGTTAAAATATGGTACATTTTGCAATATCTTCGCTTAGATGCGCGTCAACACTTGTACTTTCTTCTTAATGTTATTTTTTTTATTTATTGTAAGACTTTTTTTAGGTAAGAAGTATCGATTTTGAGTTATCGGTAATTTGACCTCTTTCTCTCTTTTCCCATCCACTTCTAATATTTTTATCCATCTCATCGCCGTTTTTGTTCGTTAAATGCATTTTCCTGAATATATTGCCTATCCATTTCTCTTTCTCTAAACTTAAAAATATATTGACGATGAGAATTGCATCTCAACACAATTATTTTCTTAAACTTAAAAAATATATTCCCTAAAAAATCTTCACCTAAACCCCCTTTTTTTGTGAGGATGTCCTTGAAAAGAATCTTTTTTTTTTGGAATTCTTAGGCTCCGCTCGCAACAACTTGAAGACACAAGAGAGCGATTTTTTTACACAATAGTACGAGATGTTTATTATTTTCTTTTCTTGTCAGAGATTTTTTCTCTTTTCTCCACAATAGAGCAATTTTTATAGTTACTGATCCTCGTCACCGAGTTCGTGTTTGACTTTATTCAAGTCAAATTCCTCGCCAGTTGCGCGTTTAAATATATCGAGAACATCGAGGCAAGTTGTTTCAAAGTGTGTTGTTGCGTCGTAACTTTCCGAGACGAAAATTTGACTTTCAATGCCATTGTCTGTTGGGACAAAATAGTCAGAAATTGAGACGAATTTCTGTTTAATTGGTCCCAAAAGATCGAGACCGGGTTTAATTTCAATTTCAGGATTATCAGTTTCAACGGTGGTTGAAACCATTGCAATGAACCAACCCTTCGCGGCAACTTGATGTGTGTGCGAAACCATTGACACATAAATGTCCGATTGACGTCCCACCTTTAATAATTTATTTCAATTAATGTCTTGAAAGTTGAAAATTAAAATTAAAATTGAAAATTAAAATTAAAAATTGAAACGAAAAATTTGAAACAATAGTAAATATTTCAAATGTGTAATTTTTAATGAACTAAAAATATTTTCTATCTAAAAAGTAGATTTGAGAGGAAAATCTCACCTGCTTTTGGGGAATGATGATTTGAGTGGACAATGCGTCGCCTGTATTTGAAATTGGATGATCCATTAAGCAAATGCATCTTATGACTTTGCCATTTCGTTTTATGCGTTCGGGCGTATAGGTGGGATCGCAAAAGACTTGTTTGCACTTGGCGATTTCGTCTCCGGAACGTACGCCAATAACCTGAATAAAAAAGACAAATTAATAAAAGTTTAATAGTAACCTTAAAAAAACATTTTCAAAGAAAGGAAAGCAAAAGAGTAGAAAAGAATAGAATAGAAACGAAAAGGAAAGAAAAGAAATGAAAAGGAAAGAAAAGAGAAGAAAAAATAGAACAAGAAATAAAAAAAGAAAAAAAATGTCATTTTAATAACACTTATTAAAAAAGTGTAATTATTGTTATTGAAAAATCCACTGAATACTGAAATTAAGCGAAAAAAGAATAATTACCTTTCCATTTTCTACGACGATTTCATCGATCGGTTTGTCTAGCATGTAGGTTCCTCCATAAATGGCACTTAAACGTGCAAATCCTTGAGGAAGTTCCCCCAAGCCGTACATTGGATAAAGATATGGCGATTTTCCATAACGGGCTAAACTATCACTGTAAAGTTTTATCTTACGAACCGTATTTATTGCACTTCTTCCAATATAATCGTCGTCCCTGAAAAAAAAGATAAATTGAAATAAATTTACCTTTAAAAAAACATTTAATATTGAATATATTAAACGAAAAGTAAAATTCAATTTTAATTCAAAATTTTTAATTAAAAAAGCCAAAAATTAAAAAATCAGAAGATTAAATATTACAAAAAACAAACATAAATTGAGACAATTAATTATTGAAATTATTTCAATTTTAATTCACAATTTTTAATTAAAAAAGCCAAAAATTAAAAAATCAGAAGATTAAATATTACAGAAAACAAAAAAAAAATGGAGACAATTAAATACAGAAGATAGAAAAAAAATAAAATTAACGCAATTAAATATAGACAAAAGGAAAAAAATAAAAATTGAGAATATTAAATACGAAAAATGATTTAAATTAAGAAAATTAAACATAGAAAACAGAAAAAAATTTAAATTAGAACAATTAGATGCAGAAAAAAAGTTTAAAAAAAAAATAAAAATTAAGAAAATTGAATAGATACGGAAAATAGAAAAAAACTTAAATTAAGAAAATAGAAAATTATTATAAATTAAGAAAATTAAATATAGAAAAAATTTTAATTTAGGGCAATTCAATAGAGAAAATAGAAAAAAATTAAGACAATTGAAAACAGAAAACAGGAAAAAAAAATAAAAATTAGGACAATTAAATGTAGAAAAAAGTAAAAAAATAATAATTAGGACAATTAAATGTAGAAAAAAGTAAAAAATAAAAATTAAGAAAATTGAATGCGGACAATAGAAAAAAAATTTTAAATTGAGAAAATTAAATGCAGAAAACATAAAATTATTAAAAATTAATCTAATTAAATACAGAAAACCGAAAATAAATAAAAATTAAGACAATTAAATACATAAAAAAATAAAAATTAAATACAAAACAGAAAAAATTATTAAAAATTAAGACAATTAAATAATGAAAACAGAAAAAATTAAAAATTAAATACCTACGGGAAATTAAAAAATAATTTTAACTAAGAAAATTTAATACAGAAAACGTAGAATTATTAAAAATTAAGAAAATTAAATTTAGAAATAAGTAAAAAAATAAATAATAATTAATGCAATTAAACACAGAAACAGAAAATGATTAAAAATTAAGAGAATTAAATACAGAAATAATTAAAAAAATATAAATTAAGGCAATTGAATACCTACAGAAAACAGAAAATTATTAAAACTGAAGAAAATTAAATACAGAAAAAAGTGTAAACAAATAAAAATGGAGAAAATTAAAAAATTTCTTTTTAATAAAATTGAACTGAAGTTTACGACGTCAAACTTGACGATTTTCCAAATTGTTACTTGAAAAATCGTCATCAGTTTTGATGTAATAAATTTCAGTTGCATTAAATAAAGAAAATTAAATATGGAAAATAGAAAATTATTAAAAATGAAGACAAATTAATACAGAAAAAAAATAATTTGGAAAACAGAAAAAAAATTTGACAATTTAATACCGTCAACCGGGGCTATTTTGTGCACCAAATAGCTTTTTTTTGATTCAAAGATTTATTTAAATTCAGAATTAAGAGAATAAAGAAAATCAACTTTTGATATATGTTGTGGACATCCTTCTGAAGGTTTCCTATAAATTTTGCAAAGAAAAAAATTTTTTTGTCTTAGTTATAGTCATTGAAAGTCGTGAACACAATAACTCCCGGGATGGGGCTATTTTGTGCATCGAACTTTGTTTTTCTATAATGTTGCGTAAACAATTTTTTTAATCGTTTCTGCTTCATGAAATCTTTTGTGTATATATTTGAGAGTAAATTAAAAAAAGAATGACCTAGTAAAATTTTTTTTGTAGATATATTATACAAAAAATGTAAAATAAAGCACTAAAATTTTGCTAAAATCTGAACTTACTAAAAATTAACAATCTTTCTTTAAATTGTATATTACGCAGATAGTAAATAAATTTTTTTTCTTTTTTAATATATATTTTATAATAATATACTAATATAATTATAAAATGATCGTTTAAACACTTATAAATAACTTTAAAACATCATTTCAATAGGAGCTTTTTTAATGGTTTTGAATGATATTTTTAAAAAACTTGAAATAAATATTTTTAAGGTTAAATAGATAACAATTTAATATCTAATATGATTTTCAAGTTATTTTAAGAGAAACGAGAAAATAGTTTTAAAACTAATTTGAAAAACTTATAAATATTAATTAAAGTTCATTTTTTGAGGTTACGTTGTGCACCGGTAGAGCTTTTAATCGTTTTAATGATTTTAATTAACGTATTTACAGTTTTTTGACAGAAAAGTAAGACAAAAATGTATAAAAATGATAAACAGAATCTTCTTTACTTACTAAATAAAATATTTATGAAAAATATTTGATTTTTTTAAGTGCACAAAATAGCCCCATGGAATCCTGGTTTTTTAGTTTTTTCCACTTTTCTCTTAAAATAATGAATAAAAAGTTAGCGCATTACGTATGTATCATCACAACACAATTGAAAACAAATATCTAACACAGTTTATGAGACACATTAAAACTCTAGAAGATCTGGTATAATATTTCCGAACTTTCAAAATTTTTTAAACAAATTTTCCGTTTTTAGGAATTTTTTTCTCTTAATTGCCAAAGAATTAAATAATAACATTTAGTGCTCTCTATTGTCATGTAATCAAACTTTCATTTTACAAAATAGCAGATTAAAATAATTCATTTTAATAATTTTTTTCATTAAAAAACTCGCGTGCACAAAATAGCCCCCGGATGCACAAAATAGCCCCAGTTGACGGTAAAGAAAATAAAAAAAATTAAATACAGAAGATTTAATACAGAAAAAAATAAAAATAAAGACAATTTAATTTAGAAAACAGAAAACAAATTTTGATAATTTAATAGAGAAAATAAAAAAAAATTAAAAGTTAAGACTATTAAATAGGACAAAAAACAGAAAATAAAATATAAATTAAGAAAATTAAATACAGAAAGCAGAAAAAAATTTTAATTAAAACAACTACATGGAGAAAAATATAAAGTAACTTTTACTACTTTCATAGTAAAACATTTCTGGTAAATTTTGCTAAGTTCGAAGTAAATTTTACTAATTTTTTTACAAATATGTTCTTTGAACGTAGAAAAATTTACAACGTTAAAAATTACGTAAGTAGTAAAAGTAGAACGTAGTAAAAGTAAAATTTACTACGTTCAAAGAACATATTTGTAAAAAAAATTAGTAGAATTTACTTCGAACGTAGCAAAATTTACTCCGAAAGTATAGTAAAAGTTACCCGAAATGTTTTACTATATAAAAGAAAAGTTACTTAATATTTTTCTCCGTGTAAATAAAAATGATAAAAATTTATTCCTCGTTTTTTATTTACCTATAGAGTGCAAGAGCATGCCCGGTAAAATCTTGGGTATTTTTATCAAGATTAAATTTATTATAAAGTGCGCTCATGCTATTGCTGAATGGATCAAAGCCATCCCAAGTTTTAGGATCATCCTCCTGCATATTCTGAACCCATGTTAGAAAATTTTTAAAGCGCCTCTTTTCGAATATTCCCATCAAGTCACTATTCAAGGCCTCAGCTTGATCGATTGGCACTTTGGCAATTTTTCCCGATTTATAAACATAAGAGCCTTCAATGCACTTGAACTCGAGATAACGTGTCACGCCAGTGTGAATCAAAAGTTTCACGAGAATTCCATTTGCCATTAAAAATTTTGGAATTAAATCCACATTCCAATCGCGACCTCGTCCACAGCTCTCATCTGGCGGCGGTGTATTAAATTTACTGCAAAAATAGAAAGAGAAACGTACATTAAAAATAGAATTAATTGAAATTTAACTATGGAAAAAATTAACTTTAGAAAAATTAACTATGGAAAAAATTAACTATAGAAAAAATTAATTATAGAAAAAATTATCTTTGGAAAAAATTAACTATTCTCTATTATTTTCATCATTTACTTATTTGCTAAATTTACATTCACAGGATTTAAGTAATCAAATGGAGAGTCAATTTACTTTGAAATTAAAAACTATTTTTCAGGGATTAAAATTTTAATTAGAGTGTTTCTGCTTTTTCTGTCATTTCAAGACTTTTAAATTGATATTTCTGGAAAAGACAAATGAAGTTTCTGCTTTGATGCAATTGAATAGGAAAACATGAAGAAACTGTCTCTCTATAGATAAAATTGTTTGCTTTTCCCTGTTTCCGACGATGAAAATCGATTATTTTTCAAGGTGTTTGTGTCTTTTTGAGAGTGTATTAGAGCAGAGCATTGATTGCAAGTTTACATTTGACATATATATATTTATACGAATTAAATTGAAATTGAAAAAAATTCAGTTTTCGAAGATTTTCATTACGAGAAATTTGAATAATTGAATTTAATAATTAATTCTAGTTCGTATGATAGTTTGCTCGTAAGCGATTAAAATTATTTAGAAATGGTTTTTTCCTGATGAAAACGATTAAAAGTATTATGTAGGAAAATCAGGAAAAACTATTAAGTATAGAGCAATCAGGAAAAATTGTAGCATCTCATTAAATGGATGATTAGTAAAAAAGAAAAACGGACACAAAAGTGACAGCTGCTTTAGTCGCGTGCGCCACTACAGTTCATAGAAAGTATAAATAATGTAATTTCTGGGTCGCAAGGGATCCTAAGTATCGAGTAAATACATCGCGCAGATCACAAACCAAGCTGGAAATTCGATTACGCATGGCATGAGGGAGAAATTTCCATGCAAAATAATAACCTTGCGAAAATATTGTCAAATAACGGGGGCTTTTTTTTAATTCTAATCTAATTCGGAAATGAGAATTTGCCACGTTCGATCGTATAGGGCGGACCCCTCCTCCGAATTGTTAAGAAAAATTCCTGTTTTTTTAGTTTAAAAAAAAGTCTTATAAAATCAATGAAGAAATGATTTGTTTTCCATCTTTTTTTATTCTAAAAAAATCAATTTACGTTACAATAATGGCTCATGAGAATAAACCAAACCAGTTTTTCTCGAATCAATAAAATGTAATAGTTTTTGGGAAATATACACAGACAGACAGACACACGTTGTCCTTGAAAACACGCGGTGGTGAATAGATGTAATGGATCTTACCTGAAGAGATCTTCAAGGGGCGTGATGGAAGCAGATTCGCCACCGTAATACTTGTTGCGGTCGACGTGTAGCACCTTTTTTCCGCTGACAGACAGCATTCCCGAGAGGATGCATTCCTTGAGACCGGTGCCGAGAACAATAGCGTCGTATTCCTCATTCATGATGATTAAATAATTGCGGAGTCACGATTTCTTTGAAAGAATTCGATGAACAAAACTCTTTTAATTATTGAATTGCTCTGAATAAAGTGAAAATTTATCGAGAAGCTTAGATTGTACACTGCACAAGAAACTATTATGCCGGAACGGAAGACCCTCCTTCTGCTTTTTGATGCTCTTCGTCGCTGGCTACGTCAATCACAATCCCTAGAGCATCACCCCCTTGCCCCGCCGATCTTCACCAACGCGCGCACCTTCCTTCCAGCTGTCAATGACATTTAAAGTTTCATAATATTTTCCACCAAAAAATTTGATTTGGATTTCACCAAGTATTTCATTTCGAGAATAATTACAATATTTTATTTACAAATTACCTTTTAATTAAAAATAATATTTTCAAAATAAACAATTGTGACAGGTTGGCACTCTGCACTTGTCAGATTATCATCTGACCTGTAATATAACAAAAACCCTAGAATTCTTTTTTGTAATTAATTAAAAAATGATATAATTCACCTCGTTGCGTGTTGACTAAATATATTTTTCCTATTTTCAAGTAGACTTGGCACTTTTCTCTTTACGATTCTTCTGGAATTAATAAGTTTGAGGTTAGTTCGAAACTACAAACTTTGACAGTTGGTCCAGTTGGTAGACAACGTCCGCCATGTTTGACAGTCTAACCAACACTAAATAAGAACATTTAATTCATTTTAATTAAATAGATAACAATAGAAAAGAAGACGACACTTCGATTGTTTTAGCAAATTTTAATTATTGTTTCTTAAAGTACTAAGAATCCTGAAGGATTATAACTTATAAGTACCCGAAAAATTTCCCAGAAGAAAGAGATGTAGGGGAGAATTTTAAGTTGGTACTCTGAAGTCTCATTTGCAGCCAACTTCAGTCTTTTGAATTCAGTCTCCGCGACACTCCGCGAAGTCAAGAAAACGTTAGACGCGACAGTCCGCGATTTGACGCGAACCAATAAACAAAGTGTTAAAAAAAAAGTTCGTGGAGTTTGACGGTTTGAACTTGTTCTTTTGTAAAAGGATCAACAATGTAAATTTTCAAACATATGTGGAAAGTACGCGAGTTCATCGACGGATACCCCGTGCCTTGAGAAAGTTAGAAAAGAAAAGTGAAATAGTGATCTATTTTTTGAAATTTCTCAAATATTTTTATGATTATAAGGACGCTTTCGTGGTAAATTTCGAACTCAGCTGGTCAATCTATATCGCAAGTGCAATATATATAAGAAGTGAAAGAAAATCATGGTTCCTAACCTCAACGGAGGTTATTGAATCCCTTTAAAAATGTAAAGGGAGCTTGTGAAGCTGTTGGTCCAGCACATTGCAATTCTTCATCATTTGTGTGAGGATAAACGAGGGCCACGTGGACGCGTTGGAAGTCCAGAAAAATGTAGGTGAATGACATCAGATGCTCTATTCGAACGAAACGTTATTGCACCCGAATACCCTACTTTTGCTCCATTTCCGACCTCAGCTCTGTATTTATTGATCAATTATTTTTCGAGATTCTCCTCTTAATATTTCTCCCCTTTTGAATAAATGCCGATTGTAATTAGATATTCTAATTTTCCTGTCATGATGAATAAATGGAAAATACTTGTCTTTGGTTTGAATTTAATTTGCAATATTTAAACAGGTTAGGAAATGTAAATTATTTGCATAATAAGGACTCTTAGTTTTCTTTCACTTTTATACTCATGTATATTTTTTTATTGAGAGGAAAATTTTTGTATTTAAAATTAAAATATCATTTGTATCGTTTAGGGAATATTTTACAGAATTTTTCTCTGAGGAAAAAAAAATAATCTGTCTTTTAACTATTCGAAGACCAATAAGAAACTAAAGAGTTCCAACTTCCAACCGGTTTCATGGATTCACTCTGCAGATATGTTAGCAACTCGATTCTAAAGAACGTAAAGAACCTATGATTCGTTTTTATGCCCTTCTGTGCTCTGATGCTCGATTCGCTCTATAAATGATGTTATTGTTCAATTCAATACTTGAGATTTTATAGAGAAATAATCCCTAGAAGAGTAATAAGAATATTAATATCAAATCCTAATTAAAGAACCATTAATTTTTTGTTTATGTGTACGTAGAAAAAAAATTCATCAATCATTGTAACTACAAAGAACAAAATTTATCATTTTGAGTATAAATGATTCATTGGTTTGGTATCAGACTCGATAAAAGTTTAATTTTAATTATGATTTCAGTATAAAACAAGTCTTTTCTCTCTTTTCTTACATTTTTTACATCGTAAATTGTTTAATTTATTGTAAAAATATAAAAAATTGTTTGAAATTATTTTCAATACTGTTTAATATAATATAATTTAAAAGGAAATACGAAATAGGAGTAAAAAAATGAAAAAAAGGTAAAAATAATTCTTCTTTATTATTACAGGCCTCGGATATTATGATTTTGTCGACTTTTTTCAACTATTTTCCAAAAATGCGACTTTTTTCGACTTATTTTCAAAAATTGCGACTTTATCGACTTTTCTTCCAAATATTACATCAAAATACCACATTTTTTATATAAAATGCAATTTATTTCGATTTTTATAGTGTAAAAAGTATAACTATAGATAAATCTTTAAAAAGTTATTTTTGAATAACTTTTTTCTTAAACTTAAAATATACAATTAAAAAATTTTTCAATAATTGAAATTTTGTAAAATTTAACTGAAAATAATTGATTTTTTCAAGTATTTTATTACAATTTTTAAAAATCAACTTTTGATAAGTTTTAATTGCAAATTTTGAAAATAGTTTGAATTCTCAAAAATTTCAATGAAAAATCTTCAAGTGTAAATTTATGAAAATGAAAATTAATGAAAACTAGCTTCTAAAAAATTATATTGAAATTTAAAAAAAAAAGTAATTCTTAGAATTTTTTTCATTATAAATTTTTAAAATTCAATTATTTTCAAAATTTTCAAAAACATATTAATTCCGAAAATTTAAAAACTAATACAAACATTAAAATTTTTCAGAATTATTTGTAATATTTTGGAGAAAACAATCATTGTGAAAATTTTTAATCAAAATTCTTAAAAAAATTACTTAGTTTGATTTTTAAATTATACGAAAATTCTTTTAGGAAATCCAATTATTTTAGAAAAACTTACATTAGAATATTTTTAAAAAAACTAATTCTTAGAATTGTTTTATCATAATTTTTTAAGATTTACTTTTTTTGTGTCTTAAAGTCGATCCGAGGCCTGATATTAGTAAATAATATTGTTTTACGTACACATTTTTTTCAAAGAAGAATTTTCTTTTGTTACAATGAATAAATATTGTAAATTAAAGAGACGGGTTTTTTTTAGTGATGTCACTATCGTCTTATCTCTTTTCTTTACTTATTTTACTCTTTTTATGAAATGTATAAAATGTTTCCCATAATCTAAAGCTGGAAAAGATATTGAATTTTTTTTTCGGAAAATTCTAAAGTACTTTTATGTTATTTATTTAAAAAAAATGTATTTATTACATTATGATGTAATTTGAAACATAGAAAATTACACACATTGAAATTCGAATAATTTAAAAGGCTTGAAAACCAGTCGCAGTACACGTTTTGTCTATATTTTTCTCATTTGATATGTTAGAAAGTAAACTTCGCTAGACCGTTCCGATTACTTCAAGTGTAAAAAAGGATTCTGATCATTACGATAAGAAATCTTATTTTCACGTAATTTCCTTCAGAAAATTTTCTTGACTGTAGAAAATTTCTATTTTTAGTTTCCTTTTGATGTTTATTTTATAATTTATATTTCTTCTTTCGTGTGAGATATTTTTTATTCTAAAAGTAAATCTCAGTCTCAATTTACTCGAGTAAATCTCAATACCTAATAATAATAATAATAATAATAATAATAATAATAATAATAATAATAATAATTATTATTATTATTTTTTTAATTTACTATATTTACTAATTTTATATTTATCATTCTTCGATTTAGATTTTTGTTTTGAATTTTCATGTTCATTGCACAATGAAATTTCTTAATGTTCTTCACGTTCAAAACTTGTTGTGAGCAATCAAGGAGATATCTTTAAAAGTTGGATTTATTAAGTGGATCTTTTCGAATTGAACTTTGTTAAATGTTTATAATGGGCAAAGTCAGATTTATTCATCTTGATCGATTCTAACTGGAATTCTTCTTGTCTTATATATATACGACGAATTTTCAAACCTACGCTTTCTATTATACAATAATTGTGTCACACATGTTTGATTGTTGTACTATTTCACTATATAGTACAACAACTACTTTCGCTAGCTAAATATATCCCTGAAAACTAGAGTAATCAGTGGGAAAATTCAATTATATTTCATTATTAACGAAATTTGTCACTTTTTTTTAAATCGAATATTTTTATGAATACAAAGTTTTTTTTCTATTTTTTATGAATTAAGAAGAGAGAAGAGATTTTTTTTTTGACAAATCTGATCGATTGTTGAGATTGTTGAGGAGAAAATTTACATGTTTACATGTTCTATATTCATGATAGTAGGTAAATTCTTTCCTTGACTTTGCAGTCTTCTATAATTTATATCAAGTCGGGTTAACGATCGTTGTCAGCAAGAGGGAAACATTAGATTATCGAACGACAAGAATGGCGTTTAATTCGATATTAAATCGGAATATGTTTTTTTTAAATAGTAAAAAATTTTATGGTTTCACCGAAAAGAATTTTTTCCCTTTTTTATTAATTATCAAAAGCTAAATTTTAATCACCACAAATACTTTTTGTATAATATTTTATAGACATTTGGAAAATTTACAATTTTTTGTCAAAGAATTTTTTTTTTACATAAATAATTTATAAAGAAAATTTCGGAACTTGGCTTTTTGTCAATTGGTGTTTGTAATATTTAAAGGAATGTTTATAAAAGTTTTCTGAAGTCAAGTGTATAAACTTTAGGTTTGAAAATCAATTAACTGTTCTGACTTGCGTTTTACACAAAAAAAAAGTTATAAAAATTTAATAATGTAATTCATTTTTAATTTTTGTGCGGTAAAGTTTTCTGTAATGTTTATAATCAGCGGTTAGGAGAATAAATAATTCGGGCGAAGAATTTCTTGTTTAGAAAAGTAATATTGAATATTATTAAAAAAGAAAAATTCATAAAAAGAAAAATAATATTAATTTTTATAAAAAAGAAAAAAATAAATAAAAATAGTAACAAATATTACTTTTTAGATAAAAAAATTTTTCGTATATTTCACTGCTTCTCAATAAAGTAAATTGCCAAGAAATAGTTTTAAAACAAAAAGTTATACACTTGAAAAATCACAGTATAATATACAAAATTACAGAGAATAAAGATAAGAATTTTTTTACTATTAAATTAATTGATTAATTTAGTTTATTATTTTGTAAGCAAATTATTGTGACTTTTATTTTCGTATTATTTTATTTTTCGCAATTTTTTCTTTTTATTAAATCGTCATCGGTAGTTTTAGCTTATTTTCTATCTGAAAATCGATAACTTTTATCACATAACTTTCTTTTACACCTACACATGCAACCTAATTACTTTTTTTTTAAATTCTCTATTATTATTAAATTAAATTTAATAAATTTAAATAAAATTTAATTTAAATTAAATTTGTGACTGGAGGACAAAAAAAATTCAATTTATGTAACTAATCAGATGAAATTATCCAAATGGATACAAAATTGCAATTAATCTTCTTTTTATGGCAGAAAATTCTCTGACTTCTTTATTATGTGTTTAATTTATTACGAAAAAATATTTTAATCTTTTTTTTGGAATTGAAGGAATTTTATTTGAAAATAAAAATTGCAAAGAAATAAAAATAAATAAATTAAATGAATAAATAAAAATTGAAAATAAAATAAATAAATGAAATTTATAAGTAAAAATTGGAAATAAATTAATAAAAATATAAAAATAAGGAATTAAAAATATAAAATTAATAAATAAAAATATAGAATATTAATAAACTAAAAATCGATATCTATTATATGTATTTGCAAAATAATTAGGAAACATTTATGGTATTAAATTTAAAAACTGAAAGGACAACGAATTTATAATCAGCTTCTGAAAGTGGAAATTAATATTTGATATCTGTTTTCAATCTCCTGGAAGGAAAAATTAAAACTTTCAAAGTTTGATAACACTAATAGTGTATAAAATTAAGAGAGACAAAAATTGTTAAAATTAAAAAGAGAAAAAAAAAATCTTTTAAAATTTGGTTTTTAATTTTTTTCAAACAAATTATATGTTAATAATTTTTTCCTCAAAACTGTAACGGATAGTAATTTTTGTTGTATAAAGAAAAATATATTTTTTAATATAATTTTTTTTTTAATAACAATGTTCTTTGACGTCAATAGTTAAAAGTCTATTGTTGTAAATATTGTAATTCGTTGCGATGTAAATGTCATTGTGATAAGAAAAAGTACTTTTTCATTCAGTTATTAGCCAATTACCATCAGTAATTTTATTCTAATCAATCAAAAAGAAATAATTTTTGAGTAATTTTTTTTGCATTTAGTTTTTTATTTAAATTTTTTATCAAAGTAATTAGTCGATTAAAAATTTTTTTTTTTCCTAAAATCTGTTCTTTTTTTGAACTAAAAGTGTTTTTTTATTTATTTATTAGTTTCACACGGGTTTGCATAAATTATATAGAAGTCAAAAATTAAAATACGTAAATTATAAAAATATTTTATACTAAAATTTTAAACGTTCAAATGGATGGAATTTTTATTCTGTTTAAATATTTTTATAAATTTACTATATTCAATTGAACATTTTTTTTATTTTTAATTATTTTTATTAATTATTATTTATATTTTTTATTTATTATTTTTTTATCATTCTTATTTATTATTTACTTTTATTATTTAATTTTATATTTTTTCTTTATTATTTATTTTTATTATTTAATATTTATATTTTTTTGTTATTATTAATTTTTTTAATCCACGAAATATTATTTTTTAGCAAAATAACAGAAATAACAGAAAATATTGTCATTTATTTGAAAGTTCCAAACTTTATAAGGTCATTAAATAATTGCAAATAATTCTAATGACAAAGTGCAATTATAAAGTGAAATTAAATGCAAAATGTTAGAGAGAAAAAAAAACCCGCGACCATAGGAATTAAAAATCATTTATTAACGCAGCCTTCAAAAAGTCTTTTTTGTTGGCTCGAGACAAATATTTATTTTATGTCACATTTGGAAGATCAATTTCTACAATAACTGAAGTTTTTATATTTTTTCTTTATTGTAGTGCAATTATTTCTAATTATCGGCAGTTATATACCTGAGTTCTAGCGTTATCAACTGATTACACTGTTGAGTTTCCGGTTTGAGATTATTTTTTTCTCATGAATTTTTATTTATATTTTTCATCATCAAAAATTATTGAATTTTTCTCTAAATTGAACTTTGCAACTTTGGGCGAAAGAAAACGAAATTAATTTTTAATTTCTTAATTGTTATATAAACAATAGTTCATTGAAACTATTATCAAGAGAAGAAAATTTACAATTGTTTGAAATTACTCAAATTATTTAAATTTCTGGAAAAAAAGAATTAAGAAGCAAAAATCGAATATATTCTCTATTTTTACTGGTTCAAAAATTAGGAACTTTTTTACTTCTTAGACTATTTTTTCTGAGAGAGAGAGAGATTCAAATTTGGATTTTTATTGCTTTCGTATAAATAGAGGAAGTGTACAGTAAATACTAGACACTTCCTCGATTTATTAATTTTCGTCTTTGTATTTCATAATTCTGGTCTTTTTTTACACAATATTATGTGAAGTCGATTTTCTACTGAAAAAATTTTTAGCTTATCAAACAAATGGCATTGAATTTTGTACACACAGATTGTTAGAGGTATTAAATTCTTTTCGTTTATTTAGTTTATCGATATTAAAAAAAAAATTGATATGATTCTGAGAATTTTTTTTTTTTTGGATAAGAATAAAATTGAAATTGTGTGAGTCTAACATTGAATTTCGACATTTTTAGATGAGCCAGTATGTCCGAGAGCGGCGTGCAAGCAGCGTGCGAGGAGAACGAGAAGAAAGCGTCGCTTTACGTCTTTCCCTGTATACCACCTTCACTTCCGGTGCGACCGAGTTCGGCGACGTCAACTCTAGGAGGAACAATTACATCTGGCAAAGGGAGAAGCGAAGACCACGCGGACGAAGACGACGACGAGGAAGGGAACAAATGGAAAAAGAGAGTTGCACCAGGACTCAGGACCCATACGAGGTCTGCCAGTCATGGAGGAGTCCTGGCGACGACACCACCACCGCCTTGGCAATCAACCGGTCTACCTTCAGGTGGATATTTCGATTTGTTTTCCTCTTTTGTTAAATTCACCAAATTTCCGCTCCTTTCGCTCGTTTTTGCTAAATTCACTAAATTCGCCAAATTCACAAAAACTCATCTATTCGAATTTATAACAATTTATTTATACAAATAGAATTTTGTAACATTAGTGAAGTTCACAACGTTCATAATCGACGAATTGAAAAAAAAAATATTTTTATTATAATTAAAAAGTATTCGAAAATATTTTTTTAATCGTTGATCATAATTGTAAATTTTCGTTATGATATAAACAAATTTTCTAAAGAGGAAAATAATTTCCCTGAAATTGAAATAAGCTTCTCAAATATATAAGATCCACTTCTTTAAAGTTCAGTTCAATAGAAGTAAATCTATCTTTTAAGTTGAGTAGAAAAAAATTAGATTTGTCCGACGATTCATATATTATTTTCTTGTCTGGCTCGACCGTCGACTTTTTTCACTTAAAAGATAATAAGTTCCGTCGCGACTTCTCCTAAAGTATTATCAATTTTTCTTGCTAATCTAAAATTCGCTTCCTGACTATAAAAAATTATTTTACTCTACAGAGATTAAAAAAAAGTTTTAATTCACTTTTGCATTTTTTTTATTCTTATTGAAAATTTTAAAAAGTAGTTTATGTAAATTATAGAGTAAAAAATTAAAAAGTAAAATATTTTGAAAATTAAATAGTTGATTATTAAAGTAATGGAAAAATTAAATAGTAAAATAGGAGAATAAATTAAGAACCAAATAATTGGAAGTTGAAATAAGGGAAAAATAAAAGAGTAACGTATAATAAGAACTAAGTAGTTAAATATTAAAGTGAAGGGGAAATTTTAATAGTAAAATAGTAAAACAAAGAAAAAACAAAAATAAAGGTAAAATATAATAGGAAATAAATGGTTAAATAATAAAATAATGAAAAAATTAAATAATAAAATATATTAAGAACCAAATAATCAAAATTAAAGTTCTAAAGAAAATAAATAAATAAAAAAATGAATAGTAACATAAATTAAAAACTACATAAGTAGTAAAATAGAAAAATAGGAAAAAGTCAAATCTAAAATAGAAAAAATAGTAAGAACTAAATCAATTTAATTAAAATTTTATCAGAAATAATTTAATTCTTATAAAGAGTATTATCAAAATTTTTGAAAATAATTGAGTTCTTTTGAAGAATTTCAATACAATTATTTGAAATAACTGAATTTTATCGAGAAATTTTATTAAAATAATTTCTGCAAAGAATTTTCTTACTTTTTTTTTTTAAATAATTGAATTTCTGCAAAGAATTTAATTATTTATGAAAATAATTGAATTTCTGCAAAGAATTTAATTATTTATGAAAATAATTGAATTACTGCAAAGAATTTAATTATTTATGAAAATAATTAAATTTCTGCAAAGAATTTAATTATTTATGAAAATAATTGAATTCTTGATAAGAATTTTACTAAAATTTTTGAAAGTTATAGAATTTCTATGATGAATTTCATTCTTTATGAAAACATTTGAATTCTTGGGAAGAATTTTATTAATATTTTTGAAAATAATTGTATTTCTGCGAAGAATTTTATTATTTATGAATCCAATTGAATTTTCATCAAGAATTTTATTAAAATTTTGGAAGATAATTAAATTTCTGCGAAGAATTTTATTATTTCAGAAAATAATTTAATAATTCCTGTAAAGAATGTTATAACATTTTTTGAAAATAATTTAAATTCTGCAAAGAATTTTGTTACTTATGAAGATAATTGAAATCTTGCAAAGAATTTTGTTAAAAAATTTGAAAATAATTGAATTTCTGTTAAGAATTTAATTATTTACGAAAATAGTTGAATTCTAGCGAGTAATGTTTCTTAGAATTTTTGAGAATTGAATTTTAAAAGTAGAGTTTTATTAAAATTTTTAGAAAATTGAATTTTTGAAAATAATTGAATTCTTTTGAGACATTTTATTACAATTTTTAAAAACACTTGTAATCCTGTGAAGAATTTTATTAAATGTTTTGAAAATAATTGAATTTCTACGAAGAATTTTGTTATTTCAGAAAATAATTCAATTCTCGCCAAGAATATTTAGAAAATTTTTAAAGTAATTGAATTTCTCAGAAGAATTCTATTATTTATTAAAATATTTGAATTCTTGGCAAGAATTTTATTAAAACTTTTGAAAATAATTGAATTTCTGCAAAAAAATTGTATTAAAATGCTTGAGAATAATTGAATCCTGTTTGAGACATTTTATTAAAGTTTTTGAAGATAGTTGAATTCCTGTGAAGAATTTTATAAAATATTTTTGAAAATAATTAAATTCTCGCCAAGAATGTTATTAAAATTTTTTTAAATAATTGAATTTCTCAAAAGATCTTTATTATTTATTAAAATAATTGAATTCTTGGGAAGAATTTTATTATTTATTAAAGTAATTGAATTTTTGGGAAGAATTTTATTACAATTTTTAAAAATAATTGAATTATTTCGAGAAATTTTATTAAATGTCATAATTATCGAAATAATTTTAATATATTTAATTCAATTTTAAATTATTTTCAATAAAATATTGAAAATAATTGAATTTTATTTTTATTTATAAAAAGATTGAAATTTTCGTGGAGTATTGCATTAAAATTTTAGAATATAATAAATAATAATAATTAATTAGTTAATAAGTAAAATTTAAAAAAATGTTTGAATTGGAAATTATTAACATTGAAGTCGATATTTGATTATCAAAAATTTCGTAATTTGCATTATAATATGAAAATAAATTAAGAACGTAACTGTAAAATAGTAAAAATAAAGGTAAAATTAAATATTAAAATAGTAAAATATAGTGAAAACTAAATTGAATATTAAAGTAGTAAAATAAAGAAAAAAACTAAATACTAAATTAGCATTAAAAAAGTAAAAATTAAAATCCCTATTCCTAAATTGAGAAATAAACAAAAATTCTAAATTTACAATTTAAAATAATATTGCAAAAGAAGATACTTTGTAGCTCACATTACAAACAAATAATTAACATACTGTTTAATTTTTTTTTTGTAATAAAAAACGAGCGAGAAATGAATAGAGAATCTAGTTGTTTCGAAAAAAGTTAAAGGCTTTTATATATACAATTTCCTACAAATAACTCAAAAGATATCTGTTTACTATTTAACTGTTTCTTTTACAAAAGTATATATACTAATTCCTATACATTTTTTCCCCTTCGAATATGGAAAAAAGCAATCAATCTATTTTGACAAGAATGTTTTTTTTCGTATAAGTTTTAAAAAGGAAATAAATATCTATCTATCTATCTATTATAAATAATTGAAACTAAATTAATGAATAGGGAAAATAAGAAAAAAATTTACTGTCATTGTGAAAAAAAGAGATAAAAGAGAAAAATGAAAAGAAGTTGATGAATGAAACAGTATTTTCAAGTAAATTTGAATTTAAATGATAATTAAAGACGTTTAAACGTGAACTAAACATTTTCAAGTACACATCGCCGTCGCAATTAATTCTCTGTCTCGATGTTGTTTCTACCCACATGATATCCAATGGATTCGGTCCAAATATTAAATTAGAAATACACTTGAAATAAATCAATGTATATGCATTTAAAGGTCAACATTTTTTTTTTCTTTAAATTACGTAAAATATTAATTTGTTTTCGAAAAAGGAAACAAAAAAGTGTCGAAAGGGAGCGAAAAGAGCAAAATTCTCTTTTGGCTCCTTTTCGCTACTTTTTTGTTTCATTTTTGCAAACGAAAAAAAAAATAAAGCAAAAAGATCAAGAAAGCGAAAAAGAGCGAAAAAATGAGCAAAAAATAAGAGAAGAAAAATGAAGAAAAAAAATGTTTGCAGTATTATGAATGAAAGTTTTGTATTTTATTTTTAGGATCAGCGTTCTCAACGCCAGGAGGTGCCACGGGGACGATTGCGGGAAGACCCTCGGTGCTGAAGAAGCCGGGTCATCAGCGGGCTTTCAGTCAAGGTCAAGTGGTCAATGTCCAGGGTCAACTGGTCATGGCCCACAATCGAGTTGGATCAAAAACCGATTTTATCTTGCCACCAGGTCATCGAGAAGATCCCCGACCTCCAAGCGGCGGGAAGGTTCCATCTTTTCGAGGTCACTCGCGACAAGCCTCCAGGTATTTTTTCTTCTCTCTCTGTCTCTCACCAAGGTTCTTCTTTTTCTTTTTTTTATGCCCTGTGTAGATACTATTACAAAAAAAGTTTTTTTTTTTTCATTTCACAAATATTACATTACTACATCATTCCTAAATGTAGGACACTTTAGTAATCAGGTTATGCCATTCTCTTCTCTATAGCTCTCGGTTATGTGGTATTTTATTATATACACACATATGTTTCGTCAGAACGTTTGCTCCTTTCAGAGAAACAAAAATTTTTGTGCGTTTTATTATACAATCGTGTGGGGCTTAAATTTAATTAATTTTTACATTTTTGTACAATTTTTTTTTACTTTTTTTTAATTAAATTTTTTTCAATTCTTTACATTTTTTGCTATTTTCAATTTTTTGTATTACGAAAGAAAATTTTGACTAAATTCTTTTTATTGTTTACAATTTCAAAGATCATAGTTAGTTTCGCTTTTTATCTAAATTCCTTTTCTTCGTTTGCTTCTCTTTTTCCTTTTTTATCCCCTTACCGAGATCACAGACTGTGACTTTTCATCTTTTTAAAATTTTCACACTTGTTTCACCTGCTCCTTCAGATTTCACCTATTGACACCTATTTTGTTAAATTTTTACAACAATTTCAATCAAGAACTTGTTATTAAAAATATTTAATTCATTATTAAAAATATAATGTATTTTAAACGTAGGTGAAGTTTAAAAACTTTATGATCCAACGATTGGAAGAAAAAAATATTTTTTTTCCGCAGAAAACAATATTTTTTATTTACAAATTTTTATTCTTTGAATTATTAATTGAGAAATATTGTTTTTATTAAATTTTTTAAAAATAATTGAATTTCTACGAAGAATTTTGTTATTTCAAAAAGTAATTGAATTCTCGCTAAGAATGCTATTATTTATTAAAATAATTGAATTTTCGGCAAGAATGTTATTAAATTTTTTGAAAATAATGTAATTCCTTTCGAACAGTTTTGTTATTTATGAAAATAATTGAATTTTTGCTATGAATTTTAATAAAATCTTTGAAACGAATTGAATTTTTGCAAAGAATTTAAATAAATTTTCGAAAATAGCATTAAATTTTTTTTGAAAATAATTGAAATGTTTGGAAGAATTTTTGCGAAAAATTTTGTTATTGCAGAAAATAATTTAATTCCTGCAAAGTAGTTTATTACATTTTTTGAAAATAATTAAATTTTTGCAAAGAAGTTTATTAAAATATTTGAGAATTGAATTTTAAAAGCAGAATTTTATTTAAATTTCAGAAAATTGAATTTTTTAGAAGAGTTTTATTAAAATTTTATAAAATAATTTAATTCTTTTGAGACATTTTATTAAAATTTTTGAAGTTAGTTGAATTTCTGTGAAGAATTTTATTATATTTTTTGAAAATAATTGAATTTCTACGAAGAATTTTGCTATTTCAGAAAATAATTCAATTCTCGTTAAGAATTTTATTATTTATTAAAATCATTGAATTTTTGGCAGGAATGTTATTAAATTTTTTGAAAATAATTGAATTTCTGCAAAAAAATTTATTATTTTTAAAGATAGTTGAATTCTTGACAAAAATGTTATTAAAATTTTCGAAAATAATTTAATTCCTTTCGAACAGTTTTGTTATTTAAGAAAGTAATTGAATTCTTTCTATGAATTTTAATAAAATCTTTGAAACGAATTGAATTTTTACAAAGAATTTAAATAAATTTTCGAAAAGTGCATTAAAATTCTTAGAAAATAATTGAAATGTTTTGAAGAATTTTTGAAAATAATTGAATTTCTACGAAGAATATTATTAAGTTTAATGATAATTGATTTCTTGACAGGAATGTGATTAAAATAATTGAATTCTTTCGAAGAATTGTATTTAATTTTTGAGAATAATTTAATTCTTTCCAAGAATTTTTGAAAATAATTGAATTTCTGCAAAAATGATTATTATTTTTAAATATAATTGATTTCTGGTCGGGAATGTTATTAAAATTTTTGAAAATAATTGAATTCTTGCAAAGAGTTTTGTTATTTCTAGAAATAATTGAATTCTTGCTAAGAATTTTATTTAAATTGTTTAAAAATAATTGATAAAATATGTAACAAAAAAATCTGATTTAAAAAAATTTTAATTAAGAGAAAGAGTAAAAAAAATTTGTTTGAAAATTAAAATCCTCTTTACTATCTTTCAAAAAAATGACTGTGCTGTAATCTCTGCAATTTTTCGAAAATTTAGTTTCTAAAAATCCAAAAGGATTATCGTTCATTAAAATACCATTAGATCATCTTTATCATATAAGATTTATTAATTACAAAAATAACTGTCGTATGGTGGAATAAATTTTTTTTTTAATAATGTTTAAATATTTTTTTAATGAAATATGCTAAAGATTCGAAGAATTCTGCGGTTAGGTAATTTTATGGTGAATGGTAAATTATGTAATTATGTTTTCTTTAATGTAAAGTGAAATGAATCATTAAGGTTACTGTTTGGAGGATAATATATATGGAAATGTATGAAACTGTTTTTCCTCTGTGAAATATTAAATTTGAAACTTCAAATCCCTAAAGGAGAGTGTTATTGAAAGAGCAGGGAATAATCCTCATTTGAATGAAGGAGACTTTTTTTTTTATTAAATGTTATATAACGGTCTGTAATATCTCAAGTTTCTGAAGAGATGGATCAAGGTCAGCTTAAGGTGGGCAGATTTAGAATTCAGGTCGACGGTTTCTTATTAAATTTCCGGTGCAGTATGGACGTCTCTAGGCTATTTTGCACGCAAAATAAAAAAAGAATGCAGAAAAAATACTCTTACCACGCCTATAAATTATTGATTTCAATAAGTTTTCCATTAATATTGACGACTTTTTTTTATAAATATTATTTTTATTTATTATTACTAGATATTGTTATATTATTATTTTTTTATTTTTACTATCGCCAAATTACTATTTGACTGTCACCAACAAAAATCATATATAATCAGAATTATTCTTATATTCAGTTTTATTAGTCTAGAAATATTTTTTTCTAATCGTTGCAAATTCTCTTTTCTAGATCGGAATCAATTTACACAATTCGACGTAGTGAAGCGCCTCCTTGGTGGAGGAGAATTTGGGTACGATGTTTTGGTTCGCCTCCAGAGGAACCAAGACTGAGGACAATTGTTCCCAATCATTTGGTGTCACCAAAAACTCCGCCAAATCGTCATCCAAATGGTGCTAGAATCGATAACAGGTAATTTTTCTATAAATTACAAAAAAACAAGAAAAAACTACAAACGATTTATGGATCGAATTGGCAAAATTAATATTACAAAAAAAAGAAAAAAATAATTTTTTGGGAATTTTATTTGATAATTATGCAATGCTTATGGTTGCATGATTGTTGAGTCACCTTTTTTTTATATACTTTATATACTCCATGACACAGATTACTCAAGCGTCTTGTGTTCTCGTCTCATATGTTCTGAATGAAAAGATCTGTACATTTCATCGATATACATCTCAGTTTCTAAGGATTTCTTAAAATAGTTATTGTTGTATACTTGTCGAGAATGTAGTTTACATTGAGTGATTATATTTTATTCTATGCTTTTCAATTATTTTTAATTTAATTTCAATTATTGGAAAAAAGCAGATATCTTAAATATTTGTTAAGCGATTTTCTTTATATCCTTTTTTTAGTATTTTATTTATACTTTTTTTCAATTTTTTTTAAAACTTTTTTTTTAATTCCAGATTAGTTAATTTTTTGAAAATTTAATATATTTGCAAGAATTGAATTATTTTTATAAATAACACAATTCTTCTGAGAAATTTAATTGTTTTCTACATTGCATTGAAAATACTTTAAAATTGAATAAAATTTATTAAAATTAGTTCGTTATATATGAAATTTAATAAAATTTCTGAAAAAGAATAAAATTATTTTTAATAATTTTAATAAAATTTTACGAAAGAATTCAATTATTTTCGAAAGTTTTGATAACCCTTTTTATTAGAATTCAATTATTTTTAATACAATTTTAATAAAATTTCTCTAAAGAATTAAATTATTTAAAAATATTTAAATAAAATTCTTCGAAAGAAGTTAATTATTTTCAAAGATGTTCAAAAAATTCTTCACAGCAATTCAATTAGATATATTCATACATAAGAAATTTATTCACATGATTGAAATTATTTTCAGTACAATTTTAATAAAATTTCTTGAAAGAATTCAATTATTTTCAAAAATTGTTTTAAAATCTTAAAAGAAATTCTTAGTAAAATTCAATTAATTTCAAAATTTGTAATTTTTATTATTAAAAACATTAATTTAAAAAAAATTAAAAAAAATTCTTTAAAAAAAATTAATTTTTTTCGAAAACTCTAATATAATTCTTCAAAAGTATTCAATTTTTTTATCAATAATAATTTTAATAAAATTGTTAATTAATTAAAAAATTCTAATAAAATTCTAAGAAAAATTCAATTATTTCCTAAAAATTTTAATAAAATTCAATAATTATATTTTTAATTACAATTTTTAACAAAACACGATTATTTTAGTACAAGTGGCTAAAACTAAAAGTATTGAAGTAAAATGTAATTACTTTGAAAATTTTCAATTAAATTTATTAAAAATTACATTTTTTTCAAAAAATTGAAAGAAATTCTTAGTAAAATTCAATTAATTTCAAAATTTGTAATTTTTATTATTAAAAACATTATTTTCAAAAAAATTAAAAGAAATACTTAAAAAAAAATTAATTATTTTCGAAAACTCTAATATTCTTCAAAAGTATTCAATTCTTTTTTCAATAATAATTTTAAGAAAATTTAATAATAAAATTATTAATTAATGAAAAAATTCTGAAAAAAATTAAATTATTTCCTAAAAATTTTAATTAAATTCAGTAATTAGAATATTTTTAACCACAATTTTTAACAAACACGATTGTTTTCGTAAAAGTGGTTAAACTTAAAGTATTTTAATAAAATGTAATTACTTTGAAAATTTTCAATTAAAATTATTGAAAAAACTCCATTATTTTAAAAAAATTGAAAGAAATTCTTCAAAACAGTTCAATTATTTTCAATATATTAATTTTAAACTGATAAATTATCAAAAAAATTAGGGGAAAAAATGTAATCTTTTCAAACAATGTTTATACTGGAATTAAAATTAATTTAAATAAAATATTTATTTATAGTTAAAAATTAAAGTTTCTTTTTGAAAACAATATTTTATAATAAAATTAAAAGAAGTAAAAAATTGTTTATTTGAACGTTCGAAACTTTAGGAACATTTTTTAATATACTTTTTTAATTAATTTTATTTATTTACAATCGTTTATTTATTTATTTATGTATTTGTCTTTTTGTTAATTGATGAGAAATGGAATACTGGGGCAAGAAACTGTGTGAAATATATGGTATTCTATACAGTTGATTAAAATCTGTATTATCATTACATTAACCCTGAAAGAATTAAAGTCGATTAACAGAATTAGAATGCAAGCGGATGTTATACGGTATATCGAGAGAAATACCGAATAATCCAGAATTTCATTCTGTTTATTCCTGATTTTCTTCTTATAGCAATTTTAACATATTTTACCAAATGAAATAAATTTAGCAAAACTTTTAATTAAAAAAAAGTACGTTAAAAATAAAGTTTTGACAAAATTATAGATATTTCCCTTTTTATTTTTTTAGCTCTCAATATTTTGCTCTTTGCAAAACCGAAAAAAGAATAAAAACTTATTCGAGAAAAAATTATTGAAAACAACTATTTTACTTGATTTTTAGGTCAAAAATTTGCCTCTTGTTAAAATTTGTTTACTTCATATTTTTCAAGAGAGGAAAAAAAAGTGTGAAGGGAAAATTCGATAATTTTCGATCGCATATATAACTTTTATGACTTTTTTACTTTTCTGTTGAATATTTAATCAATAATTATAACTTTTCTTGATAATAAATATCGATTTCGTAACTTGAGGTTCAACCCCAGAGAATTCCGTTACTTTCATAAAATTTATATAGGTCATCAAGATCATTCTAATGTATTATTAACAATTTAATATACTTTCATATTAAGTTAAATTCAATGTTTGTTATTTCTAATACAATTTTATTTTCTTCCTGACAAATTGTTTTTTTCTCTCACCACTTTTTTGCATTTGTTTTTTTTTTTTGTTCAATAGGGTACGCACAACCAAGTATACGACTTTGAGCTTCCTGCCACGTAATTTATTGGAGCAATTTCATCGTGTGGCAAATCTATATTTCATATTTATCGTAATGCTAAATTGGGTACCGGAAATCAATGCGTTCGGAAAGGAGATTGCCATGTTTCCTGTACTCTTTGTTCTTGGTGTCACAGCTGTGAAGGATTTTTTCGAAGACAGAAGAAGACTGGCAAGTGATAAACGAGTCAATAATTCCACCTGTCGAGTTTACGTGAGGTGAGTAACGAGAGGAGAATTATTAAGATATTTATTTCAAAAACAATATTGTCCTGGGCCCTTCAAAAAAAATTCCAAGAACAAGATCGATTTGAAATGAGAGTATGAAAATTGAGGTCAATGTTACTCACGCGATTTTACGCTCGTGCGTGAACAAACTCGTGTTTAAAATCACCTCTATAGAAAAAATTATTCTTTTTCTACAATTATCCGTCTTACAATAGGAAATTATGTATAAATTTTCTCTAATGAAGCACAAAATTATAAAAACTTTTTCTTCTCGAGAATTTTTTATTGTCCTTGTAACTGTAATTAAGGGAATTTTGATGATTATATCGATTCAAATTGCTTAATTAACTTTATCGAAGTATTTAGTAATGTGCAGAAAAGTTAATTAAAAAGAGGAGTAGAGAGAGAGAGAGACAGTGTTTGAAGAAAGTAGAAGATCGATAGATATTTTTTAATCAACTTTAACCCAAGTGTTTGTAATCAGAAAAGAAAAAAATAGGGAGAAGAGCAAAAAAAACCAATAATTAGATTTTCCAAATTGGTAGTAGTACCTACAAATAAAATAAAATTCGAATTATAAATCGAACAAGAAAAATAGAAGACAAATAAAGATATTTTCCCTTATTTGGTTAATGAAAATAATTAATTTTCGAACATTCTCTTTTAAGTTTTGTTATACAGGTCGTTAGAATGTTGAAAGAAATATGTGAGGAAAAAAAAAAAGATTGCATAACCCTTTGAGAAGTTGTTGGGAACATCTGGAATGCTATTAGAGTTCGTTGGTCGCAGATAATCGTTTCTCTCAGCATTTTCTTTTTTTTTTGATGAATGTCGCTTTCTTCACATTGTCGATTATCAGAGAACACGAAAGCTTTGCTACTTGTGAATTTTCATCGAAAGTGCAGTTATTAATATGAGCAGAGGATAAAATTTAAAAAAAAGTACACATTGTTCTGAAATTTATATTCCGTAAGAGAGAGAGAGGAGAAAAAAAATGATGAATCACACTTCAGGCAAAATTTTATCAGGACATTGCTCCCAAATAAATTACTTTTACCGGAGAGAGAGAGAGAAAGAGAGAGAATTGCTGGAATTGTATTGTATGAGCCTCTTAGAAATTCGAGAATCACGCGATATTCTTTATATTTCAAGTTGAAATTTATGCTAATCGTATTCAAATTGTAGGCGGCTGGTATAAATGCTTTTGGACTAAATTCGAAATTTTTTTAAATAGTTCATCAAAATTATTTTGAGATTTAAGAATCTATATTAATAATCGTTGTATTCCGATAATCTGTTGGCAATTTGTTTCCTATAACGTTTTTAATAATTTTTCTTTTTAGTTTTCAAATTTAAAATTATTGAATTCTTGCAAGAAATTTGAAAATAATTGAAATCCTTCGAAAAATTTTATTATTTATTAAAATAATTGAATTCTTGCGAAGAATATTCTTTAAAATTTTTGAAAATCTTAATTGAATTCTTTTGAAAAATTTCTTTGAATTTTTTTTTAATGCTGGAATTTTATTATTAATGTTAATTGAAAATTTTGAAAGTAATTGAATTTTATAAAGATTTTCTTTCCAATTTTTTAAATAATCGTATTTGTAATGATTGAAATTAAACATTTAATTGTTGAATTTTACTAAAATTTATAGAAAAAAATTAAATTATCAGAATTTTATTACAATTTTTTAAAATAATTGAATTCGTTCATAGAATTTTTTTAAAATATTGAAAATAATTGAATTCTTTCAAAAAATCTTTTTAATTATTTTAATTGAAAATTTTGAAATAATTGAATTAAACAAAGAATTTTTTACGAAGTTCTTAAAATAATTGTTTTTGTTAATAATTATAATTAAAGATTTAATTGTTGCATTTTATGAAAATTTTCTTGTCAGTCATTGAATTCTTTTGAAGAATTTCAATACTATTGAATTTCAGCAAAGAATTTTATTATTTATTAAAATCATTAAATTCTTGGAAAAAATGTTACTAAAATATTTTCGTCAGTAATTGAATTTCTGTGAAGAATTTTATTATTTATGACGATATTTAAATTCTTGGGAAGAATTTTATCAATATTTCTGAAAATAACTATATTTCAGCGAAGAATTTTATTATTTATGAATCGAATTGAAATTTCAACAAGAATTTTATTAAAATTTTGGAAAATAATGGAACTTTTGCGAGAAATTTTGTTATTTCCGAAAACAATTGAATTCCTGCAAAGAATTTTATTATTTATTAAAATCATTGAATTCTTGCAATGAATTTTATTAAAATTATAGAAAATAATTGAATTTTTGTAAAGAATTTTAATAAAATTGTAGAAATTCCCAAAAAAATTTTTATTATTTATAAAAATTATTCAATTGTTTCGAAGAATTTATTAAAATTTTAGAAAATAATTGAATTCTTTTATGAAATTTTTTAAAAATTACATTGAAATTAATTGATTTTTTGCAAAGAAATTTACTATTAATAAAAATAATTGAATTCTTCCGAAGATTGTTATTATTTATGAGAATAATTGAATTCTTGCGAAGAATTTTATTAACATTTTTGAAAATAAGAAAAAGTAATATAATTCATTATGAGCTTAATCCTTAAAAGTGAATTTCTTTAATTTTGAATCTAAAATTATTCAAAAAATTTTATTTGAAAATAAATAATTTTGTTTATTTGCATAATAACAATTAATAGAATACCACGTGTCTTGCGATAGCGCGTGTAACATTTGCGAGTTTAAAAATAAATATCCTGTATTTCGATATTTGTGAAATCAAATTATTTTTAATCGTCTTTTCTTTTCATATTTTTAGTGAAATTTGATTGCGATCAGAATTTTATCAAAATTCGAAGAACACTCGAGTTTCATTTCCTTGATTTTATAATAAACAATGAGTTTCGAATTTATTTATCAATGATAAAGTGATTACTGAGTATTAATTTTTTTTTTTTTCTTTGGAATTAAATATGAAAAAGTAATTAAGGGCAATACTGGAACAAATTGAATCCTACTTTTTGGGTTTAGTTCCAAAAATAAATTTTAATTCAGTTCTAAAACTATTTGTTTAAGTATTTTTTTATTTGTTATTTGTTATTTATTTTTTATTTTATTTAATTTTAATTTTAATTTAGGTGTTTTTTACATTTTTTCCGTATTTGTAGATTAAAGTACATATAAAGTCGGGGAAAACCTAGTAGGTACTGTTATTGAGTTTAGTTCAAGGGCTAAAAAACACTGTTTATTTTTTTCTCTGAGTAAATAAAAAAAAAATGATAAATTATAAACATGTGGACCCTGTGGGTTTATTTGTTTGATATATAATAATCAGATTGTAAATGAAAGAAAAAGAAGGAAAATAATTAATAATCTTCAGATTTAATTTTATCGATTTACGGTTATCATGCACTCCATGATAAATTCGATAAAACTGTGTCTTATACGATAAAAGATTGATCAAACGCTCTCATGCGATCGGTAGCAACGAACGTCATTTATAATGCAATTAAATCGTATTGTTCAATCGATGTATCGCGATTCCGACATTTCCTTTATAACCTTGTCCTTTACCTTCGTCAACCTCAATCTTTCTTGCATTCACAATAATTATTTCCTTTCATTCTTTTTCTTTCATCACATTAGCGAAGCAAAAAAAATAATTCGATATTCCGATATTGTTTATTTTTTTAGCAAATATTATTTATCGAATATTAATTCGTATTAATTATCAAAAATTAGTTGTCGAATACTAATTATCAAGTATTAATTACCAAATATTAATTGGAAGTTAGTAATTAAAAATCAGGAGTTAAAAATTATTAATTAAAAATTTGGGATTAAAAATTAGGAATTGAAAATTAATTATCGAATATTATAATTAATCTCTGAATATTGGTAATTGAGAAATTTTATTTTCTCCCTCGACTCGTTTCTAAACAATTCCACTATTAAAAATTAATTTTATTGTTTGATATCAAATGTAAAGTATAACTTTTATTTTTTTCAGATACTTTTAACGACCTTATTTTCTGGGTTGTGCAGTGAAATTGAGATTAATTGCGTACTCGTTGATGCTCTCATCGAACAGAAAGTTTTTGACGTGAATAATGTTGATGTGAATTTTAATTGAGCTCTTTCTAACATGAGTCGGAATTAGAAATGGCTCTCGAAACTGTCAATTTTCTAGACACTAAGGGACCAAAAAAAATGAATATTCAATTCTCTATCGATTCGACAAAAAGGGGAAAAAAATACGAGTCGAAAAATCATATTGAATTAAAAAATAATTTAGAATACCTACACATTAGAAAATAATTAAAATAAAAAAATAACTTAAATTAAAAAATAATTTAGATTGGAAAATAAATTAATTTCAATTAAAAAAAAATTTAAATTAAATTAAAAAAGTATTTAAATAATTAAAAAATAGTTTACAATAAAGTTTGGAATCAAAGAGAAAAAAAGAAATGACGTTCGAAAATATTAATGATTTGAAGACACTTTTTTTGTTTGCAGAAAATCCCATAATGGAAGGAAATACTGATTTTTTTCTGAATTTTAAAAAGGAAATCCATTAAAAAATTTATTCTAACTGTCGAGAAAATTTACGAGCGCAACAAACGCTCCCATATGTTTACGATATGCCGTGAATCTATTTTAGATTTTGCACAAACAATAAACCTACATTTCCAAAATAATAATAATAATAATAATAATAAATTTTTATCTGAGCGTAAATTAAAGAAAGACAAACTAATAGCTTTTTGTAGATAAAGTTAAAAGGAAAATTATACGCCAATTTTTATCTATTATTTCTCATGGAACATAATTTTCAATTATTTTCACATTGTTGAAAAATATTTTAAACTATTGTGAAAAAAACACTACTGAAAAAAAATTAATTTAAATTTGAAAAATTATTATTAAACGTTTCAATGTAATGTAATTATTGCTCTTAATTAACTGTTAAGGAGAACAT